ATAAATAAATATCAATAATTAAATCAACTAATTAGATGTTATTAAATACTCTAAGATTGATCAACTCTATCACTATTTATTTTTATTTTATTACTCCTAGCTTGGTTAAGGTTAATTTAAGTCAAAATCTTTGTTTTTCAATCCTATTTTTTAAAGAACTCTATTTTAATTTTCTGAGATTATAGACTTGCAGCTCATGTACCACTAGTTTTTAGGATCTAATTTACCAGTCAAATAAAACTTTTAAACTATACTTTAGGAAGAGCAAATCTTCACATATTTTTCAAGCTAATCATCCTACATACTTTCGCAATTCTTACTGGCATTCTATAAATCTTTTAGGCTGCAGTCTATATCCATTTTTATGAATTTCTATTTATTTATTTAAGTATCTACTTTTTAATTTCAAAATCTTATATGCTTATTTAACTTTCTGCTAGCTATGCTTATTAATAAATACTGATAATTGTTTAATTATTGACTCTAAAAATCAATCACACTTTTCACAGTATATACTTATAATTTTTAACTACAAATATAATACTTTCATGTATATTATTTAACAACTTATAAATGCTTATTTAAATAATAAATAAAGTAAAATATCATCTTTTCATTTAATTTTATGATATATTATAGGTTTAAAGTATGTAAAAAGTAAAAACTTTTATAATAAAAATCAAAGACTATGAATGTTTATTCTTAAGAAATGTTTTATATTATTAAAACATCAATTCATATATTTATATTTATTTTATAATCAAAATAATGGAAAAAAAACAATTAGTTAATAAATTTGATTAATACAGATACAAAAAAGACTTATTTTATAATTTAAAATGCAAAACTATTGCTTTATTAATTCAATTTAATAAAATTAAATACAACATAGTTTATTTGTACAAAATATTTTATATTATTTAGAAATCAATTCATTAATTCTAAATTTAATTTATTATCATGAAATATTAAAAAATATTTGTTTAATTAGCTTGGTAAAAATTAAAGTTTTGATAAAATCAAATACAATTAATATTAATACAGATACAAAAAAGACTTATTTTATAATTTAAAATGCAAAACTATTGCTTTATTAATTTAATTTAATAAAATTAAATACAACATAGTTTATTTGTACAAAATATTTTATATTATTAAGAAATCAATTCATTAATTCTAAATTTAATTTATTATCAAAGAAATGTTTAAAAATATTTGTTTAATTAGCTTGGTAAAAATTAAAGTTTTGATAAAATCAAATACAATTAATATTTTTTCCTATGAATTTTTTTTCATTATTAAAAAATAAATTTAAATTTAAATAATATTTAATTCGTTTTTAATAGATTTCTAAATTATGAAACTCAATATTATTTTGTTACATTTAATAGAATTTCAAACAAAATAATAGAATGATTATTAAGAGAAAATAAAAATAAAACAAAATTGAGAAAAAGGTTGTTAAACTAAGACGTCTAATAAAAATTAAAGACCACAAAGACTTATTTTATAATTAAATGAAAGTTAAAAACTATCTCTTAATTATTTTTATAAAAATCAAAGACAATAAATCAATATTTATTCTTAAGAATATTTTTTCTTTATTTAAAAAATAAATTTAAGTTCAAATAATTAAATTTTATTATTGAATTAATTTTTTATCGACTTTTAAATTATAAATAAAATATAATTTATTTAGTTACCTTTTATACGTTTCAAAGTAATAGAAGTAGTAATAAGAGAAAATGAAATTTATACAAAATGATTAAAATGACTATTAAACTGAGAGTTAATAAAAAGACCATAAATATTTATTAAAAAATAAAAAATTATAAAAACAATTAATTTACTAGTTTGATTAAAATCAAAGACAATAATATGTTGTGTTTATTCAGAGGAAATTTTTTTATTATTAAATAATCATTTTAAATATAAAAGTTTTATTTACGAATCTATATTAATTTTAATCTATTTCTATATAATAAACACAATACTATTAATTAAAATTAAATTAATAAAAAATGAAAATAGTATAAAACAGTGAAAATATTGTTTAACTAAGAGGTCTAACCCAAATAAGATATAATTTTAACAAAAACTATTAATTAATTTTCCTATTAAAAAGGAAAATTTGTAAGTTTATTTACTTTTTGTGTTAAGTAATTTTGAATGTAATATTTAAGATTTAAATTTTAATTGTTTTAAATTTATTATTTTAATAAACAAATTAATAAAATTTTAATTTTAATCAATAATTTTTATTTGATGCTTTTTATATTAAATAAATTATATGGATTTTTAAAGCAGTTAAAATCATGTGAATTTGAATTATTTTTTAATGAGATATTTCTTATACAAAATAATTTGTGTCTGATTTTGAATATCAGCTTTAGAATATATTTAAGAACATGACGATAGGTTTAAGTGACAATATTTGCATATTAGAATATAAATGATTATAAAAACAATTTGGAATATTATATCATTAGTTTTAAGCAAAAGTAATTAAAAATTAGGAGGGGAAAAAAATCTTTGTCAAAATGTTTTTTATTCTTGAATGTTTTACAACAATAATAGCAATAAGTATTTAACTAACTTATTAAAAACTAGAAATATGGTTAAAATAATACTACTTGTCTTCGTTTGAAACGCATTTATCTCGATAAATAAAATAGCTAGTTTAAATATATGATTAAATTAATTGATGAATGATATTTAGAATATATTTATATTGTCTATATTACTTATACCAATTTATCTATTTGATTAAATATAATTTACTTATTTTCGAATGTCTTACAAAAAAAATTCTTTTAAAATCTCTTTGTTTATTTTTTCTTCTTTGATTGAATGTTACTTAATTTTTGTTGTAAATTACTTTTTTGCAAAAAAATATATTAAATTTGTAATATTAATTTTTATTTGTTTTACTGAATTTCAAAAAGCGGAGGAGGAAATTGTTTTTATTTCAAAGAAGTGGTAAATATGTAATAAAATTGAGAAGAAAATATATAAACAATGTGGTTAAAAATGCACTTTAGAAGTAAATCAAAATAATTTTTTACAATTGTTATTATAACGAATTTACATGATATTATTAATTAATGACTGATTATTGAAAATCTTGGTAGAATTACGTAAAAGCTGTTTGAATTAGGTTTTGAATTTAAAATGTTTACGTAATATTATAAATTAATAAATAAAGGATTAATAAAGTAAATTAGATAGATAGATAGATGCTACTGTTAGATAGATGCTTTGATGCGTAATTGCTAGAAGAAAAAATATTAATTAATTAATTAACTATCTATGAATTTTCATTGATAATATACTAACATCCAGTTCTAGTTTGTTTAAATAAATCTCGTCTGATTTTTTGATTGACTTATTGCCTGATTGACTTATTATTTATTTGATAAGAATCAAAACACTAAATTAAATCTGCATATTTAAGTTCTAAAATAAACTGTGCATATTTTATTATAATTAATAAATTAGTACAAAGATATAAGATATAGATAATTTCGTGAGACCATTTCTAAAAATAGTAAACAAAAACTAAAATAAAATAAATGATATAAAATATTAAGAGTATACAAAGAGTAATATTTAGTCATTAAAAGCAAATATTCTGCCTGTCTTAGTTCAATAAAAAATTTAATCATCAAAAAATTAACACTTAACATATCAAAAGTTAAACCAAGTCAAATTAACAAGCCAAGCAATACAACTTCAAACCTTATTAATTAAAAATGGATACAAGCAAGCTAAAAATTACATTCATTGGTGCAGGCAAAATGGCTACTGCTATTGCAGGAGGTCTCGTTAAGAGTGGAAAGTATACCCCAAGCCAATTCACTGCCACTGATAAGAGTGAAGCTTCAAGGGAACATTTTATTGAAAAGTCATAGGTCACTAACATTATTCAAGACAATATTCTTGCTTCTAAATTTAGTGATGTTATTATCTTAGCTGTCAAACCCCAACAAATTGAAGAAGTCTGCAAAGAAATAGCTGAAGTTTGCCAAGACAAATTAATTATTTCAATCGCAGCTGGCACTAAATTGGAAACCTTTTACAAGCTATTTGGCCACAAAAGAATTATCAGAGTTATGCCAAACACTCCTATGATGGTTGGAATTGGAGCTTCTGCATTCTCTATGGGCGATTAATGCAAAGAAACAGATAGAGATATTTGCTTAAGTATTTTCTCTCCAGTTGGTAAAATTCACTAAGTTGAAGAGTGCCACATGGATGCCGTTACAGCAGTAAGCGGAAGTGGTCCTGCCTATGTTTTCTAATTCATTAAAGCTCTTGCAGATGCTGGTGTTTAATAAGGTTTACAGCCTGAAGTTTCCTTGGACTTAGCAACTTAAACTGTCCTTGGAGCTGCCATGATGGTCAGCTTAAACCAAGGTACTCCTGAAGAATTGACTAAAGCCGTTACCTCTCCTAATGGTACAACCTATGCTGCTCTTTGTTGCATGGAAAAATTGTAATTCAAAGAGACAGTCTACAAATTTGTTGAAGCTGCCACTAACAGATCTATTGAACTAGGTGGCGGAAAACCTAAATAAGCATGAAAAAACAAAAACACTCATTTGTATATAAAATAATTATGTTATAAAATATTTATTATTTTAAATTGTATATATACTACTTTTATATTTTTCTTAATATAATTATTTCAATACATAATTCAAACTCATTCTCAAAAAAAATTAAAACCAATTTACTAATTTTATGTATGACTTTGGATCAAATTAAATCTTATGCATTTAGTAGATAAATGTCTTATAAATCCATTTGTTCTACATATAAATAAGTAAATAAGTACACTTAAAAAATAAAATGAAATTTATTTCTTTTTTAAATATCAAAGAAATAAATTCAGTAAAAAATCTCAAATTTAGTAAACAAATAGCTTTTATTTTAATTAAAAACATGTCGTTGTTCTAATACTTTACTTCTAGTAAATAGATTTACGATTGTGGTAATTACTACAATATACTTTTTTATTACAAATTAGTTAATTTTTGGTTATACATAACTATCTATCTTTGTCTGTCTGTCTGTCTATCTATCTATATATCCACTTTTAAAATATTAAACATAAATAAATTTACTACAATTAAAATACGCATAAAATATAAAATACAATAATTAAATACATTTATTTAAATCAATCTTTTCGTTTATAATATATTTTTATTATTACAGATTGGATACTTTTAATTTTACTCAAATATTAAAATAAATAACAAATAAATAAATATTTATTGTAGTTTTGATTGTGAAATTCATTTATAAAATATCTATTTAACTTAGTAATTATTAAAATATTTTTTCATTAAAAATTTGTTAATTAAGTACAATCTATCTGCCAATTTTTCATGACGAAAGCATATTTTCATAATTTTTTAAATTTATTAATTTTCGAAAGGATAATAGATATATTTGGTATAATTAAGATCAACACATTCACTCAACCTTTTTTGTTTTAATTTTTTAGTTATATTTGTTTATTTTTACAAATTTATTAGTTTATTTATTACTATCTATCTATCTATCTATCTATCTATCTATCTATCTATCTATCTATCTATCTATCTATCTATCTATCTATCTATCTATCTATCTATCTATCTATCAACTTTTTAAATATAAAGCATAATCTATTTATTATCATTAAAATAAAAAAAATATCCAAAATAATAATATAAAAATTAAAATTTATTAAATTATAACAACATACTCATAAACTTTGTTATTTATTTATTTATTTATTTATCTATTTATTTATTTATTTATTTATTTATTTATTTATGGTGGTTAAAATTTTGTATTTTAGTTTAGAAATTATAAGTTGAAATTGTATAAGAATGAGTATTTTTATTAATATTTTTGAAATAATTATAAATTTAACAAATAAAAAATTTTCATTAATATATTTCCCCTAACAACAAAGGCATATTCTATAATTATAAAACAAATATTTAAATAAATTCTTTTATTTTAATTTGGTAAAATATTTTTTTCCATTTAATTTTGACTTTTTATTAATTTTTTCTGTTAATAGCTTCACCTCCTTTGATTTCATTCATAAGAATTTAGGATAACACTATCTCTATTTTAATTTTTTCTCTAAAATTTCATAATCAACAAATTATTTTTACTCATTTCTATATTTTGACCATATTTATTTATAACTTATTAAAAAATGAATGAGTGACCTAGAAAAAATGTCAATAAAATTTTAGAAAAATCTCATAACAAATTTTATTTTCATCCACCTAATAATTTTTTTAAAAATAGAATTTGTTTAAAAAAAATTAGTATTTGAATTTGATTTTTAATATTATAATTTTTACTTTTAATGTAAATTTGGAAGTAAATTCTATATCTATATGTTAAAAATAAAGTATAATTGTAAAAAAATAAATGAGAAATATCAAAATGCAAAAGTAGCCAAATATTATAGAAAAGAGAGATTAAAAGTCTCCAAGAAGTTGAAAGGGTTACTAAGAATTACCAAAAAAATGTGTAAAACTCTAAATTTAAGCATATAGAGAATTGAATTTACTCATTTATTCAACTAATAGATATTATTTAAATTTTTTCAATGAATATTTAATTACTTTTTTACTACAAATATTAAATTAATTTAGGATTAATAAATAGCTTTTGGCAGCTCATCTTTTATTTGCTGACAAAAGAATTTAATATTTACATAATTGAAGATATAAATATTTTTTGATGATTTAAAATACACTTATCTTTTTTATCCTAACTTAGAAATATTCAGTAATAATAACTTAGTAAATATAAAAGGAGTAAAGTAGAAAAAAGGACATATTACAGATTTTAATTAAGTAACGATATAAATCTCCTAGCGAATTTGGATTTAATATCAAAAGATAGAAATAAATAGCACCTAGCTATATAATTTTCATTTTGAATTCATTTTCTTCTTAAGTAGAATAAAGAGTATCAATACATTTTTTATAATTAATGAGTAGCAACACTTCGTCTTTCAGTCTTTTAGATGAAGGTATGAATTAAATAAATAAAATCAGTTTAGCAAAAACTGTTTTCAAGAAGAATAAAAGCAAAACATTTTAAATTGAAGGTCATATTGAGTTTATATAAAAATATATATTCTAAAACATAAAAAAATTGCTCTAATATTGCCTGATTTGTTTGTTTTAATATTTTAAATTGTAACATATGAAATATTTTTATATCGTTTTATATTAAAATATAAATAGTAGAATTAAATGAGCATAGTAAGCTTAGATTCATTCAAAAAATGAACATCGCGTTACTGGGGAATTCAGGTAGATATTTTATTATAGTTGCAGTTTTTGAAAAAAATTAGTAAATTGGATTGACTAGCTTACTAGAAATTTATCTGTTATTTACTCATATAATATTATTAATTTAAAAGGAGTTGGAAAAACCTGCATTATTTAATAATATTGTAAAAATGAATTTAGAGATTTAACAGCTATGACATGCTGCATAGATTTTGCTAAAAAATAATTTGAAGATTTTCTTTTATGCGTTTTTGATACAGTAATTTTTTTATCTATTTTTTTAAAATAATTTAAAACTTCTTTCATAGCTAATTAAATTTAAAAATAAATAGGCTGGAAGTGAGAGGTACAGAGGCCTTGCTACTAGTTACCTAAAAAAGTAATAAATATTTCTTAATTTTCAAAATATTTATTTTATCATAAAAGCCTAAAAAACAAATATCATAAATAAGTGAGTAAACTGATAATTAATAAATGATTTTCTCCTATAAAAAGCTTTGAATTGTTCATTTAACACTTGAATTATTAGTTATGAATTTTTTTATTGAAAAAGTCAACATGCTGTGATTATAGTTTATGATGTTACAGACCCGAAATCAAAAAGAGATGTAATTAACTGGAAGAATATCGCTGAATCCTTCTCTCCAAGCATTCCAATAATAATTATTGGAAATAAAGTTGATTTAATTTCTAAGTAAATTCATGATTATCTAAAGTAGATAGATAGAATATATAATTATTTTATTTAATATTAAAAATAGCGAAGAGCTCAAAAGCATGCAGCAAGAACAAAATGCTTATATCTTTAATAAGACTTTTTTTACTTCTGCTTTACTAAACTAAGGTCTAGATGATGCATTTAACTACATCATAAATCAGGCTAAAAATAAATTAAATCAAAGTGTAATTTGCTCACCTAAAAAATTCAAAAAAAACATTAAAAATGATGAAAATCAAAAAAAAAATGCAAATAATTGCAAATGCTGAATAAAAATTCAAAAGAATTTTAAAAAAATCATATTAAATTTATTATTTATTTCAAACTTATTTTAAAATTTTTCTCTCACAACTAAACCTCACCTTATGATAATCATTATCAATATAACCATGTAAACAAACAAAAATAATAAAAGAATTTTGATTGTTCAAAAGGAGGGCAATCATATAAAATTAATTAATTAATTATTATTATATAGAACTAAAAGTAAGTATTCATTCACCTTTAAAATTGTATTTTACAACAAAAAATTAAAAAAAGTTAAGCATTTATTTTAAGAGAAAAACCTCTCTTTGATATTTCTACTCTTATATATAAATATTTAAAATATCTAATCTGATACAGAATATATCAATATTTCTCAATCCATTAAAATATTATTTGATTAACTTAAATTAATAAATAAGATTCCCTTTAAGAATTTGATTCTAATTTATATAAAAAAAAAAAAAATCCGAACTCCCGGGTTCGAACCGGGGACCACCGGATGACTACAAACTTTACAGTCCGATGCTCTTCCAACTGAGCTAAGTTCGGTTCGTTAAAATATTGCTTTTTTTAAAAGTAATATAGATTGATTTATAGTAATATTAAAATAAAAATAATTTATAATTATAGATTTAATTTAAACTATTAACTCCAAAAATTTTTAATATTATAAAATAATTTACTAATTTCTTGAGCTCTCAAATAAAATAAATGCAAAATCAATTTATTTTTCTTTAAAAACAAAAATTATTAGATCATCTATTATAAATCAAATGGATATATTTATTATCTTGATTGAAGTTAAAGCAATTTATTAATACTCATATTAAACTAAAAATAATTATTAATATATTCTTATAAACAATAGCAATATTATAAAACTATAATCTAAAATGATACTGAAATGAATAAGCATATAAATATTGTTTGCTGTGTGCATTAGTAATCTGTTTTCAGTTTTTAGAATAATATATTTTTTCGTTTGATTTATGAGTAAACTAATAATTTTTTTATTTAATAGTATTGATAAAAATAAAATAATTTTTAGATTAAAGAGCAAAATAGTTATTTTTGAATATTTAGTTTGAAGAATAAGAAGAATAAGTTACATATTATTTACATAGAATTTTTAGTCTATATTTTTATATTATTAATTGCTTTATAAACATCACTCTTTCTTTTTTATATTATTTTTATTATTTTATTTTATAGAAATAAAAAATTTAATTTAATTAGCAGGTTATTTTTTAATTCATTATTATTATTGAATCTACTCAACTTATTAAATAGCCATTCTTCTTTTATAAACACGTACCCATTTTGGCTACTACGAGATAAAATAGTATAAGAAAGTAATTACTAACAGGATCAAATGTTCCAAACTAAACATTGTAATATAAACTTGATTCCATATGTTAATTGATTCTTAGGACTCTTATACATTTAGATTATTAACGTTATTTGAGCTATTTAAATCAGAATCATAACACATCTGAGAGTATTCTTCTTAAATTTAAAGGTCGTATATTTTATAGTAATCAAAACAGAGGAATGCCACGTTTGTAAATATGCAGAATATTGAAATCAAAAATATAACTTTATTCCATGCATTTATACCCTGAACTTTGAAGGGCATTGGACGACGATACAATCTGTTACTAAGCTTAAATTTATCACTAGATCTTTCCAAGATATTAAATAAGTAAGAAAAGAAAGATGCCAATGGATTTACTGCTGCAAAAAGAGTAATAAATGCTATTTAAGCAACAACCTATTAAATAATAAATATTATTAAAATAAAATCTTAAAGCGAAAAGTTTTGAAAAGAGATTTAATTTTTAAATATTTTAATGATTCAAATAAAATTTTTTAAAAATTTACCTCAATGTAATCATCAAAATCATCATAAAATAGCATCTCAATTTCTCTAATGCTGTCAGCATAAAGTTAATTTAATTCTTCATTTTTTTTAATTGTATTATCGTCTTCTTCTGGATTAGTTTCCTTTTGTTTTTTCATAGAAATTATTTTTTTCATTACCCAAGGTACTACAGATTCAGTAGCTACTTTTCTAACTTCGTCAAGTAAGAATAAGGAACCCAAAAGACTTTTAAGAGAATTAATGTCCCTTACAACGAAAGCAATAAAAAAGAAATGAGTAAATCTATTAATTAAATCAAAAATAAAACGCTTAATAACAAGAGAAGAGTTAAAATCATTATTTGTTCTGTGATTTTCTCTTTAAGTAGACTTAGAGCTGATTGTGTTGTAAAACTCATTTATTTTCAATATAAATACTATCATAATTACATTAAATATCGTTTCCTTTAATGGTAATTTTGCTAAAATACCACCTACCTCCGTCAGGGAAGCAATTGATTCTATGTACAACATCGAATTCTTATGAATTAATCCATTCAAATTAAATATAATCACTTTAAGCAAAAAAGCCATCACTAACAATGGAAGACTTTCTAATGTGCTAATTATATACAAGTAGAGACGCTTAGATCTAGGGTAATACTCTTCTTCGCACATCGTAGTTACTTTTATTCTTTTCTATCCTTTGAAATTCACATTCCTATTTTTTATTAAAGTAAGTCAATTAATCTTACCCATAAATAACTATCAACCATATTTTATGTTTTGCATTAAAAAATAAGCACTAATAAATAATTAATTAATTATTATTCAAAAAATTTTCATATTTTTTTACTCAATAATTTTTTCAAGAAAATTAATTTTAATTAAATTAAAATGGATTTTAAAAAAATATAACTCATTTTTATTATTCTGTTTTGAATTAAAATTTTTTCTGAATTTAAGAACAAATTGGATAATTTTCCTTTAGCAAAAAATATTTCATTTTTGTATATTTTTGCTTGTTAAAAATTCATCTCTGATTCCTAAAAAATAAATTATTAAAAATTTATATTTGCCTAAGATGAAATTTTAAATGGATTTTTTTAAATTTGTTTCATGTTAAAAATTTATATTATTTTAAGAGAAAATAATTCAGTTAAATGTATTTGTATTTATTTTTTATTAATTTATGATTAATTCTTTGCTGGCTAATAATATATTGAAATCAGGATGGAACATAAAATTTATGAATAATGTTAATAAATTTTAATGTTCAATCTATTTGCAGTATACAACTCTTAAAAAATTAACTTTTGATTTGTAGAAAATTTAAAATTTAATAGTAATTATTGAAATTATCTTGAATAGAAATTAATTTTTCAAAAATTAATTTGGAATGCGTTATACATGCAATCATACTAACGAGGAAGATTATTTTTAAAATTAAATTTTGTAACGATTCGAAATTCAGATAGAAAAATAATATTCTTGAAAACTTTTATGGATAAATGAACTAATAATTTTACCTGTCCTCTTTGTATATCTTTTTACCAAATACACCCCACTTAACTTGCAACTCTGACTCATATCTCTTCCAGAATATATAGAACAAAGAGCTCCAAATGCAAATAAAAACAGTATAAAAAAAGTAGAAGTAAAGATATTATTTTGTGAAAAACTTATTTGATAACACATAAGTAATTAGACCCAGTATTGCTGGATAGAGTAGCCACTTTTGATAGAAATCTAAAAACTCGAAATAACTTGATATATTCTCTCCATAGTAATCCTCTATTGACTGAATCGAATCGCTTATAGCAGCATTTTTTTCATGCAAAGGGATTATTTCTGTTATCAACTGCTATTCTTATAAAAACTCCAAAAATCTTAAATCTTTAATTCGAATTTTATTCATGTAAGAATAAGTTATTCGAAGTCTTTCTGCAGGAGTGAAAATTCCTAAACCTCTTTTAGACATGATAACATTTCCTTCCTTATCTAAATCATAGAGCATTTCAGTTTTGATAACATTCAATTTCTCATATTATTAAATTCTAGGATCTATTTTTTCTAATAATTTAACCTATTCTTCTTTACTTATTTTTTTATTGTAAGTTTTAGTCGTTCCATTTATTTAATTAGAATGTCCATTTTAACTAGGTTTTTCTTGATTTGATTACTTTGTAAGTAGCTCAAAAGTTTCTTGTTAGTTTTATTAAAGTTAATTTTACTTATAACCATTTGTTTCTTTGTTTGCTTTTTCCAATTTTTAAAGCAAGCTTCTTTGTGTTGGAGAAGCAGAGTCAAATCTAAAGTATTATTATTATTTTGAAGCAACTTTATCTTTTTTTTCCTAAAAAGTGGCTTAACTTTGTCCTGCACTTCCCCCATTCTAATTGCTGTTTAATTCTTCAGAATCATCCATTGGATTTTAGATATTATTCAAAATCTAGTCAATTCTATAATAATCTGATTTTTAAGATTCAGGACTATTAACCTCAATATTATACTGATTTTATGCTTTAATCAACATTAGCTCGTTCGCTTGTATTTAAGTCTTAGAAAGCTTGTAATTCTTTCTGATTTAAAGCTCTTAAGCTTCTGTGAAGACTGTCAATATGTTTGAAAGCTCTATGAAAAGAATATTTTTCTTCCTATCTAAAGATTGTGTTTATAATACTTTCAACCCATACATACTAAACTATTTAGATATGGTTGATATTTGTATTTAAGAAAGATCGCTATTTAGAACTAAAGCAAACTAAGGTCCATCATCAAATCTTTCCTAATTATAAGTAGTTGACTTTCTTGGGCTTTTTTGTCTAAACATGCTATTTCTAACTAATTACTTTTTACTATTTTTTCTATTTAAATTAGATTTTCTTAAAAATCAAATCTTTAAGTACCTTTATTTACTTTATGGAAATCAAAACAAATGAATATTTTCTACTTTTATAAGAAACTTTACTTAATAAAACTACAGAAAACTAAGTGAAATTAAAAAAATATTTGTGATAAATTAAAGTCTATGCTACTATATAAAATTTGTTTACAATTTCTTTATTCATAGCTAAAAATAGTTAAATATTTATTCTATAATTTGTATAAAAAGTATAAAACTATATTTGACTTTAGATTAATATTTTGAATATACATATTTAAATAAGTATTCTTTTGTTACTGTAATATTACTTTACACGGAGCAACATTAATACAGTTCCAATTTAAAAAGGATTCTAAGATTTTTGCTTATTTAATAAGAGGAAACTTAGGACCATCATAAAATTTTTTCATGTTAATAATAGCTTATTTTGTTAGGGTTTTCAGTCTAAAAATGTTATTTCTAATTAATTATTATTTATTATTTTCTCTTTATAAACAAGATACACTTAAAAATAAATGAAAATAGATATTAAGAAAATTAAGAAAACTTATTCAAATTTAAAAATACATGTATGAATCATTTAGACCTGCACTATTATATAAAATTGAATTAAAATTTTTTATAACATATCTAACATTAATTCCATTTTTTTTCAATAATTTGCAGTATTAATGTTTAATAAGAAGTATAAAATTATGCTTATAAATGTAATATTTTTGATATAAATTTTGAAAATTAAAAAGAATATTTTATATATAAAAAAACTTTAAATAATGCATTCATTTCTTGTTGCTACTATATGATTTTAGAATTAAAAATATTCCATGCATATTCCTTGTTATAACAATCTAGTTAGAGTTTTAAACCAGCTATATTTATAATATTTTTATAAGGGATTCTAATATTTTTATATAAATATTTTGAAAAAAAAATAACATTTTTAAACAATTTTAAAAAACTAAAATGTGTGTTTTATACAATTTAATTAAATTTTTACATAAATTTTATTAATAATTGAAAATTTGTTTTTTATTAATAAAAATTCTCAAAAGCTATTTTCATTTAATGTATTTTAATTAAAATGAATATTCTTGTTAATTAAATAAATAAGCTTTTGACATGTATAATTTGAATCTCAGAAATATTATTTATAAAAAGGTTTGTTTGTTTAAACGTGAAATCAGATTAGCTTAATTATAAATAGATTTCTATTTTATTAAAAGCAAATAAGTATTTTATATAAGAAAGAAAGTAAATCATTAGGGAAAAAAAAAATTTGATAAATAAATAATTAATTAAAGATTCTTTATTTGAGCTTTAAACCAATCAATCCTAATTAATTGCAATGATAAAAAAGATTATGCCAAATAATCAAAATAAAAAAAAATATAATGGTTTAGATTTTGAAAATTTTTAGTGTAAACTGTTCAAGAAAATTGATTTAAATGAAAAAGTTCAAGAAGAAAAGTAGGTTTAATGCCCTATTATAGGAAGTGCATGGAGTGGAATAAATTAGAGACTAGATAGTATTCCTTTATTCTACTATGGAACATAGAATGGAATCATAGTTAGATTGAGTATGGAAAAATTAGCTTAAAATATAGAAATAGAAAGCAATTAATAGAGCAAGGAAGGTTAATAATCTTAAAATTAAACAAAAAAAGATGGTCTATAAGTCATAAAATAACTCAGGCATGTAATAAGCAGACAATAATAGATAAAGGATAATAATTTATTTAGTTAGTAGGATAACTAAATATGCGAATAAGATCACATTTTGCATATCAAAGCTTTTTAAATTTATGGCGATAAGTAACCTTGCTATCAGGTTGGCTAGGTGAATAATTGTGTTATTTTGAGCGGAAGAGAATAATATAACTTTGAACTGAAAATTTTCGATGAAAATTTAAATCTACTTTAAACTTTATAAAATTAAGTTTCTACACAACATTTTACTCGTTCTTTTAATAATATTTTGATATTCAGAAATACAATGTCATTCGAATAATCTTCTCAAATTCTTTTCAGTAAAATTATTGACCAAAAGCTTAAACTTTATAAAAAACAAATAACATTTGAGGACAAAACCATCTTTCCTACAACAATACTTGCAGATGGTGATTTTTTGTTTGTGGGGCTTTACCAAAAAAAGGTTTATGTTTACAGTATTAAAAAAAGAAAGTTAATAAAACTGATAAATCCTAAAATAGACACATATGCTAAAAAAATAGCATACAACAATAGTTTGAAAATTGTAGTAGTTATATCATTAGAAGATTAAATCTCCTTCATCAATCTAATGAGTGGTGAAGTGATCATTTAGTACAAATTAAAAGAAATATTTTAGATGTAAAATATTCAATTTTCTGACAAATTTGAAATATTCCTCTTCTGTTTTGTAAATGATGATGTTGTTTTAATTGGAGGATCCTTTAATTGTTTATTTTTTTTCGACTGGAAGGCAGGTAAAGTTTTAAAAAAGTATGTAGATTATGCTAACTTTGTGGGAGCTATTTTCTATAATAATTTTATATATCTAACTCATGAAAAGAGTAGTTTTATTTCAATTATTCAATGATTTATTATATATAAACAATTGTAAGCAAAAATAATTAAATAAATTTAATCAATAACAATCTTATATTAATCTAATTTAATAAAATATATACGAATTGAAAAAATAAGTTAAAATATCTCATTATATCAACTTATACATACATAAAATAAGCTATTTAATACAATAAATTTTAAACATTTTTTTTGTTTTGGAAATTAAATAAAATAATTTTATGAAATTGTTAATTTTTAATTTGCATTTTACAAATATGAAATACATTTAATAAATAATAAAAACTCTTTATAATTTTTTATTTAATTTAAAATTTAATATTTTGTACTTATAGATTATTTTTATAATTGAGAATACAAATTATTTAATCTTTAATCACTTTCTTTCGTTTATATTTTATTCAAGATTATCAATTTAAACTTTTTTATAAACTGATTTTTAATTTATTTAGTTTAGAATCTTGAGTATTTATTATCAAAAATGAAGTCAAATAAAAATTCTTTTAAAATTTTTATCCTAAAAAAGGTTTCATATTTTTGCTTAATTTTAAATGTTAGGATTTAAGTTATTTAAAATTTGATATTTTTTTCACTTTAATCTTTATATATATGATTCTAAATTTAAATATTTTATTTAAATTCCATTTAATTTAATTTCAATTTTAATATTTAAACATTTATGGATAATTTAGTTAATTTTTGAGAATATTTTTGCAATTAATTCCAAATTTTGTTTTCTTACTAAATTAGCTTGTATTTTTATTTACTTTAAAGTATTTTTTATTCGAAAAATTCAAGTATTTTACAACAAAAACTACTTTAAATACTTAATTAATTTTACTTTATTTACACTTTTTTTATTATTAATTTAATAGGCATTAAGGTTTATTTTTTATTAAAAGAGAAATAATTTGGTTCTTAGAGGATTTTAATATGGATAAAACTTATTAAATATCTCAACTTAATATTAGATGCAGGTAATTTTAAGAATTAATATATATTATTATATCGAAAAGTGATTAGATATCAAAATTCATTATAAATCAGATCAGTTCTACTTTGGATTTTGTGATATTAAGAAATTAAATATTTTAAAAGTTTTTTAGAAAGACCTGCTGATAATTAATTAGATAAAAATAATTTAAAAAAGTTAATTGTTGATGGCATCCTAAAAATATTAATAAAGAAAAAATAATAAGAGGTAATAGCTAAATCTTGAAGTGTTTGAATGCAAGCTTCTGTAAAAAATAGATTTAGATAAGGATAACAGCATAGATAACTCAAATCAAGATAATTCAGAATAAGCTTTAAATATAGGATCAGCATGGAGTGGTATTAACATAAGAAGCGACTAAAAACCCATATACTTTTATGGAACGGAGCATGGTTTTGCTGTGAGATTAAGCATACAGGAAACATAAAGTGCTAGAAAAGAATGTGAAAACTAAAATAATGTTTTTAAGATATTTGATCATGAAATTGAAAATAAAAATAGGAGTGAAAATGAAAATTAAGTTGGCAAAGGTGATGAAAAAAGTAGAAATTTAAATATTTAAATCCTAAAGCTTTATGATAGCAACTATCCATGCTTGTAAATAGGATAACTTAACAATAATAATATAGCAGTTAGTACTAGGTAATAAGGATTTTATTAGCTGCACATAATTAATCAAAACTTAGAAAGAATATTCCTTGTAGAAAACCCCTTTTCTGCAATGTAGTTTGCAAAATCTAAAAATAATACAATTATCTTCAAAGAAAAAAGTAGCTAGAGTTCGTTCCTTCGATTTGGGAAAATAGAAAATAATAAATTTAAATATTATGATAGACAAATACATCTAGTTGATTAAGTCACTTGTTTATATGTCTATAATGATTTTTTATTTATTGGTTTATACAATAAGTAGCTATCTGTGTACAGCATTAAAAATAGGAGAATTATAAAGAATATTGACACTTAAACATAGTTCAATATAAAAAGGATTATTTATATCCCTAAATATAAAACGATAGCTGTTGTTTCTACTTCAGATGAACTGTCTTTCATTGACTACATAACTGGAAAAGTCACTTAGTTATATAAAATCTCCAACATTTTTAAATAAGAGGAACTAGATTGTTCAAGCAGAGTTTAAATATTTCTCTTCAATTTTGTTAACCCTGAAGTTGTGTTAATCGGCGGATCATTTCCCTATTTGCTTTTCTTCGAATGGCAGTCTGGAAAAGTTATAAAAAAATATACAGACTAATCTTAATTTGTTGGCTCATTCATTCACAATAATCTTCTTTATTTGACTCATGAAAAAAAAAGCGATATTACAATCTTGTATTGAGAAATCTCTTTAAATATTTCATTTACTATATATTTTGTAAATGAAAATTGAGTATTTTACTTCGCTAATATTTTTTATATGCTTATTTTTGAGCTTCTTTTATTTTTGATCAAATTAATTTCTTTATTTCTGATCACAATCAGCGTTTTTGAGTTTTTGAGAGAAAAAATTAGCATTTTTATGATCTTTGTTAAAAGTATTTATAAATAAATAAAAACTAAACACATAATTTGTTGGACTTTTAAGATGAATTCAATAAATTTTGCAAATAATATTCAAACAAAAAGTTTAAAAACTAAAATAATTTCAAATTTGAAAAGAAGTTTTATATTTGTTTAAGCATATCTTAGTTTAATAAAATAATTTCTAAGAGTGTACTTTTTATTTTATATATCAAGAAAAGTAATAAGTAAAATTAACTTAAAGAATTGTAATAAACTGACAAATAAATTAATAATTGCAATTAATTTAAATGAATTAAAAAGCATCGTAAAAATAGGAGATAAATGAATCAAATACTTCTGATTAATAGGATGTCCCTTTTTAAGGATAGTTTAAAAGAATTATTAGCAGTCCAATATTAAATCTAACAGCTGGTATTGTTCATGACGAGTACAATAATGATTTTTATTGGGGAACATAAGATGGATCTTTATATATTTTTAGGTATAATTAATATGAAAAAATGAAATCATAAAAGCTAATAAATTTGGACAAAGAAGATATTTTAGCTGGATAAGATAATCTTCTTTAAAATTAGTAAATAGAAGATTTAAATTAAAAAATGTAATTTCTTAATATTCTTAACGAAAATGATTATGAAAGTCTAAAGGAGAAAGATAATCATACTGATGTATTGGAATAAGAATTATGTTCAATCTCATAGTATCAAAATGAATAAAATTCTACAAGCAATTTTTTAATCGGTAATGGAAAACTTAATTTTAATGGAAGTTAAATTCAATAAGTAAAATAGTAAAATAATTTACAGCCTAATTTAGGATTTCCAAATTGCAGCCCTGAAGAAAATAAAAAATCACATTTAAATTAAAATTGTAGTTAGGGAGATTAAAGTTTTGGCAATTTAAGTTAATAATAATAATAAAACATAAAAATTAAAATGCAAGATGATAATAATAAATTATAATTCTTGGAATAGAAAAATTAGTCAAATTATTCTGATAATTTAAATTTTAATGATGCCAATAGCAATAAACAAAAAAAGGATTAAATTTTTAGTGAGTCTTTAGAAATTGATAAGAATACTCTAGACTAATCAGTTAAATAAAATAGCATATATTAATAAAATAAAATGAATAAAAACGACATAAATATTTCTGATAATGAGTATAAACTTGATTACCCTTAAGAATTGAATAAATTAGATAGAACTTAAAACAATTTAATAAATTAAGATAAATAGAGTCAGAAAAATTAGAAATTTCCTTAAAATAATGAAGATGTGAAATAGAAATAGAACATTCAAAAAAATTATTAAAATCATTATCAATTTACTTAGTATATTAATAATTCATCTACATCGAAATAGAATAACTAAAAAATTAATAAAAGCTAGTTTAATGGTTAATAAAAATCCAGTTAATCTTTTGAAGTTCAAGACAGCTGGATAAGTTAATATTGTTAAAAGATAAAAGTTAGTGATAAATAGGTTTTTGAAATAGTTGTGTTGAGAGATGTGATTTGTCTGTCGTTTTTTGGAAATATAGTTATTGCTATCGAAAAGAAAACTTTTTAAAAGGTTTATTAACTGAAAGGAGACCCACTAATATACTAAGGGATTTCTTTCTTATGCAAGTCTAACCATGACGAAATCATTGTAAGATAGGATAGTATAAACGGAATAGAAGTATGGAAAATAAATAACTTTAAAACTGTCAAACCCAATGTTAAAAAGCTTTTCTAAACTTCAACTTCATACCAAGATTAATTTCATGCTATGCTAGTGATAAAAATTTAATTAATGATTTATGGCAATAATCAAGGCACAATAAATATAATCAATTTAAAATCAGGAAAGATAGTTTAAAGTTTAATTAAAATATTTAAAAGTCAGATAATTAGCTTATCAACAAACAAAAAATCATAAAAAAACGAATAAATTCTAATTGGAGCTGATTCTAAATGGAATTTCAAGATATTTTCATTACCATATATGCAAACTATTACTCAATTTAATGTATTTAACTTAGGTTTCACAATGCCATCATTCCACCAACAACTAAATATTGTGAAGGTATTAAATACAGAGGCTATTTTGATATCTGGAAGTAGCAAATAGGCAGTCATTTATGATTGGAAATAAAGTAAAACTATAAAAAATATAAGCTATTAAAACAGCAATTTTTATTCTTTTATTAATCTTTCAAAACAATCCTCTATCATTTTAATCAAATAATTAAATTAACAAAAAACTTCTTTTCTAATAACTGAATGGAGTTGATTTGTCTGAATTGATCTCTTAAATTGTTTATATTATCTAAAATATTTATTAATTACATTAATTTAGCTATGAAATAATATAATATCTAAATTTTCTTTCCTTCTTTCTCAATATTTTAAAACTAATTAGTTTATAAATTTAAATGTTTTTTAATCTTAGTTAATTTAACTTCTTAAAATATTCAAATTATTTGCTATTTATATGAATAAAATTACTGATATTAATTCTCATCATTTCATTTTATATCATCATTAATGCTTTCATTTAAGATATCATTAATATTTTCATTTTAAAATATCATTTTTTCTATTTATTTTAAAATATTGTTTATGCTTTTAAATTAAAATAATTATTTTTTATTTACAAAATAAATTAGATAATTGTTAAAAAATTAAAAATTAAATTACAAGATATATATTTGAATTGTCTTGATATATGTTTCTTAGTAAATATCATTTAAAATTAATTTTAATCAATAGCTTTAAATAGAAAATATTCAATTCTTAAGTTATGATAGAAATATTTGAAATAAAAAGCTGAATCTAAAAGAAATAAACAAGCAGACAAAATGCTATCAAATAATACAAAGTAAGATAATAATCAATCCTGTATATTTATACATTAAATTCTATTAAGAACTCCACCATAACCTATCCCAAATACTTGTTGGAGGATTAGGATTATCAGGAGAACCTTCATCGGGTTTTCCTTCTGGCTTAGGTTATGGATCGGGTTAAGGTTCTGGTTATGGTTCAGGAGCAGGCTAAGGATCTCCTTCCTCATATTGAATATCATCTTATTTAAATTAGTTAATATGATTTGAGTGATTAATCTGCTTTTTAAGCTAATATTCTTGATTTTGATTTAAAACTTATGGCTTTTTAAGTGTCAGCAATCTATTAATATTTGAGTCGCTTTTTTAAGCTGTAACACAGATATTTAATATAGTAGCAATAATAAATAGGTACAATGCTATTTTCTACATTATTATAATGATAAAATCCTTAAATTTTGAGCTTAAGTGTATCTAAAATATGTGTATATAAAACTTTTTATCCTAATACTTTTTTAATCAGACTATTTGTTTAATATTTTCTATGTTTATTTTAAATTATTAAATAAATAAATATTAATTAATTAATTACATTGATTTCACCTCAAAACAGTAAACATATTTACCAAACAAAATAAAGAGGTATATGCATTTATCATTTCAAATTTGAAAATATTCTATGTATATATTTCTGATAATTTAATATTGATTTACTTTCATAATTTAATTATCAGATGCTGTTAAAAAATTATTTTAAAATTATATAATGCTTTTTCTTATATAATTATCAAACAAAATTTCTAAATTTTTTATGAAATTAAAGAATTAGTTATGCTTACATCAAAATAGAAAAATGGTTCTATAATACATAAATTAGAGCATTTACAGCATATTTATTTTAAATAATTTAAAATAAAAAATTAAATTATATTTTAAAATAATTTTTAATATGGCTGCTGTTTATGACAAATAGTAAAAATTAATTTTAAAGCTAAAAAGTCTTTCTATGAAATTTTTTACTGCTTATTTGCTTCATTACTACCAATAATATTTTGAGAGAAATGTGAGCACTTATTATTTGTTAAAACGAGCAAATAGAAAGATAAAAATAAATATTTTTGATTTGATTCTATTCAATATTTTGGTAATAAATTAGGCTTAATCCTACTATTCATACAATACAATAAATAATTTAGAATTAATAAGCAAACTATTTTTATATTAAACAAATAAAGTTATAATAAGTAAGTATATTTGATAGTTTTAGATATGTCTGACCAAACTAATAATGATTAAAAAACCATCAAAGATTTTTAGTAAGCAAATCAATAAACTTTTTAAAGCTTCAACAACCCTATGGCGATGAATTAATAAGCCGGTTAGCAAAGTTAAATGCCTCATATGTTTAATTAGGCCAATAATATGAAGATAGATCTTTTAAATTTTAAACCTACGACTTAATTTAATACTCCAAATATGAATAATTTCATGCCACAGCAAGGAATACAGCCTTCTTAATAAAATTTTAATATGAATAGCAATTTCAACTTTAATTTCTTTAATTTTCACAAACCTCCTATGCCACCACCTCCTCCTCCACCAGTTAATAAACAAAACAATTAGTATAAAGGTAATAATAACTTTCATAACAATCACAACAAAAACCAATAAAATCGTTTCAATCCTAATCAAAAAAAAAACTTTTACAATAATGGTAACAACAACAATAACAATAATCAATATAGGAATAACTATTAAGCAGGGTTAAATAATAATAATAATAATTAAAATAACTAGCAAACAAATAACAATAAAAATAATGCTTTTAATGGAAATAATTAAAATAAGTAGCAATAGCAAAATAACAATGGAGATTAAAATCAAAATAGAAATAAAAACAATAACTTTAATCAAAATAATAAAAGAAAACACAATAACCCCAATTAAAATAATTAATAAAACGATTAATCTAACCTATAAAATAGCAAAGATGTACAAAGCTAATAGTAGCATATGTAGCAGTCATAAAATAGATCTCATTTGGGATAAAAACACCCACATTAAAATAACAAGTAGAATCATTAAAATAAAAATTAGGCAGTGAGTTTGTAGATTTACCAAGAAAACTAAGATGAAATAAGAAAATGGATAGAATAGAGAAAAAAAAACTATCCAACTTCTGAAAATATCAAGAAAAAACAAACAGAAGAATATAGGAATTAATAGAATGGATAAGTAAACAGAGAAGAGCTTTCCAAGTTAGAATAAAAGCTGAGAAAGAAAATTATGATTAGCAATTCTAGCTTAAAAAAGCTGGAAATTTAATAAAAGCATTATGAAATGTTGAGAAAGCTTTACACTGAGGGAGACAAGGCACCAAAAACAAAAAAAATGAGAGAAGAAATTGAAAATAAGAAAGACAAAAGATAAAATAGGAAAGATGATAGACATAAAAATTAAGAAAACTTTAAAAAGTAAGAGGACAGTAGAATCAATTAGCAAAAGATAGATTATTCTGAATAAGAATTGAAGTAAAAGGCCAAATTTTAAAATAAATTAAAGAACAAACTAGCTTAAAAGAGACTTATCACACTTTAAATTTTAGAAAAAATCTAAAATAGAAAAGCAATTTATGATTCTGTATAATAAAACATAGAAGATAAAGCAAATAGTAGTCTAGAGTTATAAAAAAATGATTAAAATTAAATAATTGAAGAGGAAAACGATGATATGCCAATAGAAGTACCTTTGGTAAGCTTGAAGTAAAATTAAGCTGACACCACATAGATAATACAAAACTAGCATGAAGAATAAAGAAAAAAAGTGAATGAAACAGAAAACAGCAAAGCTAAAAATAAGAAAAAAAGGAGAAATGATCATGAAAACATTGAAGATGAAGACTAAGAAAACAGTAATAATGTTAGTAACAGAGCAGGTTAGTTTTCCGAAAAAGAAAAAATCAATGAAATGATAAACGAGCTTAAAGAAAAGAGAGACAAGTACTCTCAAGAATTAGATTTATCATTTAATTACAAATCTAACTCATCTAATTTCAGGTATAAAGCAAATACTCTTCTAACTAATTTAGTGTTAGATGAAATTTATAGAGAACGTAATTACTTATTGCAAGCCATAAGATATATAGTTTCAAATAATTTCTTTGATGAATAAGCTGAAAATGTTCAAAGCACTTAAAGTTAAGATTTGAAAAATATTTAAGATACAGCCAATAACAATTTAACTCTTTAGGATGTTGAACAAAACCAGGACAGCTAAGGATAATAATAAAGCAATTTTGATTCAATTTCCAATAAAAATGAACTAAATTCAAATAATATTGAAGTAAATTTAGACAATTTAAAGCAAATTTCAGAAATTTAAGAGAAAGCTTAATAAACCATAAATTAACTACCAACAAGCTTTGAATAAGATTAAAATTGCTTGTAATAGATCAAAGAAGATGCTTAAAACGGTATCGAACCAGTCGCTTAAAAACATTAAAATTAAGAAATTAGCTAATAAGCAAATCATATTGAAGAAGAATAAGAGAAATAATGAATATAAATTAAATTCTATAAAGACATTTGAAAAGTTACATTTTCAAATTAAAAAATTAATATAAAAATGAGATTAATAATTATTAAATAATGTTAGAACTGATAATTTATTTATTTTATTTCTTTAAAAATCTGTATTTTTTGGATAAAATTATTAATTTGGTAATTAAAATAAAATTCTTTTCTTTCTTTTTTGTATATTTTAGCTTTTTAATTTTAAATATTTATAAATTAAAATCATGAAATCTCCTTTTTTATTTAAATTAAAAAAAATTAATAAATTTCAAATATTTTCTAAGAAGATTTAAATAATTTAAAGTAAATGTCTAAAAGATAAGAGAAAGTAATAAAACAAAAATATACTTTAAGTAGAGTTAAAATACTTTGGAATAGATCAAAGAGGAGACATAAAATAGTTTTGAAAAAATATGCCACTTAAAAAACATAAAAATGAGCAAATAAATTAATAAAGTAATTTAATTGAAGAATAATCATGAATAAAAATAAATAAATTCAATTCTAAAACAACGTTTATTTAACGGTTTTCTTTTAAAATACAAAGTTAATATAAAAATGAGATTAATAATTATAAAATCAGATTATAATTTATTTATTTATTTATTGCATTTTTTATGAGAGTCTCTATTTTTTGGATAAATCAATTTATTCACTTTGTTTAAATTAAAGATTTTGTTTTAGAGAATAGAATTAATTAATTACTCGCATATAAAAATTTACTCAGAATACATCTTAAATAAAATATTTAATAATAGATTTATATAATTTATTATTTTTATTAAACTTAATTTTGCTTTTAGGAGATTTAAATTATATCATTTGAAAATTAATTCAGATATTAAACACAGAAATAAATTTATTAAAAATAAATCTGTAAGGTTAAATTGAAAAATCAATTTATATTTTATTTAATAAATTATCTTTATATATAAACTATAAAATATTTTCATTGTTTTTGCATTGAAAATGTTGAAGTCCTAGAAAAGGAGGAATTATTAAAGTTGTTTGATTAATTTGTCTTCATTCTTTTTTACTATGAACTTGAAGGACTTTCCCTCACTACTTAAATTTCAGAAAACTGATAGATTTGAGGGTCACTTGTCTCTATTTTAGGGGCGTTAGCTTAACTGTTTTATTGGTGTTAATGCTATTTTAGTATCTACCTCTTTTTAGCTGCAAAACTAGCTGGAGTATCAATGCTTAGCTGATCATCTTCGGTGTTGTAATTTTTTTTATTTTTTTAATCGCTTTGCTGAATATCTTATGCACTTTACAGGCTGTCGTTCTCGTAAATTTCGTACTCATTAACTTCATCTTCGTTACTATCAGAATTTATATCTTAAATGTCTTCGTTTTGTCCAACCTCAATCAATCTTTTCAGCTCTTATTTCAGCAATTTGTGAGCAATTAGAATAGGTATTAAGTTGAACTCGAATTCATTTTATATATTCTCGGATGACACAATATTTTCTTATGAATTAATTCTTCTTAGTGAATTATTTATGGAAGATATTTTTTACTCACTTTAATATGCACTGCCACCTCCACCATTATTATCTTTAGTCTTTTTTTCGTTCTTTAATATTCTGTCTTGCAATACTAAGAGCACATCTCTCCACACTTCGTATGTTTCTATCTAGACAAAAGGCTTTAGAGACTCCACGTAATTCATAATGATTACTTTTTCATTAGGCCAGTCTTCCTTAAGTTCCAAAAACTTTGTCTCTATTTCATAATTATCTCTAACTCCTATAAATTTACGTTATGCTGCATCCAAGAAAAGATGATTTTATAGACAGAGTGCTGTGAATTTTTAGAAAGAGAGACATTTTTCGTTTTCAGTGATAATATCAGCATTAGACTCAAACATTTTAAAAGCCTTTGAAAAAGAGAATTTATCAGCTTCTATATGTCTAAATAGTGTTAGGAACTCGTTCAAATTAATAGATCCATTGCCATCTAAGTCGCATGCCAAGAAAGCATTTTTCACATAAACCTTAGTAGAATTCATAGTCTATCTATACTTTGCAAGAACTCTGCTTAGTAGCTGATCAACATCTATTACTAACTTGGTGGTTTACTTAGCTTCAAATTCTTTAGTTTGCTCAATAAAAGCACGTAAATCATTTATTTATTCCTAAGGTAAAATCTTTTCTAACTTTACTTTTAATAGATCTAAAGCCCTAAGGTAGTGAGTATAAATTCTTAAATCAGATTCATTGAACGGAATAGCACTTCCCATCGTTGATCCTCTAATCAAAAAATGCCAACAAGAAATGTACTTATCCATTTCTTCAATACTATAGTTTTCATCATCTCTTGAGAATACTCCAATTAACTTTCCAAACAAATTAACACGGAATATTTGTTGATAATTTAATATATTCATTAAAAAATGTAAGTATTTTTATTCAGCAACATTCTTAAAACCATACTAATGAATGAATTTATTAAATACAAAAATACACATTTCTGTGTCTGGTGACAATCTGCTTTCACGTATTTAACGAATACGATCTTCGTAAATTTAAGTTATCTGCTTTAAAACGCTTTTTAAAGGAAGAAAACCATTAAACTTCTTTGGTAGGCCTATCTCACGTACTTTCTTTGTTAGGACAACACCAGAGTGGATAGATTTGTCTTAAACAGTAAGTTTTTAAGCTACTTTATTTGTATTAAAATTTAAACGAAGTGCATTGCTTTTAGAATTTTATTGCTTTTATTTCTTCATTTGAAGTTTTTTCTTTAATGCCTCTTAAGGGAATAAGTCTTCTTCAAATTTCTGATCTATTTCTTTTGGTAACCTCCATCTTATAGAAGTAAATTATTAAAAGAACTGCTCAACAACAGATTTATAAGAATCCTTTTGTGTCTTTTACACGTGATTAAAAATTTTATAGGTAAAATTGAATAGCTCCTACATAATCTTTTATTTCATATAAAAATAATAAAAAAATAAAATCTATTTTTAAATATTTTACTTCGATGAGTTATTTTATAGATTCCTCATAGTTGCTAGATTTCTCACTCTCTAAATTATATAGCTTAACAACTTGTAAAATTTATTCTTTAAGTTCTTATTTATTATCTCTAAGAATCCTGTTAGCTTCTTTGATTTTTGATTTTTTATTAATACCCTTATAAGATTCATTTGTATTTATTTGAATTTGAGAGTTTGAGGACTCTTCCTCTTGCTAGTTTTAGCTTCTAGCAAAAGTAGAAATTTGCAAATCTTGCTGTAAATTTTATTACCTACTGCTTTTTGTGTTGTTAGGAGTTTTATTCTAAGTACTCGTAGAAGGCTATTATTATTAAGATTTTTTTGTTGGTGAGCTTGCAACAGAATTGTCCTAATAAAATAAGTTTCAAAAATATTAATTAATTAAATATGTAAAAATAATTTATTTTTAAATAATAAGGTTATTAATTAATAAATTTGCTTTGATATTTTATAAGAAAAGAGTTAAATATATAAAATTAATTTAATATATAATTAAAATAAAGAAAATCTTTTATATTAAAATTCAGAAAAAAAATACAATAAATAATAATTAATTAGCTAATAAAAATTTATTAAGCAAAAGGTAGGTTTGATCATTATCAAAAATTTTAAATAAATGAAATATTTCATTTTTTATTGTTTTAGCAAATAATTTGAGTTAACTTCATTCATTCATAGTAGAAAATAAATTAAATTTTTAAGATGATATTTAAAGCTTAAAAATTAAAAATTGGTAATAAAATTTACTCTTGTTTAATTGATTGGTGTTCCACCTGGTACACTGCTGAAATATCTAGATTTTCTTTGAGTTCTTAATGCTATTTTAGTAATATTTTTGTTGCTACTTGGAGTTTCTTCATTAATTTTGACTTTTGTCCTTGAGTTTTGAAGATTAACTTCATCTTCTTCTATTTCTTCTTCACTTTAATCTTCTTCAGCTGAATCATTGCTTTCAGGGCAATCTGAGTCTAAGAAATTTTTTAAGACATGAATTTTTTCTGTGAAATTTTCAATTTCTTATTTATTTATTGGCTTTTTAATTTTGTTAATTGGCAAACCCCTTATTAATCTTACGATGCTTATTCTTTGTTTCACTCTCTAAAATATCTGTTTTGTATTGATATGACTATTGCTTTAGTTAACTTCATCTCCTAGTAAAACACTTTTATTGTTTATTTCACTTATGTTATTTACATTTTCGCTTTCACTAATTCCAGATATGTTTAAAAGCTACTGCTTGAGCTCTTCTTGCTAAGCAATTTATTTGATTCTTTCATTATCTAATATTTGATCTAGTTATGGATCTAAAAGTTACAACTCTGTCTATATCGATGAGGAAACCATTGTAGCCTTAGGATTAGTAATTTTAGGGTCAGTTTGACACTCTTGATTGTAAAAAAGTACAGGAATATTTTCTTTTACTTCTTTTATTAGCACATCATGGTTTTCAACTTTTGTGATTTTTTAGACATCTCTCAAGATTTCTTCAATATCACAGTCATTTTCATCTTCATCATCTTCATTTATGTCCTATTGATCTGCTTATAAATTTTCTATCTATTTTTTCAGATCAGATTAGCTTTTAGCTGTTTGAGTGTTTGGAGATGTTTTATCTTATTTGAGAATAGGCGATGTAGGAATTTATAATAGTATCTAATTTGGATTATCTTTTTACTGGTTTTCATTTAACTTTTCAGTAGTTTACTTCAATTCAAGACCTAAAAAGTGATTTACTTCAATAGAATTTCTTTTATTTTGCTATGGATTCTAATTTGATTTTTATGCATCAACAAGGGTGTTTGATTGCTAGAAGCCAAATATCGCTTTGCTTGAACAAGTTTAGTCAAATATTTGTGTTTTCGATGCTTTTTTATCTTAGCCCTCTTATTTATAGCTTAATCGTTCATTCAAGTTATTATTTTCATTACGCAGATTTAGATATTCATTCTTAATTATTGTGCTTACCCTTCTTTGTTTTAAGAAGGTTTGGTTCAGCTGATTATACTTTTCAGTCATCTGCTTTAGCTGTTTCTCCAATTGTTTATTCTCTTCACCTAATTCTCCCATCTTAAATCTGAATGCTTCAACATCTTGTTCATTTCCGAAAATATTTATTTTGAATTCTTTTTCTTTGTCTTTTAGCCCTCCAAGAAAGAGAATCATGTCATCTCTCTTTTTCTTTTCAACCATCATATGCTTTTTAGTTTAAAGAAGCAAGACACTGCTTACCAATTCTAAAATTAAATTCTTGCAATCACTATTTAATTACTCAGCACATCTCTTGATACCTTCTCTTAAAATGTCTTAGAAAGACTGTGTTTATTCTATTAAAAACTGAAGCTCACTTGTTTTTCTATCCTTTTTTTTTACTACTTCAACACAAAGTAGTTTCTCTACTTGCTTCTTTATTTCTCTAAAATCTGATGTTTTAAGAATTTATTTTAAGTTATTTTATTACTAGCTTGACGAGCATTTAGGTGTATCAAGAGTCTAATTTGATGAGTCGTTCTGATATTACTCTGATTCAAAAAGATTTGTCAATTAAATCAATTATTTCTGTATTTCATCTTTGTACATGTATTCACAATCCACAAAGATGGTTCTTATGTAATTTATAAATCCAACATTTTCTATTTTATCAAATTCTTATTTTTCAAAATTATTCAAATTCTAAGGAACAACAAACGGGGTTATTCTAGAATTAATTTTTTGATTTAATTTTTCATCTACCAACTAATTTTATTTTAGTCCATTTAATTAATCAAGCTCATTTTTTTTACTAGTACTACTAGCTTCAGATTTCTTCTTTTTATATAGTTCTCGATCAATAAATTCTTAGATATTAGGAGGTTTATCAAATTTTATTTAAGAAGAACTTGGATAAGATCTCTTAATTTTATATTGAACTCCCTCACTTTAAATATTATTTCTTTTGTATTCAACTGGTTTATTGCCAAAGCAAGTTGAATTATTGCTACTGCTGTTAAACTGACTATTAGTTAAATTTGTATTTGGTTTTACTTCTATTTTTAAGTTATTTATAATAGAATTGTTGTTAGTGGTATTTTTAAGACTTATTGCACTTTAATTTACACTAGAATACATTTAAGAAGAGTTAGCGTGCTAAGCACCAATTTAAAGAAATTGTGTGATATTCTTCATCTTCTATTTTATAAACTAATTATTGTTGCTATTTTCTTATATTAACTATTGCCTTTTAGTAATATCTTCTTTTGTAGGAGAGATGAAACCGACTCTGTAAGTAGATGTTTATTGCTAATTAAAAGTCTAATTAAACTTTAACTAAGTAGGCGAGTTGATAAGCAACTAGTTTTCTTGCAAATTGGAAACATTTTAATGATTTTAAATATTTGATTTAGAATTGCTGAATGTGTTTGTTGGGGGATTATGGTAAGAATTTTTGAACCTTTAAATAGAAGAAGAAATAAAGTAATTATTGTCTGTTATTTAATTCTTTTTATCTTCCTCTTCATCCTATATATTTTCATTGCTTAAAACTTCATTCGGCAGTTGATAATTTGTTCTTTTGCTTTGATAACTTGTCTGACTTTGCCTTATGTTTATGTTTTTACTTGACCCTTAAAGAGACTAATTTCTATTTATACCATCACTTTGAGACATCAAATACTGATCTACTTTCTAAGGAATGAAAAACTAAAATGCCTAATTGGTTTAAGTTTTAGACAAGTTATTGCTATTTTATGATTTTTAAGATAATAATGAACCATTATTTGAATTTGGTAAAACTTATCCCAATAAATTCCTCGGACTAGTAATTTGCCTTAAAGATGTCCTTTAATTATTAATTTATTATTATGAGGAAGGTGCTTATCCTTCACTATTATTTTTTTAAATTAATTCCAAATTCCTAATTTATTTCTTAGCTATTTGCGAATTTTCTTGATTACGATTACTCTAAGAATGACTTTATTACATTGGTCTTAAATTTTGTGTTTTTGAAGCTGAAGATGAAACTGTATTTGACTTTGGCTAATTAGTTTCATCACTCATATTTATGAAAATATTAATAATAAGTTATACGTAAACTAATTTAGTTAATTTTTGCAAAAAATTTTAGATTAGTTTAATTAAAATAATCAGTAATTAAATTTCTAATCTTTATATTTGGAGTCTTTTAGAGTCTTTCATGGTTACGATGATAAATTTTACTTATTTATTACACTATTACTGAATTATTTTTGCTTTAATTCTACTAGTCTATATAAATTTTTAAATGACTCCCAATATTCTAGTTATAAAGAAAAATAGTTTGTAAAAATCATGAATGCATTGCCTATTAATTTCAACTTTTGGTTAAACTAAATCAGTTTATTTATAATAAAAAGAATTAAAGATTATAAAACACACACAAATAATCTAAGCTATGCTTATAATTTAAATTTATTCATTCAATATTTGCTTAACTTTTAAAATATCTTCAAATATTTAATTAAAAATTAATATTAAAATGAATAAATATTAAAAATATGTTTAAGAATTAAATTATTCTATTCCTAAAGACAAGTCTGCAATTAATTATATAACAAGAATTGAAATTTTATTCAAGTAAAAATATTGAATAAAATACAACAGTAAAAATTAATTTATGCAAATTCTTTTTATATTATAAAATTATAAAAAAATAATATATTATTCTTCTGAAGCCAATGTTTTTTTTTTTTTTACAGAAGTATCAATAAATTTGTTGATCTTTAATTTCTTCTTCCAATTTTATGTTTTTGCTACCTAATTTATTATTTACTTAGTAGATTTAAAACTCAATTTCATTACTTTTCTAAATGAGGTTAGATACTATTTTTACTTAGAGAATTTATTTCTGTGCTGAACCTATTTTTTATAAAATTAGATTGAATTATTATTTTCAATCATTATGATAGCTAGTCTTCTCTTTAGATAAAAATCAAATTTTAAAAACTATTTTATTCTATTTTTTAATTTTTTAGAATGGATTTTAAAAAATTTAACATAATAAATTGCTCTTGATATTTGTTTTTAAATGCTAGTGTAGAAAATTTATCAAAATATGATTAAAGATATTCAATGATTTTGAAGATTTGTTTTAGATAAAATTAGTTTTTAGCAAATTAATTTTATTCTCTTTTTTAAATGTATAATATGCACATTAAAATTTTAAAAAATTTAAATATTTTTAACATTTGTTTGATATAATCATAGAATGTAATAGATTTTTATATCAAAATGTGATTTTCACTAACAGTTATTCTAATATTTTTGATATTTAGATAATTGTTTAATATTTTGAAATTATTTATTCAATTTTTTATGTGTTTTATGTATATATCAATTTTAAATAAAAATAAATACATTTCATAAAATTAGCTAAAATATGAGAGAATAAAAATAGATAATTTATAAAAATGTTATTTTTTAAAGCATTTATTTAAAATTTTTAATCTTTATTTTTAGATTATTCTTAATTCTTTTGAAAATCATTTTTCTCTTCTTTTTATTATATTAGCTTATTTTTATTTAAAAACATGTTTGATGTACATATTAATATTTTTAATGCTTTTGATATTTATATATGAAACCGAGGGAATATAGAAAATCAAAGATTTTTTACCAATTTAAAAATTTTTAAAAATTAATCAAATATTAGATATTTTAATTTTTAATCAGAAATTTACAATTTTTATAACTTCAGAATATTTAGTAATAAACTTAAAAAAGTCAAAAAATTTAGCGAAAAATGCCAAGGATTACTTAGGAATTGTTAAAGAGTAGGGCAGAACATAATGAAGGATGCTTATCTAATTTAGAAGAAGTAAAAATTTAAATAGCGTTTGATACCTATTTCAAACATAAAAAATAGAAATTATGTATTTTTAAATTAGATCACCTTGCATTAGTTTGAATTAGAGAAAATAGAGTTGCTAGAGACCTATTGCAGACACTTAAAGATTCTATATTTGCAAAATAATATAATAGAAAAGATGGAAGGATTAAGCAAGTTAAAAGAACTCGAATATTTAAATTTAGCACTCAATAATATATCTAAAATAGAGGGTATTTCGGGGTGTGAAAGTTTGAAAAAACTTGATTTTACAGTCAATTTTATAGATTTAGAAGAGTTAGAAGACTCTCTTATTAATGCTTCAAGGTGTCCATTACTAAAGGAACTTTATCTCACTGGTAACCCTTGCACAGAGTAAGAAAAATATTTTTATATAAAACTTTATCATATTAAGAAAATTAAGTAGAGATTAATTAACTTGTTAGTCTCTTTAGTTAAGAGCGAAATTAAAATTTTAATAGATTGATATTATTGTAAATAGTTGGAGCGGATATAGAGATTTTACAATTGCAACTATCCCATAATTAGAATCGTTAGATGGCAAAGAAATAACTCCTACTGATAGAATTAAGGCCAATCAGGCTTATGAAGATCTACTAGTTGACTTGCATCATAAAATTGAAATGAGATAAATAGAAAAGTAAAAGCAAGAACAATTAAAAAATTAGTAAGCTATTGTTCCTGCTGGATCTATAGAAGCTAATTAGGAAGACAAGAATAATGAAAAATGTATAATTATTATTATTATATTTTATTAGCTAATTGAAATAAAATTCTATTAAGATATTGATAAAAATGGTTTCCATTCAATTACTTACAAGAGCCCAAATGAAATTATAAATTATCTATCTAACTTTTTTATAAATAAAATACAAATCTATTTGTTAATTTTTAAGATAAAATTTTATTTTTAGATAAATAAATAAATTGGTTTTATTATATTTTATCTAAATTATGAATTCATGAAAATTATTTTAAACTCAAATTTGAAATTTTGATTTTAATGAATAGAGCCTTATACCAAAGAAAGTAGAAAGTAAATGTATCTTGAAATGGCTCAAGATAAAGAGAAAAAGGAGAGGGAAAAGAATCCTGATAAATTCAAAGAACCTAAAAAAGAATCATCAATGTTTAGAACAGACGGAGAAATTAGATAGTGTAATGAGGGTAAATACGATTTTAAATTGAAGGAGTTTGATGATCCTGAATGGTCTTTCTTTGAGTTAAGTGTACCTAAATTCATGGATACAAGCTTTTTAGATGTTAATATAAACCCGAAATGGGTGAGTGTTAGAGTTAAAGGTAAACTCACCTAGCTACGTCTTGATCAAGAAATCATTGTAGAATAAAGCGAGGTAAAAAGATCTCAAACTACTGGATCTTTAGTAATTAAAATGAAGAAGTTAAAAGCTAATGAACTAGTTAAATTTTAAACCAAAAGAGAATAAGAAGAGTAAATTAACTCATTTTTTATTACTATTTTGTTTTTTTTTAAATTTGTAATTATCAATTAGAAATTTTTAAACATCAATCAATTTTTTAGAATTAAAAAAATTTTAAAATTAATTAATTTTTTATCTTAGCATTTTCTCATGTAAATAAAATAAAAATTAAAATTTTCAAATAAACAAAGGAAGAAGAAAAAAGAAGAAGATTTAAAAGCTTAAAAACTAAAGGAGTAATTAGAAAGAGAGGAAAAGCTTAAACTTTGCGATAAGATTGAATAAAAGATAATACAAAAGACGCAAGATTTTACAACTTTTGATGATGTGCCAGATCTCGAATGATCAAAAACTGAAATTTAATTAAAAATAAAATAATTATTTTTATGTTGGTGGTTTTGTTTTAACTTAAATTCAATCATTTTTTTTTTGCTCAATTAAGTATTTTTTTGTTTTGTTTTTCCAGCTTCTTAAAGAAAATTTGAATTTTATTAAATTAAGATTATGACAAATAGATAGAAAAATAGATACAAAGAGGCATTTATGAGTAATAAATAATTAAATTTATTATTAGTAAAAGAAAAATCCGCTTGATATAAATAAATTAATAGATTATTTGTTGGATATCAAACGAATCAAATAAATTAATTTGTTTATTTATAGATTCAAAATTGTTAAACAGAAAATTAAAAATTAAAATATAAAATATATTGAAAATTTGCTAGAATCTAAGCTCACTTAACTATCTTTTTGTTAATTAAACGAGTGAACAATATTTAGATTTAGTCAAATTTCAAAATAATAAAATTGCAAAGATATTTCTAATTAAAAATGACCAAAGAAGTATTTTGTTAATTTTAATAGAAATATTTTGAGTAATTTCTATTCGAGAGAAAATGATTAAATTTTTGAAAAATGCTTAGTAGATAATTTAATATCTTTGTTGTTTGCTATATTTAAATGAATTTTTTACCTTTTTATAGAAACACTGATATGTAAAATTGAAATCAGAAGTTAATCAAAAGAAAGAGTGAAATATAAGAAATGCTTTTTTTGTTTATTATATATTTATATTTTATTATGCCAATGGTGGAAATATATTTGTTTGTTTGTTTCTTTATTTCTTTCTTTGTGAAAATATATATAATTGATTTGGATTAATGTATTAATACTTAAATTAGCTTATAACAAAGATAAGAATCATTGAAGAAATGAATGAAAAATAACTAAGTATGTGATTCTTTTCATTTATTCATTCATTTAATTATTCTTCTTCATTCACTTATTTCTTTGTGAAATCAATCAAAATTTTAAAGAATAGATTTTCTTCATAAAATTAAGAAAGGATGCGTACTTACAAATTTATAATTGATTAAAAAATTGATGAAAATTTAAAAGTCTTAAAAAAGGAAGAAGCTAAGCTTGTAATTAATTAATTGAATTGATAATATACATATATATGCAGCATCAAGGCAATAACAAAATTAGTCTAATTGTCAATAATCATATCTAACAATTCGAAATTAAGGCTACTCTTCCCTTTTCAAACCGCTCCAACTTCAAGCCTCCTCTCTACAGAGGTAACGCACATTTACTGGTGGCAAATGGAAAGAAAAATCATTCTTTATCTATCCACCACCCTCATCATTTCCACCTGAATAATAATGGAAATCATCTAAAAGTGATTCCCACAACAAACAAAAAACCTAAAAACTTGAACAGCAACAATAACAACAGTATAAATAACATTAGCATAAATCACTCAAATTCGAATAGTATTAATCTTTAGAGCAACATTCCAAATTCTTTTCATCGACCGTAGAGTCCTGTAGTGCTTAATATATCCAGCGATCGACATAACTTGTATTAATAATAGTAGTAGCAGTATTCTTTTTAACATTAAGCACACAATTAAATACACAATAACAGCAATAACAATAATAATAATAACAATAATAATACTAATAACAATTGTAATAATGTGGGTCTTGGGGGTAATTTTGGATAGCTAGGCTTTATGAGAGACAGACCTCAGAGAAAGAATCGCCATAACTCAATTAAATTGATAAAATAAAAGGCAGAACATAGTGTCTCATCAAAGTAGATTAGCTCTATAAACATTTTATAGTCTCATAATCCGAATTACTAAAAGCACAATATAATTCCATCTTTGATCGAATCTCCTATCACAAAAAGTAGTCACAATCACAACAACCACAGTAACATAAATGGAAACTTTTCAAGTAACGACCACACTTCTGATTTAGATAAAGCAAACAATAGCAGCAACACGAACAACGGAACAATTTCAAACATCAATATCAGCAATATTCAAATAATGAATAATAGCAGTTCAAATAACAACACTAATTCGAATCAAAATGGAAATAGTTCTAGCCAAAATTATAATAACAGCAATAACCAAAACCAGAACAATAGCATTTCGTCTTCATTTTAAAATATTGGAGGCCATCAGAATAATTTCCCCATTTCTACAGAATCGAACAGAAACAGTATAAATAATTTGAGTAGTATAAATAATAATAACAATATTAATAATAGCTGTAGTAATACAAATCATAACAACAAGAGTAATCTCTCGTCTTACAAACGCTAAGAGAAGAAATATCGAATCTCAAAAACTCAAATATTATTTCCTTTTAATTCTAAAGAAAATATTTGTGACCCAGAGAGCTAAAACGCAGCTCAGAATTCTTCCTCCAAAAACAACACCAGTAATGCTTGCAATTAAAATCAAAGCAACCATAACAGTAGCTAAAAAATTAACAATATCAATAACTCCCATTATGGCAGTAATAGTAATAATCTACATGCATTGAAACTCATATCACATAACCCTAAAATTGTTAACAATCAGAATTTCGAGGAAGACGTCATTCTCTTCAATAAAGCTATATCTTAACCCACAGAAGTGTTGCGCGAGCAGATGGCTCTAGGAACGCCTCCTCAGCTTGCAGCCTATACAACTTCTGCAACCACTGATACTATTCACAGACAGTCATTCCGCATTAAGCATTACAATTTATCATCGAGACAATCTTCGAGAGGAGGTTTAAAGAGCACACAGACTAGTGATCCAATATCTTCTCTCCAAACTCACAACAATATAGGAGAATCTATTAGCTAAAGCAACACTAACAATAACACTAATTAATTATATTATGTAAATAAATAAACACTTGCAAAACTATCTCATCAGGAGCTTGGCGATTTGTCTCCATGTAATAAACACTAAAATCCACCATAATATCACTATCACCACAATAACTTTAACCAAAACAATTTTCCTTACAACTATAATTTCAATTAAAAAAGTAGTAGCAACATTAACAGTAGCAACAATAATATTAATAATGCACATTTAAATTATGGAAGCAACCATGTTAACAATTAGCAGGGAAGAATTTTAAGCTCAAGAAGCGCAAATAAAATCAGCCAAAACATGATTAAAAAGATAATTAGATAGCCATCTACTCACATTTAGTCAGAAGAAGGAAATAGCATAATCCGCAGAGGCAATATTTAAAATAATAAATTAAATTAGCAAGTAAATGCTATCGTGAGAAAGAACTCTTACTGGCAAAATCAAAGAGAGTAGCTAGAAAGAAAGAAAAAGAAAGAAAAGTCTATGATATCTTCAAACAACGATGTTACTGAAACTCATCACACAATTATAGCAGCTTAGTAGAATTAGCAAACAGAGCCTTTCTCAATCGATGACTAAGAAGAAGAAAACAAAAATTAGCACCTACTTTTTAAGTTTCCTTCTAAGGATGAGAAGTAGTTTTTTATTTAGCATGATAAAAATATTGATTAAGCTAACATTAATAGAAGAGATAATTCTCCTAAGCTATGTTTAAATATATCCAATAACAATAACCTAAATACCATAAACACAAATAATCCTAAATCTTCAAAACGTACTTCAATAGGTAGAATTAGTTAAAAGCAATAGCAGCTTTTAGCTCATTAACCTGTGCATTAGGTATAAGTCTAATAGAATATTAATTAATAACATTAGCAATAATAGCAGCAATAATTATAGCAAATTTAGCAGATTTAAAACAAATTTCCACAATTTAATCTTTAATCTCAACTTTAAAGCAATGGCTAAAATATTTTAAACAGCATTAACTAGAATAACAACTTATTTAGTCTGAATTAAATGAGCACGCTGCTAAACATAAAAACCCTTAGCATAAAAAAAGCAATAAGCAATGATTACTCAAACAGACATGATGATATTATGATAACTGGAACGAATCCATTTCATGACGTTGAGCTAAGAGAACTTCTTGGTGAAGGTATATATATATATATATATTTAAAATATTATTTTATATATTTCAATCCAAATTATTTAAAAAATTTAAATGAAAGAAAAAATAAATTTGAAGTAATCAAAAGAATAAATAACTTAATAAAAGTAAAAGATCATTTTAAAATAGTATTTATTTATATAGGGAATCTAGCATAATAAATCAAATAAAATATCATTAAATAAAGAAGACTTTAAATTTTGTTTGAAGTTAAAATAGTCTATTAACAGAAATTAATAGAAATAAGCAATTATTTGCTAAATATTATTTCAGGGTTACTTACATTTATAAAAAAAGATAATCTCCTCTAAAACTAATTTTAGTAGGAAGAACATAAAATCTAAAAGCATTTTCTAATTTTGCTTAAAAAATAAAATATTCAATAAGGAATCTTAATTGTAGAATTTAATGAAATTAAATCTTAATTTTATCCTTAAAGTCTTAAATTAGTTCGAATTGGCTAATTGTAATCTTTGCTTAAAAAAAAAATAAATAAATCTCTCAAAAATATTCAGAAATGTTTATATTAAAATAAGTTCGCGCTTTTCTAAATTTTACATAAATAAAAGAATTTTTATCTTTACACATAATTACATGAGATTTGATAAATCAATCTTTTTCAAAAAACATACTAATAAACAAGAAAACAAACAATCATTCAAACGAAGATGATTTATTTAATTTACAAATTCCCAAAATCTTTTTTTACAAAAGATTAATTTTTTCAAATTGTCTATTTGATGAATTGGCTCTATAGATAGATCGATTATTAATTTGTTTCTTACTAATTAAAAAATTTAAATCTAATCAAAATTTTTTAATTAACAAAATTGTTCATCTATTTCATCTAAAAAATACTGTTTCAATTACTTTTATTTTTACATTTAATAAGTTATGATGAATAAATTTTCAAATTTACAAATTAACGCAAATAAAAATATTTTCTATTTTAAGTAAAAACTGTTAATTTATCTTATTAATTACTAAAAATAGGAGCATACGGAAAAGTCTATAAGGGCTTCATTAAAAAAACAGGAAAATTTATTGCAGTTAAATAGCTGAAATTAGGATTGAAAGACAATAATAAGCTTTAAGAAAAGTTAGAATAGTATCTCTAAGAGATAGCACTTTTAAATCACTTAGAGCATCCAAATATTGTCAAGTATTATGATTGCAAGCACGAAGAGGATAACATACTTATTTATATGGAACAAATGCCTGGAGGTTCACTATCTTCTATGCTTGAAAAATTTGGTAGATTTGAAGAAGCTCTAATTAAAAAGTTTGTCAAATAGATCATTTCAGGACTTGCATATCTCCATTCTCAAGGAATAGTCCACAGAGATATCAAAGTAATTCATTTATTCTTCTAATAATTTTGTTATATTATCAATTAAATTTAGTTAGTTGTGAAAAAAATATTTTTTTGAGAGTAAAAATTTAATTTAAAACAATTCAATGCTTTATTTTATAGTTAACATATATTAATAAAATTCTTTAGGGAGCAAATATATTAACTGATGGAAATGGCACAGTAAAGTTAGCAGATTTTGGCGCTGCACGTTATAGAGATACAATTTGCTTGCCAACAGCTGATGGATCAGAATTTTGTAATTCTATTAAAGGGTAATATATTTATTTATTCAATATAGAATTAAATTAAATGATTTAAATTTTATCTTATTATAATTTAGATCATTATATTGGATGGCTCCTGAACTCTTAAATCAAGAATCCCATGGAAGAAAAAGTGATATTTGGAGTCTTGGATGCACCATGATCGAGATGGCTACTGGAAAACATCCATGGTAAAATATTTTTAATTTATAATATTTTATATTAAATCTATTAATTTTTATTAGGCCAGATTGTAGAACTTTCCCTCAATTAGCTCTAATAGTAAAAACTAATTAATGTCCTCCTATTCCTGAACACTTGTCAGATGAATGTAAGGATTTTATAAGGTAATGTTGTACATTTGACAAAAAAGAAAGACCAACGGCTGATGTATTATTAAAGCATCCTTTCTTAAATGGCGATTGATTTATCTAAATGCATAATATTCAGAAAATTAAAGACAGTAATTAGTTAATTCGTAAAAGGAAATCTCAAAGAAATTTATTTTACAAGAAAACTAAAGTTAAAAAGCGATATAGAGTAAATAAACAAACGAAATAAGTAAGTAAAAAAGTCAAAAGGCATTAAAGTTGATTAATTCAAAGTACTTGCTGCCTTTAATTTCTCCAAAATTTTCTTATTTATATTCAAATTAATCATATATAAAAATGATGTAAATAGAGCTATAAATTATTAAAGTAAATAAGTAAGTACTCAAGGAAAGCACTTAGAATTAAGTAGAAATCATCATAAAATATGTAATTAATTCATTAGTATAATGAATGAATCTAAAACCTAAAGAGGATACTATTATATTAGCACTGAAATGGATTGAAATAAAATAATAAAATAGCTTGATTAAATTAATACACTAATAAAAATACATACATAAATAAATAATTACTTATACTTCTTCATCTTAAAAGTCTTTTTCTCTATAAAAAAATACATACAATACTATATAAAAAACTATTTATGATAAGAATTAGAAATGTTTAATTTAAAGTAATTCTAATTAGTAAGAACAGTCTAATTAACTAACTATTAATAATAATAACAATAATAATAATATTAACAATAACAATAACAATAGCAATACAAATAAACGAATAGTAATGAACGAAATGAATATATTACTAAACACTTTTCCATATTAAAATATCTAATAATAATTATATTATGAAAATTTCTTTTTAAAGTAAAATGCTCACATTCATTATGTATTTCTCTTTATTATTTATTATCAAATTTTCAAAAAATAACTAAACAATTTATCTTTTACTCTCTTTCTCTCTCTTTACAGTTCTGACTTTCACTAACTCAAAAATTGTTTTTATTTATTTTGATTTTAAATATTTTTTGAATTTTAATTAGGATTATTATTCATTTTCAAATTAACATTAACCTCTCTTCATTATTTAAAATGAGTAGAGATAATTCTTTTTTTAATAATTTTCAACAATGAAAATTTTAAAATTCCAAAAAAGGATTGTACAAAAATTTATAATCAAGCAATTTTGATGACTTTATCATAAACCCTGATTATAATTTTAATATTGCTTGAATAAATTTCTATTTTAAAGAGAAATAAAAGTATATTTAGAATATTTTATAATTAACAAATAGATGTAAAAAATTTATTTTTGCCTTAGCTTATTTTATTAAGTTAAGAGAAAAAACTCACAAAATTTTATATCTGTTACAAAAACTTTGATATTTTAATTAAATTAAAACTGTAAAATAATATTTTAGAAAATAATTATTATTTTAAATAGGAAATATGAGTAGAAATTTAATAAATTTTTACATGTAAAAATATTAAAAAAATTAAAAGCTAATTTATGTCATTTGGTATCATCTTTTTTGCATTAATTTAAAATATCAGTTAAATTTTTAATCAAAAATATATCTTTTTTTTAGAACTGATAAGCAGGTAGAGATTAAAAATTATCTTTTATTATGAGTAATTCAAGAAAAATTGAATATTCTGAAGTTTAGAAACACAATAGCAAAAATGATTGCTGGGTCATCATTAACGATTAAATTTATGACCTGACTAACTAAAAAAAGTTTCATCCTGTAGGTGAATCATACATAAACATCTTTGCAGGAAAGGACGCAACATGGTTTTTTAACTTAAATCCTATTCACTACAAAAGCGAAATTAGAGATATTCTCAAAGGACTGAAAGTAGGAAATTTAGTAAGAAAAGAAGGGGAAAATATTCCTGATAATAAAATGACTATTATACCATTATTTATTCTGATTGTTGTTGCACTTTTTTATTACTTTTTATTTTTATGAATATTTGCACTAAATAAGACTAAATATTGATAACTTTTTTAAATTCTTCACAAACAAAAGTGAATGTTGAATTGTTTTTATCCCTATAGTTACTAATTATTTTATTATTAATTTTAAACCTAGTTAGAAATGTAAGTTGAACTATTTTTTAAATAATATACGTAACAAAATAATATTAAATTATTCAAGAAAGTAACAAAAACCATAGTATTATTGCTTTTATAAAACCGTACATTTTAATTTTTTTAGTAATCAAAAATGTTGTTCTAATTATTTTGTTTGATTTTTATTGGAAAAAATTCATGAAAAATTTATTAAAAAAATAAATAAATATGCAAGAAAGTATTCTTTTATAAAGAAACATTACATAAAAAAATCTTTTATTCATTATTACATTTTTAAGTGTGTCCTTTACTTATGATATATATACATATTTGAATTATACAAATGACAAACACTTAAAGATTTATTAATTTATTTCACCAATCAATTACTACTCTATCGCCAATAAATTTACAGTTTAGTTCCTCATTTTTACCAAAGGCAACCTAAGTTATGAGATATAGTGTGGTATCGTTGCCTTCTTCAATGGTTCTTTCTGCTTTATCTGTTCCCATGTCTGTTTTTACCCAACCAGGAGTTATTGTAAACATCTGTTAATTCTCTTTAAGTAATTACTTTCCTAAGTATCTAACATAGGCATTCAAAAGAAATTTGGATACTTCGTAAGAGCTAAAAGACCATCTCATTTTTTCATTATCAATTCTAGTTTCACATTGTTTGTAGAAGTCTTGAGCAAAATCAAAAATTTATTTTTTTGAGAAATTTTTAGGATCTGTAAATATTTTTTAGGTAGCTTCAGGCTAATTAGACATCCAACCTCCTCTAGAAGATATTTATATTATCTTCCCGTCATCAGCTAGTATAGGTAAGAAAAGCTCAGTCATTTCAATAGCCCCAAATAAATTAATGTTTAAAGTTTTTTAGGCAACATCTAAAGTAGGTTGGTAGCTCTCCTCCTTTTAAAATTCTGAATGAAATAAATAACCAGCATTATTAACTAATACATCAATTTTGCCATATTTCTCTTAAACATATTTGAAGGCAACTTGTCTTGAATTATCATTTTCTACATCCAAAAGATGGAAATCAACTTCTTCGTTTGGGTAATTCTCTTTTATTTTTTACTAGGCTTAAATACCTCTTAATTGATCTCTGGCTGTCATAATTACTTTAAATTTTTAAGAGTGTTTAGAAAGAAGATCTTCCACTAAACCATAACCCAGGCCTTTATTTGAACCAGTTATTAAAACAACTTTTTTAACTTTTTCCATTTTTTATTAATTCTCTTTAGAAATTTGTAAAATTTTCAATATATTAATTAATTATTTTTTTGATGATAAATTTAATAAAGATTTTTCTGATAATTTATCTATCTATCTATCAAACAAAATAAACACTGTAAGTAAATATTTTGAAAATTCCAGCTATAGTTAATATGCCTTTTATAGTAGTATTTCTATTAAATAATATTTAATTTTTAATTAACATTAAAAAATTTTAGAAAAAGATGCAATTTCAAACAAAAAGAAATGGAAAATGAAAATGATATTTCATGCTTATGAATAGGAAGTTTAAAATTTTTTTAAAATGAGAACAATGTAAGTTATTGAATATTTCTAAAACTGAACAATAATTATGAGTAATTATGTATAAAATTAAAATAAAAAAATATTTATTTTAAAATTTTTATAAATAATCATTTTAAATCTAATATTTCTCTATTAAATAAATTTTTAATAAATTCTTTAGATATATTTAAAGAAGTCATTTTTTAATAGCAGTTAAATGAAACATAATTATACAAAAACTAATAAATTTAAAGTTAAAGGTTTTTTTATTTAGAAGAAAAATAATCAAAATTTTTGTTTTTATTTATTATTAATCTACTTTAAATACATAAAAAATTCTATTTTGTTCAAATTAATAATATTTTAAATATTTTATGTATAAGAATTTAATGACAAGTAGATGATTATTTTGCTAAGTTTTCATCACTGTTTTCAATTATGGAGTTAAATTTTATTTTATTATTAGGTTATAATAATTTATTTATTTTAAGATTATGAACACTTGAGTTAGCTAAATAAGTTTATTTTTTAAACACAAAAATAATATAAAATATTTATTTCAAATATTTTTTTCTACGATTTTTTTTTAAATGAAAGTAGAACTTTTATTAAATCTTTAAAATTAAATTCTCTGTTTATAATTATTGGCATCTGAATTATAATTTCAAAACATTTAAAAAGTAAATAATCTTTCTTTGCCTTTATAAAAATCAATAGTTAAAGTTAATTAAATAATAAATAATATTATTTTTACTAATTCATTTAATTAAAATCCTTTACTTTTAGAACAATTTTGGTTTTTTTTTAAAAATAAAATTTAATATCTTAAATTATTTCAACTATAAAATAATTTTTAGCAATTTAGCTAAATAAAGCAATTAAATACATAAAAATAGAAAAGTTTCTAATAAAATTTACTTAAAAAATAATCTAAATACTAAAACAAAATGAAAAAAAAGTAAAATAATATTAATTTAGTTTGTTTTGTGAATTTAATGAGCCTTTTTTCACCAATCAATAACATTTCTATCACCAATAAACTTACAATTAAGATTATCGTTTCTACCAAAAGGAACAGTTGAAATCAAATAATATGAAGTATCATTTCCTTCTTCAACAGTTCTTGGTGCATTGTCTGTACCCATATCTGTCTTGACCCATCCAGGAGTGATGTTATACATTGATTAGTTTTATTTTAACAAGCTTAATCCAACATGTCTGGTAAAAGCGTTTAATAGGCACTTAGACACTTCATAAGCACTAAAAGACCATCTTTAATCTTAAGGCTAGATTTTATTTTCACATTACTTGTAGAAGTCTTCAGCAAGTTCAGTTATTTTTTGTACAGAAAATCCTTCTGAATTACTAAGAATTTGCTATGTTTGTTAAGGTTATCTACTAATTTAACCTGCTCTTGAAGAAATTTGAAGTATTTTTCCATCGTCTGCAAGGTAAGGGATAATCTATTGAGTCATCGAGATTGTTCCAAACAAATTGATTGAAAATGTCCTTTTTGCTGTCTCAACAGAGGGTTAATAACCTTCAGGTTAATTGAATAAATCGTGAGTGAGTAAATAAGCAGCATTATTAACTAAAATATCGATTTTTCCATATTTTTCAGCAATATATTTTACAATATTTATTCTTGATTGTTCATCTTCAATGTCTAAAAGATGAAAGTCTACTTCTTCTGCAGGGTACTTGGCCTTGATTTTTTAGAAAGCCTCTTCTCCTCTAAGCTAGTCTCTTGCTGTCATAATAACTCTAAATTATGATGAGTTTTTGCTTAGAATATCTTCAACTAGGCCGAAACCTAAACCTTTGTTTGAACCAGTTATAAGGACAACTTTTTTAATTTATAACATTTCTTTGTAATATTCAGCAAAATTATGAGAAAAGATATTTTTTAAGATAAATCTATTTACATTTCGAATATACCTATTTAATTGGAAAATCAAGTATCTTTCGTATAATTTACACTTGTGCTAAAAATAATTTAAATAAATACATCTTAAATGTATCATAATTTATATCTTGTTCATTATAATTTTATTTCTTTCAAAACAAAAAACTAAAAAATGAGAGAATGCTAACAATTTTTAAATGTAAAATATAAGATAACATTTAAATAATTTATTTTTTCAATTTAGAAGCAAATATTGAGAGATAAAAAGCAAACTTAAGTTTTAAAAAAATAAAATAGAGTTAATTGAAAGTAAAATATTATTTTATTAAATTATTTTTAATTCTATTAAATTAATTTTAAAAGTAGTATTTTTAGTTTTTTTATTTAAAAAAGCAAGCTATCTAATGAATAACGATGAGTCTTTTTAGGAATTTAATTTGAAGTAAATTGAATCAACTCAAATAACAAAATAATTATAAACAAATTATTAAATTAATTACTAAGCTAAAATGATGGCTAATTGGATTTTAATTTTTAATAAATAAATGAAGCTTTGGATAAATTCAAAAGTCTTTCTTCTATTTCTATAAATTTCAAGTAAAATGATTTAAGTTATTAAAAATAATTTCTTTAAAAATAATAGTCAAAGATAAATTGGAAACGAAGGAGCTAAACAGCTAGGAGAGTCAATTTCTCATTTTTAAAATCTTAATTCTTTTTAAATATAATTAGAGTAAAATAACTTTTTTTGAGCTAAATTATCCATAAATAAATATATATAGAGAAAACAATATTGATAATGATGGTTGTGTTTTTCTAGTCTAAGGAATAGTTTAGTGTAAAAATTTAAAATCAATTAAGATAAATTTAAAGTAAATAAGTTTAAATTTGATAAAATAATCTAAATCTTCATTTTTATTCATAAGTGATAATTTAGTTTCTGATATTGGTGCATAAGCTTTGATGGAAGGCATACTAACAAATATAAATTTGAAATATATGTCACTCCATATGGAGTAAATTTCATTTTAAGTAAAATTTTAATTTATTAATTGTAATAGAAATAATAGAATTACGGATTTCACCATATAAAAGCTAAATAATTTAATTAGTTCATAAGTATTAGGCATAGTAACACTAGAAATAATTCTAAGGTAAGGAAATTAATATTTTTAATTAAAAATGTTAATTATTCAAATAAATTAGTGATAATTCTATTAGTGATATAGGTGCTTAATTGTTAGGTATGGCATTAAGGAATTGTGAAAATGTTTCATCTGTGAAAATATCACTCAAGTATTTAATTTATTTTTAAATAATATTAATAATTTTAGTTTGATTTTCAATTAATTTAATTTAATTTTTATTATTATAAAAAACTTTGATTTAACTTAATAAAATACTTATGAATAATAGTGATAATAAGTTAACAGAAAATGGTGTAATATTATTAGCTTAGTAAATACCATTTATTAGGAGTTTAGCTGCTTTAGATCTTTCATTTGTGTAATAATTTATTTAAAATATGTTAGTAAAAAACAATTTAAACAAATAAAATATTTAAGCTTTAATAAAATAATATTTTATTTAAGTTTTAATAAGTAAGTGCTGTTAAAAAATCTGAAAATGATAAAAATAATGAATTAATTAATTTATTCAAAAAAATAATAAATAAATTTTAATATTCATTAAGAATTGTAAAAAATTATTGATGTAATTAAAATATTTTTTATAGGAATTGTAATTTAACTGATTTTATGCCTGAAAAGTTTGGAGAAATTATTTTTGCATGTCCAAACTTAACTAAGATTTGGTTAAACATGGGGTAACATTAATAAATTTATAAACCAAACGAAACAGATTTCCTTTATAAACAGCTTTAATAACTTAGGATGTATTGGAATACAAAAATTAGGAGAGTGGCTTCAAAAAAATTAAAATCTAGAGTTTATTAAATTAATGTTATGGTACTATGATATTTAAATTTTTTTATTTTTTAAAATAAACTAACTTATTTAATAGGATGAACTTTATCAGAGATGTGGGTATTATTTAGCTTTCAAAGAGCTTAAATAAGTGTAAGAAAATGTATTTCATCAGTCTTAACATATTGTAATTTATAATATATTTCATTTAAATTATTTGATAAAATTATATTATTTAAAGTGATAACAAAGTTACTGAATTTGGTATTAATAAAGCCCATTAAAGTCTATGGAAATCAAAAAGAATAGTTAATTTTTAATTAATAAATTGATAATGAAGAAACCATAAAATGAATATTTAGATTAGTTTTAAACTTTTAAATATAAATTAAAATCGTATATTAGTCAGTATAAAAATATATTAAAATATTTTAAATGTATTAAACAAATTTTTTTATTTTATTCTAGGAAATTTTATTATTTAAAAAAAAATTAGTTTTATTAAGCTTAATATTCTGATATCATTGTTTTATGTGAATTATTTTTGCTAATAAAGAATAAATATAATATTTTTAAGAATCTAAAAATTACATAATATTTTTTTTTGTGCTTTTTTTTACCTAAAAACTAATTAAAGAGATTAGAATTTTTTAAAAGTTAACGAAAACCTTTACTAAAAAATTTGAATAAACTAAAAAAAATATTTATTTGATTATTTCTCTCCTATTAATTAATTTACATGCTAATATTTATAAGTTAGCTTTTATAATTTTTCATAAAGTCTATGGAAATCAAGACGAACAGTTAATTTGAATTAATAAATTGATAATAAAAAAACCATAAAATGAATATTTAAATTAGTTTCAAACTTTTAAATTCAAATTAAAATCGCATATTAGCCAGTATAAAATTATATTGAAATATTTTAAATAAATTTTTTTATTTGATTCTACGAAATTTTATTATTTTAAAAAAATTAGTTTTATTAAGCTTAATATTCAGATATCATTGTTTTTATATGAATTATTTTTGCTAATAAAGAATAAATATAATATTTTTAAGAAACTAAAAATTACATAATATTTTTTTTTCTGCTTTTTTTTTTACCAAAAACAAATTTACGAAACTAAGCTTTTACAAAAGTTAACGAAAACCTTTACTGAAAAATTTGAATAAACTAAAAAAAATATTTATTTGATTACTTCTCTCCTATTAATTAATTTATATACCTCCAATATTTATAAGTTAGCTTTTATAATTTTTCATACAGTTTATTATCGATTTGATATGAATTTTTTTTAATAAAATTTAATAACTTAACTTCTTTTTAAAAAGGTATTATTTCTTTATTTCTTTATTAATTTAATAGCAACAAACATATTTAATTTAAATGGCATTATTGTAAAAAAATAATAATTCCAAAAATAAGAATTCAGATATCAAAATTTGAATGAGAAAGGTAAAAAATTGTTAAATCTAATTTCAATCTATTAATCGCTAAAAATGTTACTACTTTTTAAGAGATTACAATTTAAATAAATAAAAAAAACAATGATATTTATTTATAAACATATTTCAACTGTTGTTAATTGCCTGTTTTATATTGAAACATTTAAGAGTTGAGTGAAAGTAAATTTAAGTAATAACGAATAATAAATAATTAGCTAAAACTTAATTTAGTAATATTTAGTTTAAGTAGAACAATCTTAGGAAGAATCAATAAATAAGTAGGAATAAAGATCAAAATAGCAAATAAATAAATAAAAAATATTTTAAAACTAGTTGAAAATGAAATTAGATTTAGTAAAAAAAGCAGCATCTATATTTTATTTTTTATTTGTCAAAAGCAATCAAAAAAAGCACACACAGATATTCTTTTTTGCATAAAATATTGTCTACTTTTTTTAGCTTATTAGCATATTTGATATGAATGTTAATAGCTCAAATGAAGCAGATACTTATTTACAGGGATATGATTACTTTTTATAACTTTTTAGACCCTTTTATCTCATTCACAAGCAACAAATAATTGACCCTGTTATAAGCCTGGCTTTTGTTTTCTTGTTTGAAGTTTATTTTTGCTACTCTATGTGGAAAATATCAAATTTCAATCAAAATAACATTTTGAAAGATTTTATCAAGTATTCTCATTACATAAACATGACTTTGATTTGCTGCGAGTGGAATAATCATTTCTTTATGATAGCAAAAGTTGATTTGCTTATAAACTTAGCTACTTAATAATTTAGCAGCTCTTATATATCATCAAATTACTTTATTCTTCTTATTGCTATACCAGCCATCTTGTTAATATTTAACAGCTTGACTATTACTTATATTTATCGTGAAATTTAATTTACAGACCAAAACGTAAGTAAACCGTAAGCAGAAGATTCATTACTGTTAGTTATGCTCATTACTACACTCTAGCAGCTGATGCAATAATAAAATATAAAAGCAGGAGTATACATTTGCGGAATTTTCTACTCGTTATATTATATCTTTAATATTCATATCATTAACATCCCAAAGAAATAGCTAAAACTGAGTTGCATTTAAAGAACATGCGCATACTCTCTTTTTGTTATAGAAATACTGATTATTATGCAAGAAGTCGCTCCAAGCATATTTTAGAGATAGCACTATCTACAATAGTCTATTTTTGTTTGCTTAATAATATACATTGTAGTATACTATACTGAATCAAGAAGATTTGAAGTATTATTTCACAAAGGAATTAATATTAAGAACATCAAACAAGATCAATTTACTTTATTTATTTGCTAAAAGCTGCAGCTGACATTGAGCTAAAGTGATATTAATTATTCATAATTCTTAGAGATTATGGGATTCCTTACTTCCCATAAAAGAATCTGTGATAATCTGGCATGCCCATGCAGTTAATTTTAGAAGCAAAATGATAACTTAGGTCTTCCAAGTCTCTTCTAGCTCTTTAAGTAGACATCTCTTTCTTTCAAAAAAAATGTTTTGGATTTCATAGAGTTTTATCTTGAAACTAAAGTAGAAGATTCATAAAAACGCAAAAGGGTAAAATTTATATTTAAACTAACTCACAAAAATATTCAAATAAATAAAAAATTTTGATTTCTTGTAAATTTTCAATTTAATTAAATTTGTTTATGTTAAGATAAAAACTACTTTCCTCTTAAAAAAAACTATTAGAGTCCATATAAACAAATTTAATATTTTTGATAAATATAAAAACTTAAAAAAATGATGTAGAAGAGAAGAAAAAAATTGTTAATTTTTTTTATAATTAAAATAGTTTTTTGCAAACAAATTTAAAATTTATTTGTTTGAAAATAAAAAATAAATCTTTTTAAATATAATATTTTAGATAAAATTATTTTTTATGGATTTATTTCAACTTCTTTAATTTTTTTTTCTACTTTATTTCCTATATTTAAAAATAAATTAAATTTTTTGCTTGAGAAATAAATGCAAATCTCTAATAAATGGAAATTAAATTATTTTTATATTTTATTCGATAGAATTTGTTTTAAATATTTAAATAAAATAAAATAAAAATAGATTTAGAATTCATCTGAGCTATTTTTCAAATACATCGATTTCCTGATTTTCTAGAAGAAGAGATACACTAAGGCTCTGTATGAAATTAAAAAATTTTAGTCAAAAAGAATTTCGTCAAATATTTGCTCAATCATTTGTGAATCCTTAACCTACATAATTGAACTATGTACTATAGATGATCAGCTAAAACTAAAATTCTCAAAGAAAAAAGACGATAGAGACAGGTTGAAAGAAGGTATTATTTTCCAAAAGATTATCCACAGTGAAGAAATCATAGATATGTACAAAGAAAAGCTTTTTGATATTCTTTAATTTAGAAATCAGATTTTCTAAAATTTGATTGAAGGGTATGCCAGTAATTAGTAGTATTAAAGAGATATAGAATCATTTATTATATAGCTAGAAAAAATTGAAAATTCTATTAAGAAGTCTCATAATGAATTTCCAGAAAATGTTCACTACTTGAAGTTTTTAATAATACTAAGGAGCATTTTGCTAAATGATCCCATCGAATGCTCTAAATACGAGAAAATTCTCTAAGAAAATATACTTGTAGATAAGGTAAAATATTTTTAGAACAAATTTCATCCATTTGATTTTGATTGAATGTATTTATTTTTTATTTCTGAATATCAAAAACAAACCGTTAAAAAAATAAAAAATAATATTCATTTGATCTTTTATTATTTATTGCCAACTTAATAAAAAGAGTGAATGGATAATATTTTATAATAAACTCTTTTCTTTGTACTTTTATTTTTATTAATTAAAGCAATTTTTGTGATAGTTAGAAAATAAATAAATATTTTTTAATGAAAATGAATGATTGATTAAAATATAATTTTTCAAAAGCAAAAAGATTATGATAAAGTAACTACTTATTCTATGATGGGAGGTGAATGCATAAGCATCATAGTCACGTATAGGAATTATTAGGCTTTGATAAAAAAACACTCACAAAGAACTCCTTAGTTTTTTTAATATGCTAAAGAGGAGTTTTCTACAATTAAATCAATAAATGTAAATCAATCAAATTTATTATTAGAAAACAATAATTTTATTTGAAAATAATTCATAGAGTTTAATGCCTGATTAAATAGGTGCAGTACATGATCAAATCATTTAGATGTTGGCTAAAGGTGCTGAGCCAAGAGTTATGAATTCTTATAGGATGTAATTTATCTAAACTAAAGGTGGATTTATTACTCCTATTAAGCTCTACTACAGTTACTTTTTTAATCATAGTGTCCATGAACTGCTCTTTTCTTGCTTTATGTTAAAGATAAGAAATTCATATGAATATTTAATATTAAATAAAGGAGGGTGGATAACAGATATTTCTAGTGGATTTTTTTACTTTCTTTAAGAAACTCTTGGATATGAAAAACTAGAGTTAGAAGATATTAAGAATTCTAATATCGTTCTTTATTCTACAATATTACTTTAGTATATTGCAAACTACGAGCTTGATGGCAGACATAGTTAGACTACTACTGTTTAATCATATCGTCTATGTATTCCCAATGGTAAATTTAATATAACTTTCATTTAATTAAGTAAATTTTAATAGATTTTTGTGGCATGCTGAAGACATTCAACAGGTTGAAGTAATCAGTATCAAAGAAGGGGATTATGTTCAATAATCCAGAAGATGATAATTTGCATAAAATCAAGGAACAGGTATTTGATTAGTATTACTAATAAAATGTAAAAACTATAGATGTGCAACTCTCTGTTAGACAAGAAACAATTAATTATGAGTCTAACGATGACAGCTCTATTTTAACATAAAAGATGTTTATTTTAGAGTTCTAAGGTTTAAACATTTCGAGAGACAATAAATCATCAATTAATTAGTCTATTTCTATGGCTCTTCAAATGGGAAAAATGAAAACTATTAAAGATATTGGTAAAAATAAAGGAATTACTGTCTTATCTTAGCTAATTAAGCAAGCTGTAATAAAACAAGATGTAATAGGGTAAGATAAATAATAAGAATTAAATAATCAAATAGAAGCTAATGATGAAGAGGATAAAGCAAGAAAGAGAGCTTCCAACATGATTTAAACAATTAATGAACAAATTAAGTTATTTAAAATGGAAAATGATATTTAATAAAATAAGAAGTAATTTTAATTAGAACATATTTATTAATCAAGCACTATTTAGGAAAGCAGTTTAACAAGTATTTAAGATAATATGGAGAATAACTAACAACAAAAGAAATGGAATGCTCTCAACTAAAGCTAATTTAGTTAATCACTCCACCATTAACAGGTAAGTGACCAGAATTTTTAACATCAAAGCATGAAAAAGACTAAGAGCAAGGTACATGCAAAAAATGATTCAAATGAGGAGTATTCTAAATAATCTAGTTTTAACTAGAAATAAATAAAATCAAAAGAATAAAGTGATTTGAATTTGATACCTGTTTAGCAATACATAGAAAAGAAGCAAGAACTTGAAAATTAGCTGAGATAGGTGAATAATCTTCTAAATTAAGTTAACGAAGAACTAGTTTAAACTACATAAACGATAGAAAAAAATTAAGAAACTATCAAATCTCTTGCAAAATCTAGCACTTCTAAGTTTTCAAAGCAATAAACCTCAAAAATGTTAATAAGTACCTAGAATAATTCCCCTTCAAACAAGAGAAAAGTAAGGACTCAAAAAACATTAAACGAAAGTGCTGTTCAATTTTCTGAAGATATGATATCAATTGATAGCCAAAATTAAATTGGCAATATCAATCAAAACTCAATTTAAAAATCTTCTTACTTTGAAGATCAAAACAAGGAATTCTCACAATAGCTTTGTAAATAAATATTTTATTTTCTAATAATTGATTTATTAAAATAAATGAAAAAATCAATACAAAAGATTTCATTTTTTAGAGAAAAAAAAATTAATAATTAAATATCATCAATTTTTTTTCAAAATTTTTTATTTTAAATAAATTTATTTTTTTCATTTTTTTTAAATAAAAAGCGAAAAATAAATTTAATAGAAGTCATACTTCTTAAGAAGAAAGCAAAAAACATGAGAAAAAACAATAAAAGCATACATATTCTTAAGCATTAAAACAACTAAAAGAAAAAAAATTGCAATAGCAATTAATGTAGCAGTAGTAAAATTAGTAAAATTTAGTTTATGCTGAAAAATCAGAAAATTCCTTGATGTTAAACAGCTCAAGGAATGAAACAACTGAAGCTCACTCTTTTGAGTACATTTAGGAAGCTGCTCTTAAAAAGCTGGAGGAAGAAACTAAACTTCTTGAGTCTGAGAATTAATCTGAATCTAATGATGATGACGACGATGATGAAGATTATGATGAAGATGATGATGAAGAATTAGTAGAATCTGAAGACGAATAAAATATTATGTCTATGAAAGATATCAATTAGACGTTTAGCAGCTATACCGAATAAACAAGAAATATTTTCGGTATGGAAGATGATTCTAACGCATCCAGATAAAGGACATTTGGTAGAAACTAATAAAATGGAGAATTCCATGAAGTTCAGTAGCAATAAGCTATCACAACAAATATCAAGATCATTAACAAGATATCGAATGATCCATCTCCGCCATAGGAAATAAAATTATTTGGAATTTATTTCTTTTTCTAAATAATTAGCTTTATCATATTTATTTCAATAGCATTATCTTTACTCTATCAAAGCATATAAGTCTTTTAGTAGTCTATGACAGTAATGTGGATGACTTAAGAAATATCAAAGCCTTTGAATATCTTCATAGACTATATGAATTATAAGCTTCTTTTAACTGCTACAAAAGTACCTGATTCTTATAGCAGTTACTTGGATGTTATTTCTAATGAAGGATATACTGATTTAAGAAACCAATATGAATCATACTTTGAAACTTAAATAGAGTTCAATTTTCAAAATTAATTTCAAAAGCAAGAAGTATTTACTGACTTAGAAAATATTAATACACCAATTCATGAAGAATTTTTAAAAATTTAGACTTCCATTAACAATTTTTTAAAATCTATTATGGATTACTACTATCTATATTTAAATTAGCCAACTATTACTGGGGAAGAGTATCTTGGTACAACTTTGATGCCAATAATATCTAGCTAGACAATCTTCTCTGCCTTTACAGATAATGTTTAGAGTTTCCTACAACAACAAAGGCTAAATACTATTATTACTAATTTAATTCTTTACTTATGCTTTTAAGTTTTTACAGTATTCTTATTTTCTCTCATATTTAGAGGAGCTACTATGATTAAGAGTAAAAAGGAAAAGCTCCTCAAATTGATCTCTCATATTACTGAAAAGGAAGGTTAGGTGCAAATAGCTAAAGGCAAGATGTGCTAGTAGCAAATCAAGTCGAATGAATAAGAGTATTTGTATGAGCCTTTAATAATTCAATAAGAAATCCTATCCAATGAGCAGTAAGAAGCTTCTTAGATAAATAAAGGATCTTCTTCTTACAGAAAAAAAAACATTTATCTTAGTGACAGAATTAATGACTAAAGTGTAGGAATCACTTCATCATACCTAATATTGATAATTTTATTCCTTTTGAGCAGCATAATAGGAGCTACAGTAATTAAAATAAATTTTCATTTTTAATAATGTTATTTATTAAATTTTTATATAGGGATTAGTGCTAGTGAGCTAGTTACTCTCTGGCTTTGACACTGTTATCAACAATAACAGCAATTTTTTGAAAGGAGTAAACTCTTATAGTTTTATGAATATAGCAGAAGATCTACTTGAAGTTGACAGATTTTACACTAACTACTCTAATTATTAAGTTTATTTATTTAATAAAACTGAAAGAGCAAACTTTACTGCTTTCTATAATAACGAACTAAATCTAACCATAGAATATTTTACTATTGATTTTTTAAAGTTGATTGAAGATTCAAATATTCCTAAGCAATATTAGAATCAAATAGAGTCTATAGTTTCTTCAAGGGGTACTTGCAACTTGACAAGCATATATACACCTTAAGAATAGTAACTATGCATAAATACTTAGAGCAGTCTTATGGATAATGGTTTTTAAAACTCTATCATTAATGTTTTAGAAATTATTAGAAATAGAAAGCTTGAAACTGAAAACGACTATAGTATCGTCATGCTTTTTAATATTGGGACATACTATGATGAAAACATAATATCATTTCTTTAATTTAGAATGATAGACTAACTTATCACAATTTTTAAAGACTACACAAGCTCTTAGTTGAATATGATATCTGGATACCTTTCTATTTTTTACATAGTTGCAGGAATACTTAATACAATCTTATTTATACTTATATTTGTACTTTTTAAAATATATTTTCTCTCACCTTTCATTTATTTAAGACGTGGTCTGCTTCTACTGCCAATCGAAAGAGCAGCTGAAGATGTAAATATCCTTAGCATGATCAAATCTTCTTTAAAAATTAAGTTTTGATATAATAATTATTATAAATTATCAATAGATACTATTTTTAAATATTATATATTTATTTTTCTATGCATCTCTATTTTTCTGTAATATATTCATAAGTATATATCTAACAAATAAACTCTTTATTTATTTTTCTTTATATATTAATTTTATTTTGTAAAAATATTTTAAAATTATTCTGGAAATTGGTGGTAGTCTTTTTGAAATATCTGTATTTATTTTATGCAAAATTAAATAAATTAAATAATTCTTAAATTAAAATTTGTTTTTAAATAAATCATGAAGAATTATTTACTCATTTATTTTTTAAATTCAATCCTAGATAACTTGTTGGTGTATAAATAATTAGTGATAAATTTTGGTTTGTTATCAAGTCTAAATAAATAAATAAACAAACAAACAAACAATTTTTGGCAAATATATTATTTATCATGAATAAGAATGAAGTTTACTTATAAAATTAGCTAATGATAAGAGTAAGATTTTCAATTTAAAGACGTATTATAAGCTATACAGTGAGTAATTAGTTCAAAAATAGCATCAAAAATTGATTGATTGATTCAAAATAAAACAAAAAATAGCCATAAATTTTGATTGCGTATTTTTCAAATAGTTTTTGAAGAAAAATAAAGTTCATTTACAAGAAAGAATTACCTTTTAATAATTTGCAAGCAAAATATATAAAATAAGTAACAAACTTATTCTAATAATCATAATAATTATTTTTACAAAAATTTTTTAATTTCTAAAATAATTTATTTCTTATTTTAGCCAATAAAACTACTCAGCACGAGGCATTAAGTCTATAAAAATTTAAAAATAGTACCAGTGTAGCTCACTAATATTTTATAGTGTTTGACTTAGTAGAGAATTTATAATCAACTCAAAAGGAAAGTCCACCAATAAAGCGTAGCCACATAAAAAACAAAAAAAGAAAGATCGAAAATCCATAATTTGGAGTGAAGAATTAAAGCTAATAGTTAAATAAATTTTAGACTAGCATTTCTTAGTTAAATACACTCAAGAAAAATCATTCTGCAAAAATCCTACCTACACACATTTGATTGTTAGAGAGATAATAGATAAATTATAATTAAGTAAATATTACTCAAAAAAGATATTTTTAAAATCAGTTTTAATCTGTTTAAATAGATAAAGATGGGGTGCGTTTAGGATAAAAATTAATAGCAAGTTTTAGTTTATGAAAATAGCATGGGAGAGCATTTTTCAACAGTTTCAGGAAAAGATATTTAAAATATTTAAGTTGTAGTCATGGGCGTAACTTAAGAAAATGAGTAAAGAATATTTGCTTATGATGCACTAACATAAAAATTTAAAGCACTTTTGGTGCCTCAAGGAATGACAATATGGAATTATTCTTGTTTAGTACATTTATCTAATAGAGAAATATTTATTACAGGAGGATTGAGTTCATCTGCTTCAGAAATAAGTAGCCAGGCATATATTTATGATAGCATTAACAATAGAGCAATTAGATTACCAAATATGATATGTCCAAGATATACCCACATTAGCATATTCCATAAAGGTAAACTATATGCAATTGGTGGAAGAGATTATGGTGATGATGACGACAGTGCTATTAGGTCATAATGCGAAAGATTTAACTTTTTTATTCATAAATGGGAGAAAATTAGTAAGTTAAATATCCCCAGATGTACAGGTTTTTCCTTCATATATAAGGACTCTCTCTATGTTTGTGGTGGACTTACTGGCAAAATGCATCGTTCAAGGGCTATTGAAAGATATGATGAGAGCAATGACCGATGGGTTTTATTAGATTTTAAGCTTTCGAGAGGGTTAGAGTGTGGTTCTCTATTCTCAGCTGCTCACTTTTTGCCACCTACTTAAGCAAAAGATAAATTTATTATCGTTGGTGGAAACACTGAAGAGGGATCATAAGATACTATGTATATATACAGTATGAGTGATAAAACTGTCCTTGGTAAATATTTTTATTAAAAATCATTAAAATATTTTTTTAAAAACTATTGGGTATTACAAAATAATAAAGCAAAAAGCGCTTATTTAACAGATTTCTAAAGAGATAAAAAATAACTTTGATATTTAAAAAGGCTAAATTTTCAATTCTATTCATACTTCTTCTAGCTTTTGAAGACGATGAATTCTAATCAATTAATGCTTTATTTTTTTAATATTTATTTTTCTACAGTTTGCCAAAACAAGCAAATAAAAATTATTTTTCAATAAATTATTAATTGATTAACATCATGTTAAACATTGAATTACAAAAACAAAACTAGAACATTTTGATGATAAACTATTTAATTTATTTTTTTTAACATAAAAGGAGGACCTAGTATGAACTAAAAAAGAGTTTTACAAAAAGCTATCGCTTACAGCAATAAGGTACATATTTTTGGAGGTTCAGAGACTGATGGTGTTGAGGTTTACGATTAAAGTGCTAATAATTGGAAAGAGGATAAGCTACAAACATTTTCTTTATTTGTTTCTCCCTAAGATATTGACTTATTCTCTTATTCTTAACCTCCTGTTACTATTCCTGATGAGATCCCTTTATCATCCAAGATTAATTAATCTCATGTACAACAATAAAATTAATGTAATTTAAGATATTTTATTAGATATTATAAAAATTCACCCATGAGATATTTCATATATATGCCCACTAATTAATATACAAAAAAATATATAAAAAACTGATGTTTATTTATTTTAAATTGTTTTTACTTTTTTATAATTTGGAAAGAAATTTTTCTTTGAATTAGTGTTTTGATCCTCTAAAAATATTTAATAATGTTAATAACTAGCAAATATAACTTAAGGAGTATAGAATGGGGTTATTTAATATAATATTAATGTAGAAAAAGTGAATGAAGAAGATGAAAATTCAAATGGGAAGATTCTCAGTAGCAACGACTTAAAAAAATCGAATTTAAAAGGAGAAGACAAAAAATTTCATATTGAGACTGAATTATCTCCTATCGCTAAAAGTTTAATTAAGGAAGATTTAATTGTTGAAAAATCTTATTTGTTCGGCACCGATATTGATCCTTTTATATTAGAAATAGATTTCTTAAATGCTAAAATAGAGAAAAAAAGTGTTCCATTGTAGATTCGTTTATTCTAATATTAAAGTGCAGTTGCTGTAAAAGAAAAGAATTTAATTTTGTTGATGGGAGGAGTGCATGATGGAATGAATAAAACTGTTAATTATACCTACACACTTGACGTTGAAAAATTTGTTGGAAAGAGAACTGAAAATATGATAGTTGGTGCTTATGCATTTGCTACTCTTGCTATTTATCCATATGTTTATGCGATAGGAGGTAAATAAAGTACTGATTTATCACAGAGCAACAGTACTTATCCAGTTATATTGAATTCTACCCAAAGATTTAATTTAGAAACAATGAAATGGGAAAAATTACCAAATTTAAATGTTAAAAGAGTATCTGCAATGGTCACTAACTTCTCAAATAAAATATACGTTTTTGGAGGATTCAAGGGAGATATGGAGTAGGTTAGGCCTAATGAAATTGAAGTTTACAATTAACATTCCCCTGCTAAAGATTCTAAAGGTTAACCTATTTGGGAGGTTATATCTGTGAAATTTCCTATTGGATTGGAAGGAGCTCCTCTTCTTAAAGTGAATCTATTGAACTAGGAACGCCCAGATATCATATTATTTGGAGGAAGGACTTCGAGTGGAGAAATTAAATACATATCTAAATTATCTTTAGAGATAGATTAGACATAATCTGAAAAGTAAACTGAGAATGAAGAAGAGGAAGAACAAAATGATGAAGAGCCTCAGCTTTCACTAAAGTTGGATAAACTTAATCAAATGATTTAGAGCAGGTGTCTCCACAAAGTAATTTAGCCTTACAAAAATTTTGTTCTAGTATTAGGTGGCTAGTTTGAGCCATATGTTGAGTGTGTTGATATCTCCAAGAATTACACTTCTGCAGCTCTATCCTAAGTTCCTCATATTGATTTGATGGCAAAGACACTTAGTTCTTTCATTAAGAAACTCAAAGATCACACATTAAAGCAATGCTCATTTACCTATTTTTGAAGTGTTTTTATAATAATAAAAATGAAACTCTAAATATAAATAGAATTGAAAAATAAAAAATGGAAACATAAATAAAAAAATTGAACCTATAAAGTTAAACCATGCATGTAATTGAATAAAAATAAAGCTAAATAATTTTTTTTTACAAATAAAACAAATCCATAAAAAACATATAAAAGATTTTTATCTTGAATGAAAATAAATTAAAATAAACTTATATAAATGATATTTCTATTTTGTATATAGTAAGAATTATTGAATATTTCTATTAACTTTATTATTTAACTGATAAATTTAAAACATAGTTTAAATTATATTGTAAATATATAAATAAATCAATTAATATACTGTAAATGCTCATTAATTAATGTATTTTTTCCTTAAATTTTTAAAAAATCAAATAACATAATATCTTAATTAATTTATTTTTTTATACTTAGCGAATGCCTTAATTAATGAGTATTTACAGTAATATTATATGAATTTAAAAATCAGGCTTAAGTAAAATATTAGAATTATTAATATTAGAATAACTCAATAACCACAAAAAATAAATATTTAATGATATAATAATTTTAAAGTACTTTATTTATGTTGAGTTTTGGTATCTCTAAGTAAGTTTATTAAATAATTTCTTAATTATTTTATTTATTCAAAAATAAAAAAATAGAAATAATATAAATAATAAAATAAATACACATACTTATTATGAATTATAAATAATATAAATTTAAATAAATATTCTAATTAATTATAAACGTTTGTTTCTTTTAAATTACTGTGAAAGTATTAAGTTAAAATATGTTTTTTCATATTTATTGTTTACACCAAATCAGCTACTGTTCACTATTCAATCAACTACTATCTATTTTTATTCTCATTTAGCATTTGAAAATTGCTTCTCAATTTATTTTTACATCTCCCTATTTCAATTTAAAAGGTAAGATATTAAACATTGTTTTTTTGACACTTAATTATCGTTGAAAAAAAAATATTTAATTTTAACAAATCATTATAAACTATTTATTCCTAGTCATTAATTAATTTCATGTTTCTTTAATCAAAATTTTTTATTCTTAATAATAAATTGCTTATTTAAGTTAATGTAAATTTTACTTTCTTTAAACTAACTTAAAGTCATTTTTATATGATTTTTTTTAGAATTAATATAAATGAATAATTTATATAAAATCTATCATAATCTTATAATATTTTAATTGATTAGATGACTTTACAATATATAAAAATTCTGTTTTTTTAGTATGAAAATTATAAAATTTGATTGATTTTGCTTTTAAATGCAAATTAATTTAAAAAAACTCAAAACAATCAAAATAGAATTTAAATTACTCAAAAGTTCTTTCTTGGCTCTATTTTGAGTCATGGCTTATATCTCTTTATCTCTGACTTTCTCTGCTTTTAGTATTATAGTTACCATATCGTTTATTATCTTTTTATTACTTATCTTTGTTTCTTGAATTTGATCTTTTGTATTCACTCTTTTTTATACTATTTCCTCTATTTTTTATAATGTTAAATTAAATTTATTTGATAAGCGCTACAAAATACCTTGAATTAGTTCTTGTTCTTGACCTGTTGTTTGAGTGCATTTATTTTTTAGAATCGAATTTCTTTTGATTCTTTTCAAGATAACTTTCTTTTTCTTTGTCTCTGCGATCTCTGCTACTACCTCTTTCTCTATTTTATTTTAAACTTCTAACAAAATATTATGGTTATTATTTGAGTTATTTGTAGGATAAAATAAACTTACTTGCTGTAATCTTTATATTGATTTGCTTCTTCTGATCTTCTTTTTGGAGATTATGATTTTTTTCTGTTATAAGAGTGAGATTTATCTCTGTAGTCTCTCTGCTCTCTCAAAGAATTTGGATTAGCATTATTATAAGAGTAATTTTAATTATTGTAATTGTTAAACTATCTCAAACTGTTATTTTATTAGTTGTTATTCTAGTGCTAGTTATTATGGTAATAATGCTAATAGCTTCCTCCTCTGTTTTACTCAGGAGATCTTCTGTCTATTCAAACAAATATTTTTATTTTTTATTTTAAATAGCTAATTCAATTAAATAAGTTACCGTTTTTCAAAGGTCTTTGAGTTGAGTTTTACTAGTTATAATTATTAGTATTGTTTCCATTATTGTTGCTATTGTTGTTATTGCTGTTGCTATTATTAGCTCTGATTGGGTATTGATAATTTTTAGTTCTATTTAAATAATATACATTTAGATAAAAGAAAACCTGTGTTAGTATTTACCCTCTTGAAGAACCTCTATATTCTTAGGAATTAGATCTATTTTTTATGTAATTAAAATTAACTCCTTAATTTCATATAAAAATATTTGTTGATTACCTTGAACTCTTTTTTGCCTTTGAGGATCTACGATATTCTGTTCTATTTTATATTAATATTTTAAATTTCATATATAAATGAATGAGGCTTATCAATAGATTTATTTTTATATTTTCAACTTTCAAATAGTTTTTAAAATAAAAAAGATCATGAATTTCTTAAACTTATTTTTATGAATACCTTTTCTCTGCAGATTGTCTCTTTGGAGAATAGTTTTTATTTTATTAATTTTGCTGACTTTGTTAGGAGTAATTATTATAATTTCCCTATTTAAGTTATTAAAATGATGCTAATTTGCTTTATTTTGTCTTTATAAAAATAAATACCTTATCTATTTTTTATTAGAATAATATTAAAATTTTTGAGATTTTATAATCATTTACTTACTCATTTTAACTTCTGGGCTTTGAGAAGGTGAAAGATTCTTTAAGAAATCATCGCTAACACCTAAAGTTCTATATTTTTTTAACAATTCATCTAAAGTTGGATCTTATTTGCATGCTGCACAATCCCTAAGAAATTTCTAACATTCTCTACAATTTTCTAAAATATGCACTTCTTGGTCTAGAACATGCTCATCAGAAGTAACCAAGTGTCTAATAAAATGATAAAAGGTACTTAATATAAAAAAATCATTTTTTGTTAAATGAGTTAAAATATTGAATAGTATTTGCTTCTTTATAAATTAATTAGGTCTATAAAAACCAAAACAAAACAAACAAAAATAATGAAAGAAATATGAAATTATTTTATTAGATAAAAATTTTAAGAATTTATTTTTTCATTTAAATAATAAATAGCTTTTTATTAATTAAACTTGCTTCTGAAATAAAAATATATTACTAGGGAACTGCTTGCATTTGTGTAGGCTAATTGATAACATTAGCTTCTTAAATTTCGCTTTACTATTTTATTAAAATATTTTGTAAAATTAAATAGTATTTTCAAATGAAAGTTAGTATTTAAAAGAGTTTGCTGAGGATATACTTTATTGTAAAATTTAGTTTTTGGGATGCTTTTTATTATCTTAGCAGATCAAAAATTTGCCAATTTATTCATTTATTAATTATTATATGCATGTATTAATAACATAAAAATTTATCTTTATTTGAAATGTATTCCTCATTATTTTATTGTAAAACATTTCTTCTAATCAATATATATTTTAATATGACTTATATCAACACTAATCTGAAATAAATCTAGATTGATTTTGAACAAACCACTTCCTATTAATTTATATTTGACTCATTTAGGGGATATATATCTATCTACCATAATCAGCAAACCAAAAAGTTTAAATTAAGCTAAATAAAACTCTACCATGTTGTAAATAATCTAAAACTAAGCTTAAACTATTAATATTTGGCTTTTCCTTAAGTTTATCTTTGAATGAAACCTAGTTTTTAAGTGTCTTTGTAAACTATCTGTCTGCTACTTTTTGGAATACTTTATTATGACTTAATTAGTTATCAGAATTTAAATTAATTAGAAGTTTTTAGGTAAAATTAGTATTTTTAATTGTATCAATCAAATTGATAATAAATAAATAAATAAATATACAAAGCAAATTATTTCACTATTCAAAATTTCTTTGTAAAATTTGGTGATTTCTACTTAAATCTATATATATGAGCAAATTAATTATTAATTAATTGTGAATAAAATATGCATCTACTAAAGATATCAATTATTAAGTTTATTAATCTTACATGATATACTAATAACTACTTCAAAATTTATCATTTATTTATCAAAAACTAGCAAGAAAATAAAATTAATTTATTTTCAATATTCTACTTAATTAAAAATAAAAATACTTAAAAACAATATTTATTTAAAATAAAGAAAACATATATATTGCTTATGTATAAATTTCTATTTTAATATAAAAATCCTAAAATCTTTGTAAATGTTGAATAAAATTTTTGAAATCTATATTTTATAATAACTTAACTTAAATTTATATAATTATATTTTCGAATTAATAAAATGTTCTAAATTTAAGAAAAAATTACTTGACTAAAACTTATTTGGAATAGTACCTAAATAATATAATTTATATAGTATTTATATTAATAAATATTTAATGTTAGCAGTATATGAAGTATGTAGTATAATCAAAGAAATAAATCAATTTATAAATATAGAAATTCTTCTTAGGTCAAATGTGTTAGATATTAAATATCAATCACCATGATAGATTTTTTATTGACATATTGAGATAAACAGCTCATATTTTTGTATATAAAACATCTCAATCTTAATATATTTTTTTTTAGGAATTTTTTTCTAAATAAATTTGAAAAAAAAAATAATTAGAACTTATTTAGGTAAAAACAATTTTGATGAAAAATTATATCCAATGAAATCTAAATACAATAATTTACATACTTTCTATCTTAATACAAATGTAATAAATAAAAAGAAAATACTCTATCTATTTCTGATTTTGATTTATTTAATATCTTCTAATAAATATTTATACAAAAATATTTATCCAAAATATTAAATGATGCATTTGAAAAATTAAATCTTATCTAAAGTAGTTCATAGCTATATATAAAATATCTTAATCTTAATGATTTTATAAGCTTATTTTTGAAATAAAATAATTTAACTATTAACTCTTTTTACTATTAAATATAAGTAAGTAAACTAATAATCAAATCATCTTCTTTCTAAAATAAGAATGTATTTATTTATTTATATATGATTATTTTGAATTTTTTTAGTTGATATTTGTTTGTTTTAGTGGTAAAAAGAAGATTATTAAATTATAAGCAAAATATTTACAATAAATAAATGAAAGATAAAATAAATTTAATTTAATCTAATTTAACATATTGTTATTCTTATTTTATATTTGATAGTAAAATAAACATTTAATTAGTTATTAATTAGTTATTGAGTTTTTTAGTATTTTTTATAAATTAGTGATTATAGATTTCATTTTAGTGTTCATAGACATAGGTTCAATTCTTAAGTGATTTAACTTAGTAAATTTATATTTAACAATTTAAGTTTTTACTCATATTCTTACTATTTAATGCTGTCGCCTTCTTCTTAAAAGAAATTTGCTAAATTACTATATGACTCGACTAGGTCAGGATGGTTTCCAGAGAACAGATCTTCTCTTACTTTCAAAGCTTTTAAGAAGAAATCTAGAGCAAATTTTCTGTTACCTAGCTTTTAATAGGTAACTGCAACGCTGTTTAGTTGCTTTGCAATATCAGAGTTTTTCTCATCATTGTACAGAGACTTTCTGATGGTCAAAGATTTTAGTTTATAGGCCAGCGATGTTTGATGATCACCTTTTCTGCTATAATAAATAGCAAGATTTTAATATGAATCAGCTACTTCAGGATGCTGTTCTGTTTGATAAACTTTAATTCTCATCTCCAAAGCCTTTTAATCATATTCATAAGCTTTTTCTTCATCACCCAGTTTTTCATAAGTTACTGCAATACTACTGAGAGATTCAGCGATTTCAGGATGATTGTCTTAGTAGATCTTTTTTCTAATTTCTAGAGCCTTTAGTTTATGTTCTAAAGCTTTTTGATTTTCTCCTATTCTTCCATAAGAAATAGCAACACTGTTTAATGATTCAGCTACGTCAGCATGCTCTTGTTTGTATATTCTTTCTCTCATTTGCAAAGATTTTATCTTAAGTTCCAAAGCTTTCTTATCACTTCCTATTCTTTCATAGCAAATTCCTAGATTATTATAGGATTCAGCTACATCAGGATGATCTCCCTCATATAGTCTTGATCTCATTTTTAAAGCCTTTTTTTCATACTCCAAAGCCTTTTAGTAATTCCTCTATCTCTCATAACAGACTCCCATATTACTGTAAGATTGTGCAAGTTCAGGGTGATCTTGATTGTAAAGAGCTTCTCTCATTTTCATGGCTTATAAATCATATTCTTGGGCGACCTCATCGAATCCTAATTTTTCATAGGCAACAGCAACATTGTTTAAAGACTCAGCTATGTCTGGATGGTTTTTTAAATAGAGGATTTCTCTAATGTAAAGTGATTTTAATTCATAGTCTAAGGCTTTAGAATAATCTCCCTGTCTCGAATAGAAAGCAGCAATACTGTTATAGGATTCTGCAAGGTCAGGATGTTTACCGTGATAAAGTGCTTCCCTCATTTTCAAAGCTCTTAAGAAATAATCTTGAGCTTCTTTGTAGTTTCCCAATCTTTCATATGAAATAGCTACACTGTTTAAGGAAAAAGCAAGATCATGGTGATTACCTTAGAATAGAGTCTCCCTAATTTTTAAGGCTTTGAGTTTATATTCGAGGGATGTTTTGTCATCTCCAAGTCTTTCATATGAAACTGCAATTCTGCAATAAGACTATGCAAGTTTGGAGGGTTCATCATTCTATAGAGCTTCTCTCATTTTAACAGCCTTAAAATCATATTGTTAAGCTGTTTTATTGTCTCCTAGCACTTCGTATGTTTATGCTAATGAATTAAAAATCTCAATTAAGTCTGGGTGATTTCCAGTATTTATTTATTCTCTCATATTCAAAGCTTTTAGTTTATATTCCAAAGCTTTTTTGTGTTGGACAAGCTTTTCATATGTTGATGCGATATTAAGATAAGACCTAATAATTTCAGGATGCTCCATGCCATATAAGCTTTCTCTCAACTCTAATGTTTTTAAATCCTACTCGAGGGCCAGTTTATATTCTTCTTAAGTTGTATACGAAATTGCAAAACTATTTATAGCATCAGAGATATCATAGTGAAGTTAGTCTTTATATAATTGCTTTCTTTAACTTAAGCAATTGGTTAATATTTTATCAGATTCTTTAAATCTGTGTTCGCTACTTAAAATAAGAGCATACATACTTTAAATTTACAAAAAATCTGAATTGTTAAAATTAGTGTTTAGCTGAGCTATTTTTATAGACTAAATCAAATTATTTCCAGGATTTTTATTTAATTGAGCTGTTAAAAAATATAAATATGAAAGGTATTTATGAGTGTGTAGATTTTAAGCTTTGTAGCTCGAAATCAGTTTAACAATTCTAAGATATTCTTATTCTCTGTTGATCTATTACTTTGAAAACTCGCTAAGTAAAATCGCTCTTAATTTAAGAGAATTAAATCTATTATTAGGATCCTTGCAAGTCATATAATATTTGATAAACATCATAAGAGAAAGTTAAACAGGATCATCAATTTTTTATTCTAAGAATTTACCTTCCCTAATATCGCTTATTGAAAATTTATCTTATGGTAAATTAAACAAAGTCATTAATGTGAGACCCATGCTGTAAACATCAGATTTATCTTACATTTTTAGTACAGAAGTTTAATTTTTAATGCATTCCATTTATTCTGGAGAGTAAAACTTGATTTCCTCTTATGAGATTTTTTAATTTGATGAAATTAATGAAAATCTACCAAAATTTGATAGTTTGTATTATCCGTTTTACATTTTTAAAATATTTCTGGGATTTAGTTATAGGTGGGTAATATCATTAGAATGTATTTCTGTTAGAGCATTGATAAGCTAAAAGAAAATATTAATTAAATTCTAATTAGTGAAATCTTTCTATTACAACTTAATTTCTGATTCTAAATCGCATTCAAATATCTCAGTGATTTAAACCAAACCTAGAACAGGCTCTATTAAGAATTACTAAAAGACTTTTAAGATGTAATAGTTATGGTTAATCTGATCAAGCTTAAACTGCTCGCTTATGATTTTTTAAAGGACTTATTCTTGCTCTTATTTAAATTTTTCAAAGCAATTTCCTTTTTGGGCATTGAACTAAGGAAGTTGTACAAAAATAGCGACTTCTGCTTTTGTTTTAATATTGTATCCAGCCATCACAAATTCAGAAACCCCATGTCTGCATATAACCTTTTTGACTCTATAAGACTTGGAGTATAGTTCAATTAGTATAATCATTAACTTGCAACTAGTAGCTTTGTCATCATTCAACTTAACATTTAAAAAGTCATTATAAATTTAATTTAACTCGCTTAGAGTTAGTTAGCTTTGAGCCAGATAATCAGACAAATTAATTTCAATGATAAATTCGTAAATTTTCTAACTTTATGATTTGAATCCAATTTTCTCTATCTCACTATTTTAAGTCTTTTTTATAAAGAGTTATTACTATCCTGAATTTTTGTAAATGTAAAATAAATTAAAACTTACTTTGAAGTACATGTTTTGAATGCTATCTTGGCTTTAAATATCGTTTTTCTCTTCTTCTTTTTCTTCAAGTTAGCCTTAAATATCTTTTCTCTGACTGATTTCTTAGAGTTATATTGACTTATTCAGCTAATCCCTGAGCCAATTCTACATATAGTAAAAATATATTATTAGAAAAAGTTTTGACAAAGTATTCTTACATCTGTCTTTTAAGAGTATTCGTCGTTCTTTTCACTCACTTCATCTCTTTGGATCTTTTGTGGAGGTTCATCATCAGAAGACCCAGGAGAGTAAGGAGATTTCTTCTCTTCTTTTTTTAGCATACAATTTTCATAGTCATCTTCTTGAGTTGTCAACAAATTCACTAAATTTCCTTCTTTCCTTATATCTTTAGCAGACTAATATTGGCGATAGATTAGCGGAATCGAACTCTTTTATTAGTTTCTATTATCATTTTACTATTTCGAAAGAGTTTTTTACATTTTGGATACATCCTGGTTTTAGTCATCTTTGAAGCTTACTTGCTACTTAGTCAACAAAGTAAGTTCTTGTTGCATAACTTAGGTAAGCATTTTCTAATAAAAATTTCAGTATAAAAAGGAAAACTGATTGATTTTAATCACAAAAAAGCGCTTTTAAATGGGTTTAATTTAAAAAAGATAAATTCTTCAAGATTTAGAGTTAATTTGTTATGAGAAGTATTTTTATTGATTGCTGTACCTCTTTATAAAGCTAAATACTTCTACTTTATATGAATTTGAAATAAGTTAATAAAGGATTGCTTTTTGATTGGATTGTTTGGCTATTTTTTTTTTAATTAAATAAATTAATTATAAAAATTGTATTTCATCAAATTAGGATATATACCCATCTCTTCACCACCCCATACCAATAAAAGCTGTTTCTTTTAATTACCAATTTTCATATGAATATCTCTCAAAATCTCAATCTAAAGAGGATTATTTTCAAAAAAATCAAATAATTGCATCACTTTGATCTATATTTTAAATCATAGTACGCATTATTAAGTTATCACAGTAAAATTGTTTCTTCTTAGCTTTAATTATTGTTAATATTTGTTTTAATATTATCAACACATAAAGTTAAGGAAATGATGGAATATATTTAACATGCACTTCTATTTTCTAATTACGTATATTTCTATTTTGATTAATAAGAAATTTCGTGAATTAGAAAGCTAATAAATACATTAATTTGTAAATATAGACTATAATCTTCATGAAAAGTAGTTCATCTATTCCTGAAATAAAATTAAGTATTCCTTAAGGATGTTTTAAATATAAAGTAGATTCTAGTTATTTACTATATAGTACAATTTTTGACATTCAGTAAAATAAATACTTCAAAATTAAATAGATTCTCCTCTTTCCATTTGCTGTATTCGATCTTTATCACTAATAATTTAAGAAAATGAGTTTGCTTAACAAGAGTTTTTACTTAATATGTTAAGCTGTTTAAGGCAAGCCCAAGTCTCTAATACATTTATTGAATATAATACTATTTCAAGTGTAATACTTTTTTTAATATATTTCAATTAAATATATTTTAAATTTTATTTCTGAGCTCTCATTACAAAAAAAAGAAGTAAATAATTTGAATAAATGAAATAATATACGAAATCTATATTATGATAAAAAGCAAAACATTTAATATTATTAAGAGTCTTTTAGAAATTTGAATAAAAAAGGTAATTTCTCTTTATTAATAAACAAAATCTTCATTGAATAATTTAAAAAAGGAAAATTTCATTAATTAATTGACAGATATTTTCTAATATTAATAAATTCTGCAAATAGAAAATAAAAGATAACATTAACCTAAAAATTAACCATTGTCGAAAAATTTAATAAAATAAAGTAATATTTTTTATAAATTTTTACATTTGTAAGAAAAGCTATCTATCTTTCATCAATAATTTGTTATGCTTATAAGTTGATGAAAAAATTAAATTAAATAAGTAAATACTGCTTTTTGATGTATTCCAAAAGCTTAACATGAATATTTTATATTAAATTTTATTGATTTAGAGCATAATTAACTAGTTGGATATGTGGAGATATTTAATTGTTAAGCTTATCTTTATTTTTAATTTTTTTTACTCAATTTTTATAAAGTATATTTCTCTTTTAAGGACACGCATAATATATTAATCAAATTATACTGATGCTTTATTTGCGAAACAAATTTCAAAGAATTTAGGAATAAATCAATAAAATTAAAAGAAATCAAGATATTTCACATATTAGCCCAACTACTAAAAATTATATGCATTTAAATAATCCTTACATTTAGAAAAATAACTATTTATTAGTTCAAAAAAATAAAATTTATGGTAATGACTTTTTTTTCACTGCTTTTATGTAAATTACTGAAAGAGATTCTAGCTTTTTCTAATTAAAATTTCTATTTCCTCAAATTCATCTTATATCATAGATTATTATAATCAATATTTTATAATTATCAAGATATTTTTGAAAAATTTATTTATAATAAATAAAATTGGTTATATAAGACTACTATTTTTAAAACAAGCCCAAAAAAGTTAAGTTTTCTGTATAATATTTATAAATAATTAATATCAATATATATTTGATGATTTTCTTTATGGGAATTAATAATTTTTTATTAATTGTTGGAAATTAATTTCTCCAAAACAAATAACACTTGCAATTTTCCATGGTTAAGCTCTATTAAATTTTTAAGTATGTAAGATTAAAATATTTATAGTGAAGTTCTAATAAAGATGATTAAAATATTTCCATAATTTAAATCAAATAAATTATTTTAAAATAAAAAATATTTCTTTATTAACATATTTAAGGTTTACAATTTTTTTTTTTAATTTTATTAAAAATAGACATTTACATAATTAATAATAATTCTAAAATTTTCTTTTTAATTTTTTAAAAATTTTAGAATTTAAAAAACAGTGATTGATGACTAAGGGATAAGTCGAATTTATTCAATGAGTCGGACATAAAATAATTTGACTAAATGAAACTTTAAAATTGATATTTTATTGACTAAATTTGTATTTAATTTAATAAAATAAGTTTACTGCATATCACAGTATGTGAGACATAGAAATAAGGTAAAGCTTGAATAAAAATTAAAAGGAATTGATAGAGTACCTACATTTGAAGTTCATAATTCTATACTAATAATCAATCTAGGATGGGTTCTAAACTCTTACCACCTAAATTTATGAATAACTTATTTCGAATGGGACTTTACGCGCCTAATTTTAGTTGAGTAAATATCACAGTATGAGAAACAAGGAAATAAGGTGGAATTTGTATAAAAAATCAAAAAAGGTTAATAAAGCTTTTAAGAGAATTTATGTATGTTAATGCAGTGGGTCATTGATCCATCACTGATAAAATTGTCATCATAATAATTTCATAAAATGTTTAGCAACATACATATTCGATCAAAAATTATATATACCTTATTCTACAGTACCTCTGCGTCTTGTATTTTTGGTAAAATTATATCTTAATAAAAGAAGGGCTTAGTTAATGAGATTAATAGTATTTTAAAACAGGTTGTATTGAAATTAGATTTTTTAAAAAATGATATTAATAAAATAGTAACTTTCAATTAATATTTTTTTGCTTAAATTTTAAATAAATTAAATTAAGATGAATTAAAAAATAAAGTTATTTCTTTCTCTATTATAGTTTTAATTTATTAACAATTAAAAAGCAATTATAGAATAGAAAAGTAAAAAATTAATATGTTTTTTATTGATATTAAAAAAAATGTTTAGCTATGCTTTTTAGGTAAAATTCATTAACATTTTAATATAAAACATAAAGAATGATTAAATAATTAACTTTAATCTGACAATCACTTTCCTAAGAGAATGCAAAATCCTGAAAATTAACCTTAGTTTTTACCATCAGGAGTTTCAATTCTATCAGCTGCTACTCTAATACCATAGGATTTTTTAGCATGAGTATAAGGCTGCCATGTTTAATCGCTCAAACCTAGACCTGCCATTTCCATAGAAGTTGGTTTTTTATTTATATCTTCACCTTATTAACTATGAAGATGATGATAACTTCCTCCTATTCTAAACTTAAAATTATACGAAGCACTGTAAGAATTTATTCTCCAATAAGGCTCATAAGACACAGATGTTTAAGCATAACCAATAATCAACTCTAAAGGAGTTTAACATCCCTCTAACACTTTACAATTTATTTGCTTATCTTAAGTAAATATTTCAGGTAATGTTAGATTCTCATTGTACTCAAGTTCTAAAACAGTGTACCTACCTGATAAATCAATAATACATAATTGCTTGATTTTTTAAAAGTTAAAAGCAGGGTATTTTGCTGACTATTATTGATAAATATCTTAGACATTCTCATTTAATAGGTTTTGGTCTTTCCAAAAACTGGAATTATATTCTAAATCATTTCCATGCAATTTTGCCAAAAGCTAGAATCCCTTTTCCTCTGCAATTGCAAGAGGGTTCTTAAAAAAATTCAAATTGTTAATATTTTGTAACTTTGTTTATTATATGACTAATTTTTAATCAGGCTTCATATTTTTAAGCTCATCTAAAAATATACTAAAGGACTCTATTTTATTAAATTTTTTTATTTACTCTATCCATTTATTATTAACATTCAAATAGCAGTAAAAATCATTATCTATTAAAGGATTATTTCTGACTTATTCAAGTGCACTAAGGAAAGGTTTAAATACATTTTTATTGCTTAATTAATCAAAAACTGTTTAAATTAAAATGTCAGCATTTTATTCTGGTGATCGGCTATATACCCTAACCCAGTTCTCAATGGTTTTTTAGTCTTGTATAGTTTTAATTTGATTAGCATAGAAAGAAACATAATCCTTACTTTTCTAAATTTCAGGATCCAGTAGTAAGATTTAATCTATTTACTCTAAGCTTAAGGTGTAGTGGAGATCAATAAATAAACTACGCTTTTCTTTTTTATGTTATAAAATTGCTTCCTAGTAAAATAATTTAACATTAGGATTTTTATTTTATAATGCTGATTTATACTAATCATAAAAATGTTTAAATTCATAGTTATTTTAAAAAGATTGAATGTATTATCTAATAATAAAAGACTAGTAATAATCTGCAATCTTACACATTTCATTTAAGTCAAATAAGCTGCAAGTGCTTATGTATTCACTGCCTGAAAATAAGTTAAAGTATCCTTTTACATTTTTCATCTCTATATTAAGAGTACTCAGATCAATAGCAACTTAACAATTTTTTTTATTCTCCTATTCATTAGCAGTAATTGCCAAATTCATAGAGAGTTATTGAATAATAAAAAAATCAATTGCTAGTCCCAGTTCTTCACTATTTATTTTTATCTTCAAATTTACATTGAAATTATTTTCATTTAACTACTTAAATTTATCTTTGGTCTAATAGTAATCAGAAAATGTTTTAGAAATATTTTGATATGATTCAAGGTCGAATTTTTTTTGACTCATAGTGAGTTAGATTAATAGTTTTTTTTATTTTTAAAACTATAAATTGCTTTTTAATTAATTAATTAATAAAAAATTAGTTGTCCTTAGCTCTATCTTAATAAATATTGTTAAAATATTCTAAAAGGTCAAATTATTATTTTATTTTTAATTTAAAATTCTAAAATAAAAAATTAAGCAAGCAATTAGAATATCTTATTTTTTATTTTTTAAATTAATAATTTTCTTTTATAAATATTCAATTTGGTATTTAACTCTTCTTCTTCATTAAAATATATTTATAATTTTAATATTTATAAAAGGAAAACATTATTAATGATAAAATATTTAGTAATAAATACTTGGTGATCGATATTTTTCAAATTTTGTGTTATATTCATTTCATATCTCATAAAAATTTTACAAAAAAGTACAAATTTTAAACCTCAAAAATTTTTTAAATTCAAAAAGCGTTATTCCACTATTATAGCTAATTCTTTTTAAATAAGAAAATTTGAAACAATTGATTTTTTATAATCTTTTAATGAATAAAAGACTATATTTTAGATTTATTTAACATGACATAATTAATAATAGCTTTTTCTGAAATATTTTAGAAATTATCCTAAAAATAGTGAGGGTTATTGCTAAATAAAATCAATTTATATTATTTTATTTAAAGCTTAATTACAAATCTTATTAGTATTCGTGTATGTAGCCTTGAAAAAGGCTATACCTTAGGGTACTATATATATAATTCTAAATTTATAATATTTAAATATTCTAAATTAGTAAATTTCCTTTTTTTTTTTAATATTCTAATAAAATTTTAAAATATAAAATAGATAATAAACTGCCAAAGCTTGCTAGAGATTGCTAATTTACTTTAACTATAGAGTTAAAAATACTAATGGCCTATAAATTTATTATCTTAGAAATTATGTTATTGCTTTCATTATGAAATCACTTTTATGGATATATTGAAGATTAATTTAAAAATTTCAAAGGAAATTTCTTAAGTATTTTAATTTCAGTCTATAATTAATACTCAAATAACACTTCATAAAAAACAATTACTCATAGATCTACTTTTAAAACATATTAATAACTGGAATAGCTCAAAATGAGGTAAAAATTCATCATTTAGTTAAGAAAAAAAAAGAGGTAAATATTATTTAAATTATAAATTTATTTTTTATTAGATAAATATCAATACTCTATAAAACTTAATTACAATTAAATTTAAAAGGTTTAAAAATACGAAAAAAGAATCTTTAATTTTTTAATTTCGAAAATGAAAAATTCTAACAAATTAACAAATAATAATTTAGAATATTACTGAAAAATATGTTTTTTAAATGCTTTTAAATATAATTCATTTCAAAAAAAAGAATGAGCAGGTAAATCTTATAGACATTCATAGTTTGCACATACGGGGCACTAATTAAATTTAAAGTTTTGAGAGTATGTTGGAGAGAAGAGAATGCAATGTTTGTGGAATGAATGCCTGCATAGAATGAAAAATATTTTGCCTTCTACTTTGTTTCTTTATTACTAAGGTTGCTTAGAATTATCATCATTTGAAACACAAATTAGTTTTTTGCATATCTAGCAAATCTCTTATTACTTATTTACTTATTTTCCATTGTATAAATATTTGCTATACTGCATTTAAGTCTAATAAACTCCTTCCTTTAAGATATCAACAATTACTTATTTATTACTTTTTATTTATTGAAATTTATCAATCGCACTTTGAATTTTTTCATATTTTTTATAATCGCTTTATTCATCATTTTAGTCATCTGATTCTTCTATTTTTTAATCTCTTCTTTTTTTTTAATCTTCACATTCCTTGATTTATTATATTAGTTATTGAGTATCCATGTCCAATAATACTTCATCGGAATTGTAGCTGTTATTTAAATCTTCAAATTAATCTTTATCAAATTAAATTCTATTTTGTTATGTTTAATCGTTTTACAAATTATAATTCATTTTATTTTATTTTTCTCCTAAATCAACTGAATCAGACCCTTAATTATTTTCATAAGATTCTTTTAAATCTAAGTTAGAATTTGATTCGTATGTATTATTTTTTTAATCTATTTTAATTCTATAAGGGCGTTTAAGATTTTTTAGTGACAGTTTTTTATTCATTATTGTTGCATATTATTCATAAAATTAAATGTAATTTATCTTGTTGCTAACTGAACTTAGCATGTAATTATAAAATTTAAATTTAGACATTAAAAATATATCGTTCATTTTATTCACAACTAGAAACATTCTAGAAGAATTGTTTATTTCAAATATACTTTTGATATCATAACTGAGCTGAAGCTCACTCAGATCCAAAATTTTGTTTAACTTGTTTGCTTCGAAATCAAAAGAAACATAATTTATTCTTCTATTTAATTGAATTAAAAAGTTTTTTGAGTTTTTATTATCAATTTCACCTTTAAAATCTAAAATTTCAGCATTATCAAAAAGGTATTCTATTCCTTCAAAACTAATTTTATTGTGACCTAAAAATGCTAATTTGTCTTCATTGTTAATTTGAAAATTGATAAACTATTAAAAATCATCATCAAATTCAAAATATTCAGTATTTTCTTAAGAAACGACAATATACTAATCATTAAAAAGTAAATACAGCTTCCCATTTAACAAAGCTAAATCAGTTATTTACTTTTCACTTTTTTCTAAATCAATAATTATTCTCTCTTCATACTCACAGTATCCTTTTTGAAATAAGATAAATCTTTAAGAATATTTAAAATAAACTATTGAATTTTATATTTTTAAAGATATTAACATTTATTGAGAATTTTAAAATGTTTTGAAATATTTTTTATTTTATATTTTAATAAAATTAGAAACATGTATAGCAATAAAATATACCTTTGTTGATTTGGATTACTTGATTTTATTTCGTCAAAACGAATATTTACAGCACATAAAACTCTTTATCATAAAAGCGGTTGAAGAGTATTTTTTTAATTTGTATATTATCTCTGGAGTCAACTTCATAAATATCAACAAGCTCTAGTTCTAAATTCTAATTTTCAATCTTTAACTAAATGAAGTATATTAAGCCTTTTATATTTATTTTACAATTTATTTAATTTTTTCTCCAATTCTAAAATAAATTCTACTTTAATAGTTCAATATGATAAAATTATGCTCTCTTACTATTTCAGTATTTTCACATAAATTTTTTTTAACAATATCAAATTTTTGGAAGTTCATGTCTGTAGCATTTAAAATCCACAAAATTCCTTCTTTGCCTTAGATAAGCTATAATTTTAGTAAAATAATTAGTATATTGTTATTTCTTTCTTATCTATTTTAATCTTACAAATAATGATGCATCCATTTGATGAATAAAGTTAACTTAACTTAATTATGGATATGCTTCATATAGATTAATACAATTAATTGTATTTTAATCTAAGGAATCTTAATATAAATCTATTATATGCTATATATGCTATTCTAAATTGGCTTCCAAGCTTTATTCTTCCATTTTTATATCAAGTTTTATTATTTATCACAGTTTATCAGAAATCAAATAAATATCTTTGATTAAATTAAAATTGTTATAAATAATTATTTATGAAGATTTTAATAATAACTTTAACACGTAGAAAATTTAATTGTTGAAATTTTGGAGAAGTAAGTCTGTTTTGAAAATGGCTTGTTACATTTTTTTTAAGCTAACACAAAAGAGTTTTAATTTTTATAAATAGATTTATTTTGACCTAAATGTCTTCTAAAAGAAAACAGAATAAAAGTGGATTTATTATATTATATATTTGGATGGTTTTGTATTATTCAGTGTTTTTAGTGAATTGTAAGCGTGAATCTTTTTGATTTGAATTAATTAATAAATAATCAGTATCTTTTTAAAAAGTAAAAAAAAAATAATAGCAATAAAAACTTATTTACAAAAATTTTAGATTCAAAGTTTAGAAATTCCTCTAAAAAAATAATAAGAAATGGGAAGGCAAGGAGAGAATATCCTTCTTTATTAGTTCATATTCTTGAAAGGAATGGCATGTATGAATTTCATTGAAAATAAAAATATGAAATCAAGAAATAATGCATTTTAATACATATATTTTAATTATTAATATTAAAGTTATCTATTTAGCAGCGTTCTTGTCCATTTTTTATGAAATAAATGCTTTGATAGGTTACGATGGACTTCTTCCTGTTCATGTAAATACCTTAATAATATATTTCATTCCATTAATATAAGCTCATATCATTTTTTTTAATTTTTATAGACCTACTTAAAAAGATTAAGTAATAATGGAATTAATAAAGACATGAGCATAGTGCCAACAATTGTTTGGTGGGCACCTGAAATTATGGAGTACATTAAAAAAGTTGTTCCTTCTTTGTCTGAATTCGATAGCTACGAAACTCTCCTTCATTTAGTAAAAAATTAGAATATTATTTTAATGTATTTAATATGAAACGATAAACAAATATAAAGCAAGTTTATAAAAGCAGAAATATCAATTTATGAAAAAGTTAAATGTTGAATTGACTCTATAAAATATTATATTTTAAAGGAACAATATTATGATTAAATTATTATGAAAAATTCTTTTTAATTTGATCTTTCTTTCAAAAGCAAGAAGAATATTTATTTTAAGATACTTTTTAGAATTTAAAATAGTTCCTATTTAATATATTTAAATAGCACATAAATATCTTAAGAGTTTATTTAATTTAATGAACATAATTTTATTCATTATCAATAAACTCATCAAAGACATCTATTCTAAGTTAAATAAATACTATTCATGCAGCAAAATAATTATTTTATTTTTTTAAAAGATTTGCTTAATTGGAGTATTATTGAGTCTTTTAGCTTTGCTATCAAATAAATTTATGAACTTCTTGGTTTATTTGAGCCTCTGGTTTTTATATTTATCTATTTTCTCTGTAGGATAACTATTTTTCTCATTTTAATGGGATATTATGCTTTTAGAAGCTGGTTTTCTTACTATTTTTATTACTCCAACTGTCAGAAACGGATAATTGATAGTTGATGAGATATCTTCAGTAACTAGAGATTTATTGAAATGGCTTTGCTTTAGGTTGAACTACGCCAGTGGAGTTGTCAAACTAACAAGGTATGAGATTTTATTATAAATCTTTAAATTTTAGATTTACAAATAAATAAAAAAATAGTTAATGTCCTACATGGTGGTAATTGACAGCACTTCATTATCATTTTGAAAGCTAGCCTCTCCCCAATCCTATTTCATACTATTTTCACTAGCTGCCATCTTGGTTGAAGAAATTATTCGTAGCTTAGAATTTTATTACTCTAGTAATCTTTATTTTTGGTTTTTTAAAGAAATAAAGTATTTAAATTTATTAAAAGATAGGAGGATCTTTGCTCATATATTCCCCTTTTAGAAGATTCAGACAGTTTGGTGGTTTAATGCTTCTCAGTGAACAATTTATGATAATCTTAACTGGAAATTATAACTTCTTTAACTTCTTAACTGTTTTGGTGTACTTTTTTCATTTGATTAAAATTCAATTATATAAAAATGTCTCTAACTTAAAAAGCACTTTAGCTACATTTGATGATAAATTTTTAAAGTATTGGACACCTAAATTTATCTTAAGTCTACTTGGAGACTACAATGATTGCATCAAAAAGCCTTTAAAAAAAGAAACTAAATCTAAAGATTTAAAAAATGACCCATATTCCCCTCTAATGAAAAAATTGAAGCTACTAATTTGCATTTTAATATTTGTAAGAAAAATTAACAAAATAAAAAAATATTAAACCAATTATTTCTAAATAGATTGCTATGGTTATCTATGCGTACTTAACATATTTCCCATTAGAAGCTATTTTTGAAAATGGTAAAGTAGACTTCACCCTTGCAGATATTAGAGTTAATTTAGTCAATGGAAAAGTCCCTATTGTAGCTTTAATAGCTTCTATGTTATTTTGTGTACACAATCTCTTCTGTTATTCTCTTAAATATAATAGCTAAAAGTATTTTTTAATAATATTATAAAAAATTTTAGACTCATCTTTTAAATTTTTAAAAATGTTTAGGAGCGTTATTGTTAACACAAAAAGATTATTTGCAATTACCTTTGGGTTTATTATGTATATGCTCACTTCCTACACATTCTTTGCAGGATTGGATAAAGAAATGTTTTAATTCCCATTAAACATACCCTTGTTATCACAACTTTAATAATAGTCTCAGCCATTCCACATTTCTAATAGTTATGGGTTATTCAGAGTGTAAATATTATTTAATTCGTTAAAGAAATTTAATCAATTTATTCCAATTTATTTAGTATGACTGGTATAAATGGTAGAGAAGAATTAATTTTTGAAGTGAGTGAAGATGGAATTAATTATCATGAAATAACACTTTTTTATAAACCAGGACCAATAGATTAACCATTAAGATTTGTTGCACCTTATCATCCTAGATTTGATTGGCAACTTTGGTTCTCAGCTATGAGACCTCATAGTAAATTTATAAAGAAAGATATTTAATTATAATTAATTTTTTTGTATCATCTAAATAGTTAATGAAGCTTATCTATTAAACTTCATGTTCAAGCTGATAAATAACAAGCCTAGTGCTCTCAGTCTAATAGATCATAATCCATTAAAGGGAAAGCAAATAAATTTCTTAAATATTAAAAAATACATTTATTCTTACACTACTTTAGAAGAAAGAGCTAGTACAGGGTAAGTTTAATTTAAAAACAAAATTTACTCAATATATTAATTAAAATTTTTCTTAAAAGTAATGTTTGGAAGAGGAAAGATCCATAGATAATGGCTGAAAGAGTTATGAGAGTGCATAATAACTTGGAAAAGAGCTTAAAGCTAATGAATCAAGAAATAGATACTAAACGTTATCCTATTCACATTTTGAGAGAAACTGTACCCCTAATTGAAATAGTGTGGACTCTTTTAGTGCTAATTTTCATTAAAAATTTCCTCAAGAACAGAAAGATAAAAGTATGAAAAATTAACAAACAAACAAAAAAAACTTTTAAAATAGTTAGAAAATCATATTTAATTAACAATATAAATATTTATGTATTTAATATATTTTTCAAGTATTTTTATTATTATTGACTTGCTAGATTTTTCAATTTAATTTTTATAAACTCTATGAATATTTTAATAATAATTAATTACTTTTAATTAAATATTGAAAAAAAATAAATACATACAGTGTTGTTAATTGATTCTTTACTGCCTAGATATTAAATTAAAAAGACTGCTATTTGAAAATTAAACTTAAATAATTTTAATATATTGATGAAGGAGTTGAATCAATAGTGGAATTATTAAAAAATAAAAATAAATATCAAAATTCAATTTTAGAAAAGAGCTGCCATTTAATAATTTACCTAATCAACTTAAACTATATTTTACGGTATTTGAGGATTTACAGTTTTTATTATTTTAATTTTGTGAAATAGAAAATTAGCAAAAATTAATTTTTATTTATCTTTAAAACCAAAAGAAGAAAGTTATTGTTATTAGATAAAGAAATATAAAATAACAAGTAAAAGGCATAAATAATTAAGAATAATTAATTAGCATTATAAAATAGAATTGAAGAAATAGTTTTTTTCCTCTTAATTTTAATAAATAAGATATTATAAGATAGTTTTTGTTCTTTTATTATATTTTTTGATTAGTTAATTAATGTTTTTAATTGGTAAGTTGAAATAAATATTTTTATTTATTTTTTAATGATTTTTATGTTGAATTATTTATTTAATTATTGATTGATTGATTGACTCAGTGATTTAGTTATTTAATTATTTATTTATTAATGATTATTAGTATTTATTTTATTTATTCATGTGATGCTTTAGACAAGGTGTATGTAGTTAACAAGGTATTTAAAAGGATAGGTGTGTTTTTGTTTTTAGTTGCAAATTATTAAAACCATGAAAGATTTATAAGAATGAGTTATTTAGTTATTAAATAGAAGATTCTAAAATATTTTATTCTTTAAGATATTTTTATATTTTTTTTTCAATTAGTTTTTGTATTTTTTATTTTTTTAAGAATTTAATTGCAATCCCTCACTCAATTGATATAATTTTCGTATTCATCACAGTTTTAGTGAATCTCAGAACCTTAAATTACTTAGTAGGTCTAATTAGTGTGTTAGTTTTCAAGGTCATTTCTTGCATCATTTAATTAATTAGTGGTAATCTAAGAGCTATTTTCTTCATCTTCGTTTTTAATGTTATGAATCAATTGATCTTTAGCTTGATATTGTCTGCTTTTTTAAATATCTTGAGTTTATTGATTATGAATGCTATTTTAAACTATTTGTTGAATGTGTTTGTTGTTGCTAACAGTGAATTCTTATTCCAATTTAACTTCCTCATCATAAAGTTTGGATTGAACCTCATTTAAAAATTGATAAAGTTCAGGATCTAAAAATTCTTAAATGTCATTTCCTTTATTTGTGTTTGTATCCATTTCATAAATTTAAACCAGGAGATCTATATCACCTTTTAATTTTAGTTGTTTCATAGAACAGATAGCTAGTCCACTTGTGAATTTTTTGAAACTCATCTATTTATAAAATACATTTTTATTCCTGCCAAATAAAATAAATGATTTATTTATTTTTAATAAGTTTACTTTAGAATTATCTGGAGGGGATTAGCAAGCAATAAATGGAAATTTAAGTTTTATTTATTCTTCTCCATTAGTTGATGCGCCCTTGGACAAAGAAATGCATTTGAGAGTTTGAGTTGAATCTTTAGAAGAAGCAGAATTTCCAAGTTTTACATTTTGTTCTTCTTTCATTTTAATAAGCTCATTCTAAACATTTCTTTTAATAAGATGCTTTGAGGCAAGCATCTTTAAAGTTAAGTCTTTGAGAATTTCATGTTTTCTTTTTAAGCGATCTTTTTTAGAATCCTAATTTATGAATGATCAAATAAATGGTTAATTTACATTTGAATTAAATAAATAAATAACATACCAAGGAGTTTTTTAAGTATGTTTTTTGATTTTATTACTTTTCAAGTTAGTTGTTACTAACTACATTGTTAATTCCTTCTTTTGAGTTCTTACTTACTGGAATTTTTTAGATGTTAGAGCAAATTCCATTTAAAGGTTTATTGTATTGTATAACTTTATTTTATTTTTTACTTTTAGTTATTAGCTCTGCAGCTATTAAAACATTCAATGCATCATAGACTCTTCTTTTAATATTCTATTCTTCTTATACCTAAATAACACAATAATTTACATAATTTAATATATTCTAATTTAAAGCTCAATATTTATTTTACTTATTTTTAATTATTTTTTTTACGATTTTGAATAATTTCATCAGTAACTTCTTTATAAGTGGTTTCATTTTTTTCACGGACTATTTCAAGTACTTCTTTACTTAAAATTCTTAGACCTATTAATAAATTAACATAAATTAGTTCCATAGATATATATAAATATCATTAATTAAAATTTTATGTTTCAAATATATATTTTATAAGTTGTATTTTCATATGTAATTCATTCATTTGTTTATTTATTTATTTACCTCTTTCGTTACGATTTCCATTATTTTCATCGTCAGAATCATTACCATCATTTTAAGCTGTGCAATTACCATTTGTTTGCTTTTGATTTGCAATTCTGTTAATTTTTTAGCGTTAGTCTTTTGGTTAAATTAAAAACAGATTAGAAAATCAAACAATAATTTATTTTAATTTTTACTCGAAGGAATTTCAAATTGATTATTTTAAAAAAGATTGCTGTTGTTGTAAGGTGCATTTTTTTGCTTTTGAGTTTGAGTTTAGAGATTTGTGTCTATTTAGGTATTTGGATTTTACTAATTATTTGGAGTCATAAAATTTTAATTGTTTGGAGTCATGAAACTTTGGTTATCAAAGTTATTTTTCAATGGAGTGTTTTAATATTTTTGATTTTCAGGTGAGATATTAAAATTTTATTTTCTTGTTATAACTGTGTTGTTATTAAAGTTTTATTCCTAATTTAGGTTTTCCTCTTTTTTATCTAATTCCCCGTAAATACCATTCATGGGATTAATTTCAGTGTAAGAATTTTAATCAGCATTATCGTCTTCTTAATTTCTTTAATTTTATTCTTTTTCCTCAACTTTTAACTTTTTTTATCTACTTTCATATTGTTAGATATCGTCTTAGTCGTCATCTCTTCTTCTATTTGCAAAATGAAAAGCTAGATTATTACCTTCACCAAAAGGATCATCATTCTCTTAAGATTCTTAACCTTAGTTATCCACATTATCTATATCACATCTAATCCCTCCTAAATTTTATAAAGGGCTTTAGTTTTAGGGTGTTTGTGTTAAATATGATTAATTGAATAAGTTGTTATTGCTATTAATATTATTTTGCATATATAAAGGAGTAAATTAGCAATTATCAGGATAATGAGAGCTCAGAATACGCCCACCTCCAGATTGCATTATTGGCATGTGAGGGCTGATAGGAATAGGAGTATTTCTATATCTTTATATTAATGAAAAAATTATTAAATAACTTTTCTATTTTTAAAAAATAATTTTTTATGTATATAATCATGATTTAACAGATCCAATCTATTAAGAAATATATAACAAGATCAATTTAACTTAAAAATTTGTATTTATTTAATAAAAGTTTTAAAAATTTTCTTATTTATGCTGAATTGTATGTAACTATTTAATATTAGATTGCTATTTTTAAAAATATTTTTTTTTAAATTTTAGAATCAATATTTCTATTTTGTTTGTGATTATTTCAATCCGAAGAAGTAAATAAAGATTTTTATAATTTTGAGTACTAATATTAAATTTAGTTAATCTATTTATCTATAAGCAGCAACACTACAAAATTTAGAGATTACTATTTTTTGCTACAAAAAAGATCGTTTTTTATGGATATTGCTAAAAATAAATTAATTTTCCTTCAAAAATTAAAAATAAAATATATATTATTTTTATAATATACGACTAATTTTATGTTTGCAACCTTAATGTTGAAAAACAAATAAAATTATAGTTGAAAATATGGTTTTTTGATTAAAATGTGTTGTAATTAATTATTTACGAGTAGTTAGATTGTATAAGGTTATTATTATACAAATGAGAAGAGGGGAGAGGAGTTCTATGGTGAAATTCTTCCAAGTCAGGATAATTAATAGGATTATGATTATAGACACTTTGATTAATGGCACTTTCTATCATCGGGCCAGAAAAATAATGATTTTGCTCAGGGCTTAAAGGATTTAAGTACCTAGGGGTAGGAGAAAATACATGAGGTGGAAAGATTTGGTTGATGCTGTTGCTGTTAATATTACGAGACAAAGACGAAATTCTAGATATTTAAATAAGAAAATTAGCAAATTATAAAAAATGATCTTTATATTATTTGAAATTTATAAATATTTTTATCATTTGTTTCATTTCAATCTTCAATCTATCTATTCTATTAATTCCTACTGGAATACGCGTGTGGTTAGCTAAAAGATGAATGCTAGCTAAGTGATAAATAACTATTATTGGTCCTTAGACTCTAACTAAATTTTTGTATTGCATTTACCTGCCAAAATGATAGTTTGCTGGTGTTGTGGGTGTATCGTAGGGTTTGGTCAACAAAGAATCATTAATCTAAATTTGGTCATTTGAGAAGTTACTACTCATATCTAGTGTTATATTTTAAAAAAATAGTCAAAAATAGCAAATAATATAGCTTTGTATATCTATTTAAATAGAGCAGCTGCAAAGAAATGTTCCAAAAACTCCAAAAAAAACTGATTGTATAGCCAAAAAGCCATTTTGAGATGACTAAAATAGGAATATCTTTGATAAAATAGTTAATTTGGCTTCTAATAAATGCAAAGAGCAGCTAAAATAAAGCAACTAAGCATTATTAAGTAAGTAAGTAAATCTGCTTGGAAAGTGGAACAAAAACTAAGATTAAAATAGTAAATTAGAAAGGATAAACGAAATACTTTGCTGAGGAGCAGAATGTTCACTTGCCAAGCCCTCATGCTAGTGTCTATTACGTAGCTCAGAAAGCTCGCTCTATTCTATGATTTGAGAGAGATAGTTCATATTTGATTCAATGCAATTTTTATTTCTTTAGATTTTTATTTTATTATCTTACTTTTGCTTGTAATTGATAATATATTTGATTCACAAATAATAGAAGCAATTAATTATGTTTTGCTTGTTTTCTTGTTTTTTTGATTGCTTGCATGATTGCTTTGTTAATTATTTCTTCTATTTATCTATCAAACTATTTATCTATTTATCATTCATTCATTCATTCTTTCATTCATTCATTTAGTTATTCAATTATTCAATCAATGTGTATATTTATAACTAAATATACGTATTCTTACAAGGCTATTGCTGCAGCTTTATTGATTGAATCGCAAAAATAATCAAAGAAAACTCATGTTTCAATACATGCAAAAGAATAAATAAGTAATAAAAGACAAAAAGTAATACTTAAGCTACTAACAATATTATAAGTTGAATAGAGCCATTCATACAAAATCTATAAGCTGCATATATAAAAATTAATTAAGAAATTCATTTTTTTCACATATAAATCAAAAGAAGCTTAAAAAAAAACATAAAAAATAATAAGTTCAAAGTAGATTTCTGTGTTAACATTTTTAATTGATTTATCATTATTCTTTTGTTTTTTTTATTTATTTATTTGATTGCTTATTACTTTCTGTGGAAGATGAAAGAGAGAGTTTATTAATTAAAAAAAAAAAATTGATAAATGAATGATAGTAGCATTTATTCAAAATATGTATCTATTAATAATAGATGTAATATATATCTTTTTGCTTCTCTTTTATTCACATATTTTCAAAAGTTGTTTGTTATCACCTTTAATAATGTTAATCAACCATTCTCTTTTCGTTTACTAAAACTAGAAATCAATTATTTAATACATACATTTCTTTCTTTCTTTCATTCTTTCTTTTATGTCCTTCACCAAATACTTTTCTTTATTTTTTTGCTATTTAAAGAAGGGACATTATTTTATAATAAAAATTAAATCTCCGTTTCCATGCCAAATGCGAATAAATTTTCATATTTTGTTAGCGATATTTTTGAAAATTTTCTAATTTCTATATGAGTGTTTGACTTCCTTTTTTTCAGTAAAATTTAAAAAATAATATCTTAGTAATACCAAATTAAATTATGGGAGCTGTCTTGAATTAAAATAATTCATATTTTTATTTGAAAACCTTATGCGAAAATAATAATTGTTAGCTTTCATGTAGAACAAAAAAGTTAATAGTTTGCTTTTATAAGTTAATCTTATCTTTCTTTACTTTCAAAGGTAATTTAAACATAAAAAAATTAGATAAAATTTTCCCCGTTCTTTCTAACTAATTTAACAACTATAATTTTTTTAATAGATTTCTCCCCATTTTAAAATTTTGGAAAAATTTTGGAGGGAAAATCTGATTTAAAGAAAATTGTATTTTTGACTTTGAGCTCCAAAATTAGATTTTGAACTATTAGTTTTTTTTGTAGTTGTTTTGTTTATACATTTAAAGATCTTTTGTTTTTTAGACATTTTTAGTTTGACTTCAATCTTTCTTATTAATTATTCTAAATAAATTACACAACTGGTATTTTCATCAGTTAAAAATAAATAAATAAATTATTTGCTTCCTATGATTTAATTTTAACGAAATAGCAACTTGTAAGTTTATTTGTTAGATAAGAATTAATAGATAGATAGACAGAAAGATTGATAAATATTTAGATACAAAACCAAATAAATAGATACTGTATCTTTCCCTATCAAAATTTACTTAAACACATACAATCAATCATAATGCAAAAATCTTCTTTTTGAGTTAGCCAAATAAAAGGAATAAATTTTAATCAGAAAAGTCTACTTTATTTTTTTTTAATATTTTTCAAAATTTAGATAAAAAATTCAAATTAAAAAAACAAAATGTGATAAAATAGTAATTTTTAAATTTAAAATTAATCTAATTATTATTAAACCCAGTTTTTCTACAAAAATATATTAAATATTTTCTAATACAAAAGAAAAATATCAATAAGAGCTATTTTATTATATTTAATTCAATTAATATTTTTTATAAATCTTATTATAAATTTTATTATTAAAAATAAATAAATTTAACTTTGTCTTTTTATTAAAAGTAGAATTTTTACAAAAAAAATTTATTTATTTATTTATTTTTATAAACAAATAAATTAATGTGTTAGATAAAAAATTTATAAAATTTTATTGATTTTTAAAGGAAACCAATTCATTTTTACTAAAAAAATCCATCCATTCTTATTGTTATGTTTTTCTAATTTAGTTTAATTAAATATACTAAATAATTAAATAATTGAAAATACATTTAAACTTGAAAATAATTAAAAAATAATTTAAAACATTAATAATAAGCATAAATTCAATTTAAGCTTATTTAGTTTATAAAAATATTTTATTTTTGTCATTAAGATGTTCTTTTAATTCAAAACTATTTTCGATGTATTAATTCTTAAGAATCATAGCTTTGAAAACCTAGTTTATTTATTATATATAAGAATTTCAAACATAAATATTTTTGTGATTAAAGGAAAGATATAATTTAATTTTATATAATAAATACTTATTGAAAATCATTTAAAAATTAATAAATTTATATTTAATTGCAAATTAGATTAAGAAAGTAAATAGAGAGAGTGTTAGCATAAAATAGTTAATTTATTTAAAATAAAATAAAATAATTAAAGCATATATATAGAGCTAGCTATTCTTCATAAGGAGTATTTGAGTGTACAGACCATTTTTTGATAACAACATTTTTTTTAATAAAATTTTATGAAATAATGAAAATAATTTTTTTTAAAATTGGTAAAAATTCAATTTATGTAAATTTATTAAAATAAAAAATAGGTTCTAAATTATAGTTATTAAAATCAATACTATTTATTTTTCTTAAAAATCAATACATTAATTAATAAATAATTTTCTCTTATTTAGGTCAAATTATTTAAAAGAAATATTAAATGGATTAAAAATTTTACAAAGAAAATATTTTATTATTAATAAATAAATTTTTCTTAAAAATGAAAAATGATTAATTTAATAATAAAATAATAAAGAAATTTCTTGGAACAAAAATATATTTTCAGGATCTACTGATAAATTATGAATATATTAGCATGAAAATAAAGGTGAATAAAATTTATTCATGGAATATACACTCATTTGAATGAATTAATTATCATAAAAACTATAAATTTTACACAATAATGATTATTAATTTTTTTACGTAGAAGTAATGTATTATGAAGAGAAAATATTCAAATAATCAATATGAGATGATTAAAATTAAATTTAAATTTATTTACAATATGTATAATCAATTTATATAAATATTTGAGTACTCTAATTAATTATGTCTTTTATTTTTTTTGTTAATCTTTAAATTTTGATAGATGTCTATTTAGGCTTATTTTATTTTTAAGATTATTGCATTAAATACCATCCATCCATCCCAGAATAAGATTAAGTTAGATCAATGTAAGAATCTAACGACAATTTTTTCTTCAGGATAGATGTTGTAACTTCTAGAAGCATCTTCAGGATCTGGGCATCTTTCATTTTTAAGATCAGTATCAATCTTTGAAAAGGATTTGGTGTTATTATTTGTTCTCTTGCTCATCCATAATTTAAAGATACCGCAACCTTAGAGTTTAAAAATAATAAATTTAATGATATTTTTTATGGATCAGATAAAAAGTATTACTGACTAAAAAGAGACCTCCTTCAAGAGCACCCTTATTCATAGCTATGGCTAAAGAACTCATTATTAAGTATATTATTTAATTTTAAAAATGATTTGTTTTTTTATTCTAATTTTTTAGGATATGTTAAATTTGATTTAATATTAAATTATAGATTTTTTCGATTAATTTTTGATGAAAATTTTATATATTTTAATAGATTTATTAGGAAATGTAATACAATCCATGTAATTATAAAATTGTAGATATCATATAAAATCATTACTTCTAGAAATCTAATAAATTCCTATTAATTTATTCATTCACTGTAAAAATTAAACAATAAAATAATACTTTAAACATTAATTATTAATATAGTAAGTAAATGTAGATTTGTCAAAAAAGTTCAATTCTGCTTATAGAAATCAATTTATATTCAAACAAATCCTCAACATTAATATTGTAGGATATTATCTTCTCATATTAAAATAAGTAATTATTGATTTTAATTTAAATCAACCCATAAAACTTAATTTGTTTTATTGAAAATAAATTTCATTTGAATTATAAAAGACAGACAAGGCTTATTTGAATAATTAGTAAATATTTCTAACCATTATTTTTTTTTAATAATAAAAGTTATAAATAATTAATTTTATTTGATATTTGATTATTTAAAATTCTCAAATAAACAAATTAAAACTTTTTTTGCTTAGTTTTTTAAAACATCTAATATCATTTTTTTCAAAGAAAATCATTTAAACAATTTAATTGTGTTTATGTTTTCATAGTATTTCATTATTTTTTTCACTTTTTACAAATAAAATCAATCTAACATATTTATTAATTGTTTTTATTAATTAATAAAATTTCACTTTTAACAAAGAAAATTAATTATCTAAATTATTTGTGTATATTGTAATAACATTTAATTTTATTTTAGCAAAGAAAATTGTTAAATTAGGTGAGTTTATTTATATTTTTTTAATAAATTATCATTTTAATCTTAGATATAACAAAGAAAATAATTTAAGCTTTAATTGATTCTTAAAATTGTAAATAAATTTTTTAGAAGGTGAGTAAATTTTAATATAAAAATTTTAACAATAAATTATTTAACTAAATCAAAAAGAATATATATATATTCATGCTTTTTTTCTATTTTATCAATAATTATATTTTTTGTTCAGTAATAAATTATTCAATCCATCATGAAATTGTAACGGTAATTGTAGAAATTAGAGCTTGATTGCAGCTCTTCTCTAAATTAACTATGATTTTAATTAAACGAATAGTTTAGTATATTATCCTCTCTTTACTCATGATGATCATCTTAATCATAACCAATATTATTTGCAAATGAAACATTATTTTATAAAACGTAGGGATTAATCTATTCATTCACGTTCTAGTATTATAAAAATTAAGCTCTATTTCTATAAAAATTGTATTCATTTTGCTATTGATAGGATTAGCTTTAGTTGCTCTTAATGCTTTTGATGTTTGGATCGTCCAACATAATCGAACTACTAAGCATATCATCAGCCGATTGATTAGTATATGTTAGAGCGCATGCCCAGCTATCTAGATTATCTACTACATTTGGGTAATAAGAAGGTAGAGTGTCCCAAACTTTACTAATAAGATTGAGCCTCTCGCATTTATACCCATTACCTCCAATAGTATAGAGATGATGCTTAGATAATACTACCTTGTTTCTCAAATCTTTACCGTTTTCCATCTCTGCTATGACCTCTATTTTATGTTCAGGACTTGTAGTAAATTTGTAAACTTCCTTTAAAAAACCTTCATCATGGCCTCCTCCAAGAATATATATGCAATCTTTTGAAGCATATCTCGGATGATGGATAGCAGCACAGTTGCTCAAATGCTTTGGAAGCTTAAAATTGATAATTTCCCAAGTATTTGTTGAAATTGTGTATTTTTCAATGTCATTTAATCTTTTTTGGCTATCATACCCACCAAATGTGTAAACGTATTTCCCATAACTACACAATGAGGCTGCAAAAGCACATTTTGGAATTTTCATGGGAGCAAGTTCACTCCACTAATCAATTTTAGGGATATATAAATAGCAACTATTAAGCATCTTTTATGCCTCCATGTTATATCCTCCCATAATCATTACACTTCCATCATTTAAAACAACTGAGCAGTGTTCTTTGCGAGCTATTGGCATTTATTGTCTTTTGATTACTTGCAAATCATTCTATATACTGATTTCATAAACCTAATCAGAATTTCCACCACCCATAAGTAATAAATTGTCATTTCTTAAAGTCACAGCAGAACTGTACCCCAAGAACTTAACTCCTTCAAGATTATATTTTTTCCACTCAAATTTCTTTAAATCTAAGATGATCAACTTATTTTTATTACCAACGAAACATATTTTTGGCTGGTAAACTTTTATTAAAAAAATTAAGTTTGTTTTTCATAATAAAAATGAATTCTGTACAGATATAAATTTTTTAAAAGCGAATTTATATTTATTAATAAAGCTAATAAATAAATTTAAAATATATATTTATACCATCTAGATAGGCAATGCTACTGATCGATTTGTATATATCACTACCAAAGACTATAGATGGAATTTCGAATTCTTGCTTTTCTTAGCTTATTGTGCTTTCCTTTATCTACTTTTTAATTTAATCCTCAATTTCAGATATTTTGTTGACTAATTGATCATTCTTTATTACCTTTGTTTATTCTATTTGTTGTTAATACAAAATAATTATTTAATATTTGTAAGATATTTATTTATAAATTTAATATATTTTATGTCTTCATTATGTGATAATTACCTAATAATTTCTCAGTTTCTTAAATGGTATTAGAGTTAGCTATAAATTAGTCACTGACACTTTAATGAAGTACTATATCTAACTCTAATGATTGTATGTATTCCATGTATATATGTGAGTATTCTTTCTTAAAAGATTCTCTTTTTTAATTTATCTTTTCGATGAGTGAATCGAATTCGCTATCAATTAACTATAATTATTCCTTTAAATATTTCTCTTAATATGTTTTGATTTCTGTTGCATTCTAAATTGCTGAATTGACTGTATCCATGATATCATTCAACTGGTCTTTTGCTTTCTGTAGCCTTTCTTTTAAAAGAGAAACTGAATGCTCTTATTTTACAAATTTATGACCAGAATGATTTATGATACACTAAGTGCATAAATGTTCCTAACAATCCTCGCAAAAGAATAATTAAAACTCCTAATGTGTATCACATAATTATAATTTAGATTAAAGCTGATGTTATTTCAAAGCTAAATCAAGTGCTATAAAATTCTTTGAAAGTGATTCAGGACGTACATCTGGACTCAATTTTTTCCTACAGCTTGGACACTCAATAAATCCTTTTGGCTATAAAATTTACTACAAACATAACTCGCAGAATGTGTGGCCACAAGGTAAATTTCTAGGAATATGCTTTTTCTCATCATATAGTATATAGCACATGGGACACTCCATTTCTATGAACCTTAATAAAAATAGTATTTGCTTAAATAATATTTTTTAATTTGCTTTTTTCAAAATATAAAATCACTTTTACAATTAAATTCCTTTTTTGATCAAGCTGCTTCAATTAATAAATACGTAGTAGGTATTTTATCTAATAGTTTATTCTTAATAGTTTATATTCCCACTCTTTTTTCAAATACATCTTTAATAACTTAGCATCAAGAACCAACCAATCATTCATAATAAATCTATTTAATTCTAAATAAAATTGTTTAATTTATAAACTATTTTATAAATTTAGAAAAAAAAATAATAAAAAACTGCATTTTTCAAAGGCTCTCTTAGATTTTTAGATTTTATAACTCCTTTATCAAGAAAGATTTGTATTTAAAATTAATCAAATGGAAAAAAATGTTAAAAATATTATTTGAAAACTAAAAATCAAAATTATTTTTACTAAAAAATAAGAAAACATTTTAAAATTCAGGCAATTAATTTTTTTTAATTTCATTAAAATTTAAATTATTTTTTTTGAATAATTTTATTCACCTTATTTTATAACAAGTAGGAAGATCTTTTTTTAATAATAAGATAATTTTGTAATATCTTTAAAGCTTAAAATGAAAGATTTTTTTAAAGAATATAAAATAATAAGCTTTGTCCAATTGTTAATGGAAATTTATCTTGAATATTGAAAAAATAAAGTTTAAATTTTATAGATAGATTAGGTTTTACCATTATTTTGATTACTTAAGCTTAATAATGCATACAAAGAAATAAATATTTGAATCAGTTTAATAGATTGAAGTTACTTGAGTTATATATAAATTTATGAATGTAACCAATTTGAGCTAGTTCAAGGGTGTTTAAATATTGCATACATTAATTTATCAACAATTTATTTATTTACTAAGTTACTTACTTACTTACTAACTTACTTATTTACTTATTTATGTAATTCTAAATTTGCATATCTATAATTAATCGATTTTATATTAACTAACTAAGTGCCTTTTCTATGCAAAATAAGATTTAATTGATTTTATTTGTACAAAGAATATGTTCATTCAAAATATTATGCAAATAAATAAAAATATAGATATGAATGTATGTATGCATGCATCAATGGAGAGATGCTTTAAAGTAAGAGTATCTTATGATCATTCATTCTTTATATGAAACATTATTAAGATATTTTTTATTAGTGCTATACTGAGATAAACTAAATCAGTAGGTTACATACTTGATGAGATCGTATTTATTTTTATTGCAAATGAAGAGATCATGTTCAACTTGTTTAAGCTTAGATTCAAAGAAAGCCTTAGTTGCAGCTGCAGCTTTTTCTCTTCTATTAAATTCAGCAACGTCAATCTTACCCTTTTCAAGCAAAACAACGTCTTCAAGCTTTTTAAGATTAATATTTTCTTCAGCTTCTTTCAATTTTAAAGCCAAGAAATCCCTTTCTTATTTAAAAACCTTTTCCTTGAAAGCCTTGAGATCAGGTACTTCTCCCTTTTCAATTTATTCTCTTTCGAGAGATTTCTCGTAGTTTTCTAATTCATTACCCTTGATTTCAATGTATCCCATTTCAGCTTTATCACCTTTTCTTCTTTCACTCAAGAAACGAACATTAATGAAATTGTTGTTTTTGTCACCTATTTATTTATAATTAGCATATTAAGTCTATTTCACTAATTTACTTATCAAATATATTCATTTTTAGAATTGAGATTTTCAATAAATTTGCGAGTAGAATTCACAAAATTATTTTCTTTTTTTTCTAAAATTTGTTGAATTTTTGAATTGAATGCAGCTTTGTTAATTTCGTAAAATACTAAAATAATTACCCAATCTGGCAGCGATTTCTTTAACGATTTTTCTTCTAGCTAAACTTGTGGTCAAGAAACTTTGCAAAAAGGATCTAGATTGATTGCTATTAGTTTTGGCTACTCTCATAGCATTAAGAAGAAGTCTTTCAGCGTAAGGCTTTAAGTGCTTGCACTTAGTCTTAGTGGTAGTGATACGCTCGTGCATGACGAGTTGAGTTAATTAGGTACGGATCAAATGGAATCTCTAAGAATGAGCACGACCCAATTTATAAACTTTATGACCGTTATTTGCTAAACCACCCATTATTCTATTTTATTTACTTTGATTATTGACAACCTATAATTAAATACCTTTTAATATATGATATTTTTCTTTTAATCAAGACAATACTATTAAATGACTAATTCTTATTTTTAACTTTTTTAAGTGCTTTCTAAAGCACATTCATTCAAAATATATATTAAATCCATTATTAATTCCATTCCTTAAATCATTCATTTAAAATTCTCTTGTTTTCTTTTTCTTTCTTTTTTTTTATTTTTATGTTTTTAAAATATCTTTCTTTCAATTTAAAATTTTAATCATGGTTATTATTTCATTGCTAAACACATTAAACAAGTAAAAAAATTATTTGCTAAAAATCATTTCAAAATTTTATTTACCAGAAATATAAAAAAACTTTAAAGTTAAAAACAAATTATTTCTTTCATAAAATTTTATTTTAATTTTAAAAAATTTATTTATTTTTTTTATTCAATTTAAATTTATTTATTTTTTAAAGCAATTTAAATTAATTTTTTATTTAAATATTAAGTTAAATCATTTATTTAAAACGATATTAATCATTTTGTTTTGAATATAAAAATAGATATAAACCCTTTTTTTCATTCTTTACCAGCAAAATCAAAACTGTTAACTATTTAAACTTATCTTACAACTATCGTATCATCTTATTTGCATAGATGAGTGCTTAATTTATAATGCTCACTTAAATCTAAGTTTTACGACTTAATTTAAATTATATTGTTTGGATCAACTAAATCAATAAATCTGACATACCTATCTTTAAGGTATATTTGAATTTAGATCTAAATTGGATCTTCCTATTAAATGTGTCTGATTCTATGCCCAGATATGACGCTTGAAAAAGAATCTATCCAAACGTCTTCTGTAGGGAGAAAACAAGCAAAAGATTTATTTAAATGCTTTTCATCCTTTATACTCTCTTTAATTAATCCAATGTATTACTCACCAGATTCACTGATATTGTAGATATCTATATCGATCACATACATTTAGTTTATTTCTATTAGAAAATCACTATATAATTGAATGCATTATTAGTACAAATTTTTTATTACCACCTAACCTTTTTCGTTTTTCCATACAACTGCCTAATCTGATTGCTCAAATCTCGAGCTCAACATTTCAAAGTTTATCTTTCTATTGCTTACTCCATGAAAATTTTTACTATTATTATCTAATATTCGATTGTGTTAATTAAATTAGTCTTGTAACAGGTTCTTTTTGAATGACTAGTTAAACTATATTTCATGTTAAATATTTTATAATTATCCTTATTATTCATATTAATTAGTTTTCTAGATAGAAGAAACGCTATAATTTTTAGAATATAGATCACTTTATTTCTGCTAAAGCTACTACTTTATTTATTATTGACTCTTTTCGTTTTAACTATATTAATTGTGTTGATTCATTTTGCTTGTAGATATAGGAACTTCTGCTTAAGGAACTTATTTAGTAGAATTTACTACATTATAATTTTAAATAGCCTTTAAAACACCTAATTTGAAACTAGAAATATCGTTTACAACTAGCAAATTTAAAGCTGAGTCTTACAAAGCTTCATCAAGAATCTAAGAGTTTTCCTTTTTTTATTGATACTTTAAAGATATTAATTTTCCCAAACTTTAATCAGAAGAAACTTAATTCTACTCGTATTGATGTAGTATTTTTTTAATGTCTTCTTTTGATGATATTTAATTGTAAGTATCAATATGTTTATTGATCTTTTCATAATGCTTATCTAATATTTGCAAAGACTCCTTTTCTTTTTCAGAGATAGCATCCAGAAAATCCTATCTGAATGCCTTAAAAAATTAAATTACTTATTCTCTTACTTTATTCACTTATTCATTTTATTCTCTTGTTTGGAGGCTCAGTCTTTTTATCAAACCATCATTTAATGGAGGCCAGTTTGATAGTATTGTTTATTCATTGCAATGCTCAATTTTACTGATCGGAATAAATAAATTTGGTGAGATATTCTCATCTTAAATGCATTCTATGCATTTTAAATGCTAGCCATTTAAATCTTGTGCTATGTTTATTGCTTCTAAGTAGTTTCCTTTGTGATTTTAGCACTCGATTTTGTATTGTAATCCAACTTTTTCCATTATTTTAATTTAGTTTTTTTTTGTAAAATATCTTAATAATCTTTGTAATTCTTGTTTGCATTTAAAGCTTAATAGTATTTACTATAGTATAAACAAACAATATTGGCAAAAAGAACTTCTTTATATTGTTAAATAAATTTAATATTTTAATAATTAATTTGAGAGATAATAAAATTACTTGCTTTAAATTGTGGTTAATATCTGTTTAAAAAAAACACAACATAATTTCAATGAAAAAATAATATATCTTTTTATCATTCATTACTTTATTAAAATATTAAAATAAAACAGCTTATTTTTGTAAATAATTTAATTTTATTTCATTATTTACCTTATTAATTATAATTTAACTTCATCAGGTTAATCTAAAACCATTTTAAGTTTATTTTGAAGTAATTTAGAATTTATTCAATATAAATGAAAAATCAAATAAATATTGCTTATAATTATTGTTTATATAATTTTTCCTTTAATTTTTGAAATGTCAAAAAAATAAGTAAACAAAAATAAAAAAATTTAAAAACTGATTTTAGATAAATTTTAAGTGGGCTTTGATAATATAATAATAATAATATTTTTTTAAGAATATTTTGAATTGCATTACATTCCAGAAAGGGGATATTTTAAGTTTAAAAATTTGGCTTGAAAATGAGAGTAAATAGTTATTTAAATTTTAAGTAAAAATTTAATTTAAATAATTTTAGAATAAATACCAAGTCCAATTTTTAATGATCAAATACTCTTCTACTATTAGCAAGATATTTGAGTTATATATTAATAATAATATTTTTTAAAAAAATTTTTAAAATGTAAGATAAAATATTATTATATGTTTATGAAAAATTACTTTCTTGATTAATTACCAACAAACTAAAAAATATAATTATTAAATGGTAATTTTTACTAAATTTAAATTAAAATAAATGAAATTGATTTCATCGATTTATATACGATTTAATTAATAAAAAAAAATATATATATATATAAATAATCAAATAAATATTCAAAGTGCCAGAAATATTTCTATATAAATATAATCATATGTATATTCTGATAATATTGCCAATAAATAAATGTATAAAATCTTAATAATTATTTTTTAAAATATTTTGAATGATAAATCCTAAAAAAACTAGAATAAATCTAAATAATCATTAATGCTATTGTTTCAGTTCAAATATTTATTATCAAACACAAATTTATTTAAATATTTATAGAATAAAAAATTATGATGGATTTTAATGATATTAAAATTTATAAAAATACAAAGCAGGGCATAAAATGAACATAGAGAAAATAATAATTTGGTTTAAAAATTTAGATTGGTTAATTAACACGTACATTAATTTATTTATTTAAGCTTTATCTTTTATCCTATTTGTTTGCTAAGTTTTTTCTTCATTACTTTGATTGGTTAGTTCTTCTGAGAGCTTCTTCGATTTCTTATTCGTTAAGCTTTTTGAATTTAGGTTATTCTTTACTTACAACACCAATTTCAATATCAGTAGGATTGAATTCACGGTTAAGAATCTATAAAATAATTTAATAAATAAATAAATTTATTTGTGGATATAATTCAAAAAATATATTGATAATTACATTTTTTAAAGTATTGATGGCAACTTCTATAGTTTTATCAAAGCTCATGGAAGTGGCGTTCTTATCTTTTTTAAATTCCTTTTCTAATTAATGGATAGCATCTTGTTCCTTAATACCTGATGCAACAGCCTTTAAATTATTTAAAATTAGATTAAAATTTAAATTTATTTCAAAATGGCTATTATAAACAAACCAAAATTCATTTGCTATTTAAGTATTTTATCAAACCTACTAAATTATTCATTCATTAGCACTACATATAACTTACTTTAAATAGATTTTGAATTTTAAAAGTTTAAAAATTTGAAATAAAAAATATTTAATTACTCTGTAACCACAGAAGTAACCAGAAGGATCGTTCTTATAAAGTAAAGGACCTAATTCGTTGTCATATCCAGCAAGAATAGTTTCTTTATTTATATAGTAAATTATAATGTTATTTAGAAATTTTTGTAATCTTTATTATAATGAGTTTAAGAATTATTAATATATACCAACAGCGTAAGGTCTCATGAAAGCCTTTTGAGTATAAACTTAGGATAAATCACCTAATCTGCAAGAGAGCTAATCAACAGGCATGAAGTGACCTAAATTAATTCAAAAATACTTTAGATTTTTTAAATTACGTTGTCATATTTTTACCATTTTTAAGCTTATATTCACTGGCTTCCTATCTAAGTCTGGTTACAATGGCTTTAGAGTCAGCTAATTTCATTAAAAATTAAATTTATTTAAATGGTTTAGTAATTGAATACGCATATATATATTTTAAATAAGAATTACGGTAATAACCGGTGGTAGCAGCACCAACACGTTCGCTTACGGTGTGAATATTAGTGAAGGAATTCATATCTACATAACTTTCCTGATAATATTACAATAAAATTTTAACCAAATAAAGCTTATTAACTTCTAATTCTAAACAAAATTTAACAAAAATCATTTTGTAAAATTTCATTTTATCTAAAAAGGCTTTTGGATCGCTTTTAAATCAATGAATGAATAAATTAAGTACTTAGGTCTTCTTTTCGGTAATTAAAACAACACAATCCTTACCTCTGACACCAATAGTAGTGATACCAGAGTTTTTAACAGCTCTTTAAGCATATTCTGTTAAATTATAAATAAATAAAGTTAATTTTTGCAACATTCAATCAATAATTGTTTCATTTAAAATTGTTCTTTGTTCTTTCGATCTCAAAATATATCGTTTTTAATTTCTATTAATTGCAACTTTCAGTAAGACTTTAGAATAGTGAAGACTTCTTGAGCAAAATTTTAATTGAACATATAGCTTGCTATATTTAAATCGATTATAACTTCATTTACCTACTTAGAAGAGTCTTCCTTCAGGTGAAAAAACTGTAATTTGGGTTTCTGATCCGCTCATTTTGATTGCTACTAAAACTAACTTATATTTATTGTATTTGAGTTTTTATTAATGATTTAGATTGTTTTTCTTGCTTTAAATATATAAAAAATATATTTATTTGCTTTTTTATTTTTATTTGATTAGATTCGAAAGATTTATTTATTTTTTTTAAATTTAATTGAAACATCATTCATTAAAAATCATGCAAAATATTTAATATCAAATTAAATAACAAGAAACAAACAAGCAAAAAATAAATAAGCTATCTTTCTCAGATCAGAACACAGATTAGAAGCTTTCTTATTATTTGCATACAAAAAGCATATCTGAATTTAAGATATAAAACATATAATCTAATAGCAAGTCCTATTCTCCTCTTTAATCTTAGTTGATATTTTCTTTGAAAAATTTTTATTCAATTTTCAATGAAGGAAGAAAACAAGTTAAAAACTCTTTGCTTGAAATATTAATTTTTTAAGAGTAAGGCATATCTTTGACTAATCTAATATTTGTAGATACTAATCCTATTATCTCTACTTAGTTAGCATCTAGATTTTAATATCTCTTTCTTTTAAAGATTCTCCTTATTTAAAATGAAGTTATATTGTAAAATAGGCAAGTAAATCATTTTATAAATAGCTTTTAAAATATTTTTTAAATTATCTAAAAAACTATTTTTATTAAATTTTTTTTCTAATCTTTTAATTATATTAATTTAAGTTTATTTATAAAAATAAAAAATTTTATTACTAATTTTTAAATTGTTAAGAAACAATTTTATTATTATTGTTTTAATCTTTAAGTCTTGATTAAATTATTTTTTACTAACTCTATAGGAAAAGATTAATAAAAGAACTTAAATTTTTTAGAATTATATTTTATACAAAAAAATAAAATAGTCAAGTCAAATCTTAATATATTTTATCAAATTGCCAGGATACTTAAAAAATTTTATTTTCCTTATAAACAGAAAATGATTATTAGTTTAATTTATTAATTAAATTAAATAGCTTGCTAATTCATCTAAAATAATTATTTACTTATTTTATTATAAAACTTGAATTTCTTTAATTGTAGAATTATTTTACCAAAAAATTTAATCAAAATTTTATTTTAAAGTTTGAAAACAAACAATAATTTTAAATAGAAAAGAGATTTAGCCAAAATCAGAAAACATCTTAATAATGAAGTTTAAATGAATTGAAAAATAAATTACTAAGTTTTTATTCTAAACTATTCAGTAAATAAATTTCTTTGATTATTCAAATAAAATTATCTAAAGTTTAATTTTTTTAGAAGACGATAATTTAATAAGTGTTATGAAATGATTTGAAAATACATTTATAAATTAATCTAGACATCATGATAAAATTAACTTTTATATTATCAGTTTTATAAAATAATAAACTATTTAGCTTTATTAATTTCTTCACTTGTTTGTTTTCAATATGCTGAAGTGGTACTAGCAAAAGGCTAATGAATACATCCATGATTTCTTCTACTTTTAAATTTCTTAAATAAGTAAATACCAATAACTGCAATTATTATGATAACAACTACTACAACAATTACAATAATTGCCCATACGGGGAAGTCATCCTATGGATCTGCAGTAGATTAAGCGAAACCTATTTTTTTAGAATTAAAAATTAAATTTCTAAATTAAGAAAATAAAAATACTTATTGTTTGATTCTAATATGAGTAGATAGATACAAATCTTCTTAAAAATGGACCTCCTAACACAAAAGCAACATTATCATTACTAGAGAAAGGCTATATCAAAATTTTACAGTCAAAAGTTGAGTTGGAAGTATAAAAAGAGAATGGGAGATCATATTCTCTTTAAACTTACCCTGAATCTTACATATAAAATAACATACTGCCTATATTAGTTTTACAGTCGATCCTAAGTTCGTTATTGCTTAAATATGCACCTTTGAGAAGCAAAAAGCGATATAGTTATTCGTACATGTATTAATCTATAGCTATAAAAGGAAAGCTAGAATCTATTAATGCTACTTGTTTAGTACTATTATATGTAAACTTAAATGTATTAAGCTCAAATTTATCTACATTTATTGCCCATTTCTGTGAATTTTAATTAGTAACTTGAGCTAATTTATGATTACTTATTCTAGCATTTTAAACAATATTTTTTAAATCATAGCCTCCCAAAATTAACTCAGAATCTTAATATTTATACCCTAAGTATAAAGAAAACATGTTTTCTTTGATCAATCCTAGTTTATAAAGGCTAGAGACAAACGAATTAGATTATTCATTCAAATTATTTTGTACTCCCAACCCTAAAATGCCATTAGACTAATTTTTATAAAATATATTGAATTTTATTAAAATTTAAAGAAATTAAATGACAAAAATATGTCAATAAAAGAAATTTTCATTTCTTTTTAATATTAAAAAAAAATTTTTTATGAAATGAAAAGTCAAAAATAAAAATTAATAAATTACATATTCGCTCTAAAATTTATTTGTTGAGTCGAAAAGTAAAATTTTTTGATTCACATTTTATAGATCACCAAAACACACTAAAGCATCCACATATGTACCAGATACATAGCCATTTAAATAGTTTAATGTGTCTTTGCTGTTTGTAACAGAACATCCATCAGAAATTTGACAATCATAAGAATCTTTAAAACCCTTTTTAATTTAATATAAATACAAATAAATATTGAAAATAAAATTTTCAAAAAATTACTTTGCAATTATTTTAGTCTAAACAAAATTTGCTTGGAATCATTATTTTGTCAGAGCTTGTATCAATTGCAAGGGTAAAACTTTTCTTTTACTATCCTAAAAGAATCTATCCAGTGTATAACTATTTATCATTATTTTTTAGCTTTGCATGTTAAAGGGTCTAATTATTGTATGCATAAGATGATACTATATTTTAATCAAGATGAGAGTTAAATATACCAGATAGGAAATTTTAGTTTTAGCTTTGAGTTTCTCTTCTCAAAGGAACTTTAATTAGATTAGCTTAGCAAAAAACAGTAAAAAATAGCAGTAAAATATTTAAACAGCTTATCATGGTTTATTTAATATCTTTAAATCTTTATTTCTTTGTTGTTAATAATTTTTTATTAATATATCAATAAGAATTAACTAAATTTAATTTATTATAAAATTGAAATCAAATTGGATGATGAAAAATATTAATTTAATTTTAGACTTTTTAATAATAAAAAAACAAATTTAATTATGATATAGAAAAGACAAATTTTTATAAAGTTTACTAAATTATTTATTAAATAATATCTTCTTTTTATTATTCTCAGCTGATCAGAAAAAAATTGATTTACAAAAAATATGAATGAATTTAAATAGAAAAAATTAATTGTAAGTATTTTCAAAATGTAGTAAAATGATATAAATTGTCTTTAAATGTATATTTATAATTAATTTACTTTTATTTTAATCTATAGATAGGCCTAATACCTATAAATTCTATGTAAGGTAAGTTAATATAAATCTGAGACAATAAATTTTTGTCTATAAAATTTTAATTAGCTAACTAGATTTATTTGGTTGACTGTAAAATAGTAAATTTTTCTAATTAATTTTTTAGGCAAACACAAATAGATATATCAATCTATTTTACCTAAAAATATTTATTTTTAAATTATTTATTTTTGTAAGTTATTTCCTTATCTAAATATTTATTATTCATTTTATGAAGATAATATTTTAAATATTTTTAGACTATTGAGCTTTGTTTTCTTATTTTTTAATTAATAAAACTATTTTAACTTAATTGATTTTATATTTAATAAATAAATAGTATAAATAACTTCTTAATTTATGAATTATGATTTTATCATATTAGCAAAACTAAATTATGTATGTTTTTCTTGTTGTTATTTTCTAAATGATAAAATAATAAATGTTATTTTTCTTTACAAAAACTTATTCTGTATTTCAATTTTTTTCTCCTTCCAAATAAAGAATACTTTAAAAGCTAATAATTAAATAATTCAATTAAAAATTATGTGATAAATTTATTAATTAGATGAAATAAAAAATTTAAGCCATTTTATTAGAATTTTTACATTTTTTTCTCAATAATTTTTAAGGTGTAAAAAATTTTAATCAACTAATTAAATTAAAAGTAAAGTTTATATTTGCTTAATTCAATATTAATTATTTAGTAACCCTAAAATTTTGTTACTTAATTAAAATACAACAGCACAGCAGCTTATCTTAAAAATATTTGTTCTTAATTTCTAAAAGAAAAAAAAACAATATGAGATTTAATAACTCAATAAGTAATAATTAGCATGAAATTATTCAAGATAAAGTTATTTAAAATCGTAGAAAGAATAAAATAAAGATTGAATCTCTATAATCAAAGATATTATAAGGATATAAAAATATTTTAGAACTCTATTAAATATAATAAATTTTATCAAAGTTAACAAAAAGCAAATTAGCATATTATTAAGACCTCTGATTTTATAAGATAATTATAAGCAAAATTAATAAGAAACACCAAATAATAAAGGAAAAACAAGGACAAGAACATTGAAACAAAAACTTTTCAATATTTATAATTTTTCTCATTATAATATTATATTTTTTGCTTCTGCATATATCTTGTTTGTTTAAATTTTATATTTATGAGATAGTTTATGTTGAGCGTTACCTTTTAATATAAAGTTTTTTTAAATTTAAAATTAAAATTAAATAAAGTAAAACTAGATAATTATTAAATATTTTACTCAAGAAAATGAATTCGATAAAGTAAAGACAAATTTCTATAAAGTATAAAGATAAGAATAAATTAAGAAATTAGCTTTAAGTATTCTATTTAAATCAAATTAATATTTTAAATTGTAAAGTTTCAATTAGGAAGGAGGACTAAAATAATATGTAATTGTTTATTTTACTAACACTTGTTCGTTTATTTAAAATATTATTAAATTAATCTAAAGAATTAATAATTAAATACAAAATTTAGAATTATGATTAAACTTATTTGAAATCTCTTATTATTTATATCATAACTTTATATTATAATTTTCTTAAAAAATAGATAATTTATTATTAATCATAATTTATCCATTTAAAATAGACAAATAAATATCTCATAAAATTTTATGAATAAATAAAAAATCTATTGTGTCTGTTTAATTAGGGTATGCTTTAATAAATAAATATATATTTATTATAAAAAATTTTTTTTCTCCTTAAAAAGGAAAGAACCTCCTATATTAGAAACTCCTGAACAAGAACTTTTACAGTAGTAATTTTATTAGAATAAAATAAAATAAATAATATTCTAAGTTTACTAAAAACTTTAATGAAATATGTATTTAATAGTTTATAAAAAATATAAATCTATTTTTAAATAACAAAACACTATAAGTTAAAATTTAAATATTTCATTTTATTTCAAAAACAGTTTCTTTAAATTAAAATATTAAAATTAATATTACTAAGTTTGTATACTTCTTCTTTTTTTTCTTTTTTTAAATTAAATTTATTTGGTTGGTATTTTATTTACTTGTACGATTCAATAAAATATAGAACTATTTTTTATGTCATCATAAAATTTAAGTCTATCATGTAATAAGAGAGAAATTCATAGTATAATATTAGTCAAAGCCGATAAATAAACTATACTCGGAATAATAAAGAGGACAATAACAATTTTGTTACTATAAAATGTATTAAAAATACAGATCATGAATGCTAATTATAGTGTGGAGAGGGCTTACTTCAACAAAAATTTATATTGATTTTATGAAATTTCTAGATGCTCTACTTAGATTAAGAGAAAAAAATGATGATTTATTTATAATAAAATTAAAAGAAAAAAGGGAACAATTAAGAAATATCGTGGAGAATAAAAAGTAAGATTGATTTTTTTATCTTATAAATTTATAATTATCAAGTTAGCAGACAAATCTTCTTTCATTATATTTATTTAGTAATATAAATGAGGTTTTTGTGTTTAAAAGCATTAAATTACGAATTATTTTTAATGAGAGATAGAGCAATTAAGATAAAATCTTGAAAGACGCTTTTACTATTTAATAATTTAACAATTTTTAAATTATTATTCTTAATAAATAAGTGTTTTGTTTTCAGTCAGTCATTAAGAGAGCTAAATTTTAATACTCGCTAGCTAGGTTTAATATAATTACTAAATTATATAGCAGAATTAATAATTATTCAGAGCAATAAAGTAAATAAGATATGGATTTCAAAGATTTAAACGCTTAGGCTACCTTCACAAATAAGGTGAGACCATTTTTTTCAAATATCTTTAAATAGTAAATGCCTCCTGAAATTTTTTAGCAACTTGAATTAGCATTTAAGTCTTTATCAGGCAAAGAGAGGCAGGCTGTGATTTTTAATTATATCGCAGATTTAGATTAGTTTAATTGATGCGTACAATTATTGCTTACTAATATTGCTTTTTTAACTAAAATTATAGGAATTAGAAGAAAGAAGAAAGTATTTCGAAGACTTGATTAAGAGAAGATACTTTTTTAACCAAGGTTTTGAAATTTACGGTGGTGTTGCTGGTCTCTACGACTATGGTCCACCTGGTAATTAAAATTAATAATTTTCAAAATTATTTGCTTCTAGTATAAAAGCCTTTAAGGTGTTTAGGAAGAAGAATTTAAACATAGTAAATAACAAACATGTAACTAAATAAAGTTCAACAATAAAATCTAAGAAATAGATTATTTTAAGATAGATGAATTAGATAATATTTCATACTTAAATTTTCACTTATTGAACAAAAAATCAAAAATGAATAAGCAAAATAAATAGGAAATAAAAAATCAAAGATATTCATAACACAAACTAGATTAAGGCCTTAAATTACTTCTAAAATTATTTTAAAACAAAAGAAGAGCCATTTTATTTTTATTTCAGCTTAAATAGATGATTACATACAAATAATAACATATTTTTTTTTATTTATTTATAAGGTTGCGCCATCAAGAATAACTTGTTGAAGTTATGGAGAGAACACTTCATTTTGGAAGAAGATATGCTCGAAATATCATCAACTTGTATTACCCCTTATCCCGTTTTCAAGGCTTCTGTAAAAAATTTATAAATATCAAGATTTTTTTAAAAGAATTTGACATTAAACAAGCAAAAATATATCATTATCGAAACTAAGTAAGTAGATTTAGATATTAATCAAAATCCTCTAAATAGAACTAAAACTCAATAAATAGATTTCTAAAATTTAACAAAAGAGAAAATTCGCTTTAGATATTTTTATTTAAATTACAGCATCAAAAATAAATAAATAAACTTTAAAGATATCCTCAAGCAAGCAAGATATTAATCAGATTTAGAATCAAAGTTTTGTTTAATAAGCATTTTTTACTAATTAAATAAATTGATGCAACACATAATTAAAATAAACATTTAAAAATTATTTTTATAAAACTTTTAATAAATTATTTTCGTTAATAAAAATCTATTTTAATAACTTATATGAAAAATACTTTAAAAACTATTCATTGGATCATTTTCATTGTTCTAAGTTGATAATTTAATAATAAAGGGTCATGTTGATAGATTCACTGATTTGATGGTTAAGGATGTTAAGAATGGTGCTGGCCACAGAGCTGACAAATTGATTGAAGCTTTCATTGAAGCTAAACTCTCCAAGAAGAAACTTAAACCTGAAGAAGTCAAGGAATTGGAAGAAATTAAGCAAAAGGTTGAAACTTTTTCAGCTCAACAAATGCATGATGTCATCCAAAAGTTAGGTATAAAATCTCCTGATACTGGTAATGAACTTGGTTTCCCTGAACCTTTCAATCTCATGTTTGGTACTCCTATTGGTCCTTCTGGTTAATTGCCAGGTTTTTTACGTCCTGAAACCGCTTAAGGTATGTTCGTTAACTTCAATAGATTAAATGAATTCAACGGTGGTAGAATTCCTTTCGCTGCTGCCCAAATCGGTTTGGGTTTCCGTAACGAAATCGCTCCTAGAAATGGTCTTTACAGAGTTAGAGAATTCGATATGGCTGAAATTGAACATTTCTTTGATCCTAAGAGACCCGAACATCCTAAGTTCAAGTATGTCAAGGATTTGAAGTTACCTCTTTTGACTGCTAAGAGCTAAGAACACGGTGATGGTTCTGTTACTCAAATGACCTTAGAAGAAGCTGTTAAGTCTGGTACTGTTTCTAATGAAACACACGCTTATTTCATTGGAAGAACTTTCCTTTTCTTAGTCGAGGCTGGTGTTAATCAAAATAATATTAGATTTAGACAACACATGTCTAATGAAATGGCTCACTACGCTTGTGACTGTTGGGATGCTGAAATCGAATTCTCTCACGGTTTCAAGGAATGTGTTGGTTTGGCTAACAGATCTGCTTTCGATTTAGAAAGTCACACCAAGGGTTCTGGTGTCAAGCTCTTAGCCGCCAGACGTTTACCTGAACCAAGAAAGGTTACCATTATTGATATTACTTTAGACAAGAAGGAAATCTTCAAGGCTTTGAAGGGTGATGGTAATGAACTCACAAAACTTATTGAAGGTTACAGTGATGAACAAAAGGCAGAACTCATGAAGAAGTTCGAAACTGCTGATTCAGTTGAATTCGACATCAAGGTTAAAGAAGTTGAAAAGAAGGTTCAACTCCCCAAGGCTTTGATTTCATTCAAGGTTTCTGAATAAATGCAATAAGAAGAAAAGTTCGTTCCTTACGTCATCGAACCTTCCTTCGGTGTTGGTCGTATCTTCTCTGCCATTTTGGAACATAGTTTCAGAATGAGAGATGAAAAGAGAACTTTCTTCCACTTACCTCCTAAGATTTCCCCAATTAAATGCTCTATCCTCCCAGTTATTTCTCATGAAAAGTACAATGATGCCATTCACAAACTCAGTAAGATTTTGTTTTATAGATTTATTAATTTAAATAAAAATTGTTTAATTTGATTAAATTTATAAATTATATAAATTAATTTATTAAAATGAATTATTTTATAGAGGTTGGATTGACTAAGGTTGGTGTTAGCTCTAAGGTTGACGATACTGGTCATGCCATTGGTAGAAGATATGCAAGAACCGACGAATTAGGTATTCCCTTCGGTATTACTATTGATAATGATACTCTTGTTGATGATTCAGTTACTCTCAGAGAAATTCTTACCACTAAATAAATCAGAATTCCCGTAAAAATTAAAATAATAATAATAAAGTTTTTCTTATTAAAAATTTTAAATAAAAGATTAACGATGTATTCAGAGTTGTCAGTGATTTGGCTGATGGTCTCATTACTTGGGATAGCGTCTTAGCCAAATACCCCTTATTCAAGCCTAATGCTTCTGAAGAAAATTGAGATTAATATAGTTAAAATTAAGAATTATTATATAAATTGTTTCGTATTTAATAGCATTATAAAAGATTTATTTGTTATTTTTTATTTTTTAACTTAATAAAAATTTATAATATTGCATTCTTCATTCTATAAATCATATTTTTTACTTATTTATGGTTTGTTTCTAGTTCCTTTTTTGATTTTTAGAATTAAAATGACATATCAAATTTACATTTATGAATTCTGTAAGCAAAGTCTAAAAAAAATAAATTCTGCTTATGTTAGTTGGGAAATATAAAGTCATCAAATTATGTGAGTAATAAAAAGGATGCGTTAAGGCAGCATTAATAAATATTAACTTTTGACCACTTTTTATATTTTCTATCTCAAAAATTTGAGAAAAGTTTATTTTTTGTAATATGAGTTAGCAAATAGGATCAAACAGTCTAATGTTTTATTTAAATACATTTATTAATAGATAACATTAATTTAAGTTTTAAGTTACTACTAAGTATTTGTGTTGAGTAAGATTTAAAAAATTTAAATAACTATTTATTATGATTAAATCCAAGCAATATTATTTTGAAATTAATCATTTAATTCCAGAAAATATTTAAAAGATATTTCTACAAACAAATTTTAAATTAAAAGTTGTTTGTTAAAACATTATTAAGAAAATTTCTTCTTAAATAAGTTTATGAGATGTTTTACTGATTTAAAGAAATAGTTATTTTATTATTTTTATTTAAATATATTTTCTCAGAGAAATAAATCAATCTCATCAGTTATTAGTAAGTATTAGCTTAGAGGAGTTAGCTTTAAAAAATTTAAGTAAATTAAATATTTATTGTGATTATTTTAAAGTAATATTTTGAAATTATTCATTTGATTTCAGAAAATATTAATAAGATATTTCTACAAATAAATTTTCAATTTGATGCCAAAACATTAAACAATTTTTTATAAACAAAATGTATTCTTATATCACCCTAACACATGATTTCTTGATAGAAATACATTTTTTAAAGAATTATTGTATGAAATAATGTTTGTTAATTTGATCATTTTTTCAAATAATAAAATAATAAATAGAACTTTTTTTAGATTTTTTAGTTTCGATGTAATGTTCAATTACTTGAACAGATATTTTTCTCTAACTTACAGCTAATTTTTTAGTTAAAAGTTATTGATTAATTATTATTCAACGTAAGGATTAGAATAATATTCAATTAATACTGCTTAGAAATATTTATTTAAAATAATGTAATTTTGATTTTTTTTATTATCAAAAATAACTCAATACTCAAAATAAATAAAATTCTTCTATTTTAATTTGTGTTCGAGGTTGTAGAAATATTAACTAATTTACAAACAAGAGATATATTAACAGCATTTAGTTATCTTTAGTATAAATTATAATTTATAAATTCTAATAAATTAATAAAGATTTCTAAAACAAAAAAACAAAATACTGTACAGGCACAAACACATTTTTAATGGGCAAGAATGATAATGCAAATATTTTTATCAAGTCTATTAGTTAAAACCATAAAAGATTGATTTTAACAGGAAACCAATAGGCTGGATAATCTGAGATTATTAGATAAATTAATTTGCATAAATATTCTGAGGAATATGTTTAAAATGAATTTAATTTTCATAAAATAGATTTTTAGCACTTAAATATAATCAGAATTACTTTAGAGGATTAATGGAGTGTTGATTAATATCCTGAAGGCTTTTTTAATAAGAAGGATGGTATAATATATGTTCTTGATTCTGATGACCTATATTCAATTAATCAAGCAATTTACACAATTAATTAAATTTTATAAGTTAATTTTGATGCATAAATTCCAGTGTTAATATTATTAACAGCAAAAGACTTACAACTAATAAATATTTATCAAATTAAATTACATTTAAATGAATTTATCCTCAATAGAGCTAGTGAAATTCACATTTAAAAATACTCTTAAAAAACAGGGGATGGTATTTCTGAAGCATTTGAGTGGCTAAATTATGCCTGCAACAAATATTGTTCTTGATTTTATCAAATCTTACTATTTCAATTCATAATTAATTAAAAAACTTATTTTACAGATTCTCTTTAGAAAATCATTATATTTTAAATAATATATTTTTATTTTTATAAAAATGTTTGCTTTGTATTATTAAAAGTTAAGTTAAAAAAGATTTTTTTATTTTAATAAGGATAATAAATTTGCTACTTAATTAAAGCGTTAATTTTAACTTATCAATATTTTTCGTAATTTATTCATAGGAATTATATCAATTAAAAAAGTGAAATATAAATATGTATATAAACACTTATAATTTTAATAAGATATAAATACCATAATTCCTCATTAATTATCACCAAAATAAGTTTCCACTCATTTCTCTAAAAAACTATTAATTATTTTACAGTTATTTCCTTAATAAAATTTGTAAGATTTTAAACGAATTCAATGTTTAAGATAATTTTTATTAAAAAATATTAAGGGTTCTAAAATCATTATTAATTTTCAGTGTTAAGAATATTTTCAAAGATATCTCTTGAGGTACATCAAATTTACTAAGAGGCAGTACAATATTGGTATTCTTTACCATTATTGATCATAAATTTATTATAAATTTCAGCAATCAGAAATGGTATATAAAAAGTTGAAAAAATAAAATTTAGTATTTTTTTAATAATTAATCACAAATGTAAAATATTCAATAAACTCACATGTTTAACTTAAATTTTTTATTTTTGAACATATTATTAATTTACTATCTTACTTTATTTAATGTTAATTTACTACCAATTTATTTAAAACTATTTTCTTCTAAATCGAGCGATAAAATATCTAAAAATACACACTAATTTAACTCAGAACAAGCTGCCTGTAATCCTTCTAATGTTATCAAATTATAGCCAAAATTCAATTAAATATCTTTCAGAAAATTTAATTATTTAAAAGATTAACATATTAAAATAAAATTTTTATCATCAATTTAGTTATTACTCATTGAAACTAATATTTATTCAATATCTTGTAATGATTAGAAAACCCTTGCAAATGTTATAAGTACAGTTTCTGTCATTTAAGTTTTGCAAAATCTCAATTATAGGTTTTTTATACAATGACTTTCACTAAATGAGTAGCATAAATTTAGTAAATAGCTTTCTTGCAAATAAGTATTGTTAAATATTAAGCTTAGTGTATGTAAATTCTAAAGCTTTATAATTTCACAAACTCCCAAAAATCCTTTATCTGTAATTTTGTTTCCAGTAAAATCTAATTCAGCTATCTTTAAATCCTCAGAGTGTTTAACCTATTTAAAAATCTCTAAACCTTGGCCAGAGATATTATTTTTGATAAAGCTTAATTGAAGAGTTTATAAACCTTTATTATTTGTTATAATATTTTAAAATTGTTACAGACTTTTATCAGTCAGCAAATTTGTTGAAAAATCTAATATAATTTTTTTTAATAAAGTGTAATCTTCTAAAGATTTGCAAAGTACTTCAAAACTTTTATCTGAAATTTAATTCTATGAAAATTTTAAATTTAAACTTTACAAGTTCTTCAGAGAGCCAAGACACTCTGATAAAACCAATAAAGCTCCATCTTCAGCATTATTATTTTCAAATCCAAACTAAAATTCTAGTAAATTATAAGACCACCATCTAAATGCTTCTGGCATTCCATGTAAAATTTTGTTTGTAATTTAAGTTTAGCTCAAATTAAGATTGAGGCTTTTCATTTTTCTACTTTGCACTAATGCTTCCCACATATTTCCAAGGTTATCAATCATCTAATTTTCGAGTGCAATTTACATGCTTTCTAGAGATTTATCCAAAATTATTTACTAAATTTAATCGTTTTTTAATTTAATTTCAATTAATACTTAATCTCCATGATATTTTATTACTATTTTATTTTTATGTCTAAAGTTTTTTGGGATTAACGGCTAACTTTATCCTTATTCATTGTTTTGAACATGCTTTTGAATATCTTTTTTAGAAAAAAATTAGTAAGAAGGAATGATATTAACTATTTATTCTAGGCTTTTTCTTTATTGTGGTTCGTAAAGAAGCATTAATTTAATAATATTATATAGTTCTGATTTTCTATTGATAGGATCAGGATTTATTTCTTCAATTAAAAGTGGCTCCATAAAAGGCTTTTGAAGGTATCTATAGTATTATTAAAAGTTAGATGTAAGTGTGAGGTAGTTATCTATAAGGCAAATAATTAGTCCAACAGAAAAAATATCAGACTCTTTGGAGTATTTGTTTATTTAGTTTTCTTGAATTGTCACTTCTGGTGCTTAAAAACTATTTTCATAGTCTTTTAAAGTAATATTTTAAAAATCTACTTCATCCTCCTATTTGACAGCATGTCTAAAATCGCAGAGCTTCAGAGTAGGATAAAACTAATTATTATCTTCCTAAATGCAAAAGCTTTTTATAGATAAATTTCTAAGTATTATATTTTGTTAGTGAACAAAATTAACAGCATCTAATAATTAACAAACTAAATTAAATTTAATGTCTTTATTTAAACTATTTTCTACCTTTTATACATTCAAAAAATCTACTAAATTGCAACCAATTCTTTCAAATTCAAAAACTAAAAACTATTTGTCTTGAAATGAAAGTTAAAAATCACCAATAAATTCTTAAATCCTTGGCATTTAAATTTATTAAATAATTTGTTTTTTAAAATCCAATTCTTCTATTTTATCTTAAATTAAAAATATTTCAAGTATAATTTGTTTTTTCTTTTTACAGTTTCTGCAGCCAAATGTTAATTTAGTTTCATTAAAATTAATAAGTTCTAAATATCCTCTATATTCATTCTTTTTATATAATTCCTGCACAATTAGTTTAAAGTCATCTGATGAAATATTTTCTCTTTAAAGTTAGATTTTGAATATATTCAAAAAAGTGTCAACTTGGTTTTCTAAGACTAAAGAATGTATTGGTGGAATCTATTTTTGATAAGTCTACATTTTTAAGAGTTCTTGTAAAATTTCGGAAGCTGAAGGCCTTTGACTATGGTCTGGCAATAAACAAAGCTAAGCTAAAATATATAAATTGGAAGATTTATCAGAATAAAACTTATGTAAACTGTCAAAGATTCCATTTTAATAATCTTAAACTGTTATACTATCAATATCGAATGCAATTAGATTATCCAACTCCAATATTATCAATCCAATACAGAAAATGTCTAACTATTTCCCCCATTTCTCATTATGATATTGAGTAATTTCTTTATATTTTTAGTTACAAGATAGGTTAGACTTTTCTTAAAATTTGAAATAGTAATAAGTCTACCCAAAATTTAAAACTTTTAAAACAATTTGTTAATTTTCACCTTCTGCATGATTAACTGAAAGTAGTAAATTGAATGGATTTAGACATCCAATTATAATATCTTTTTAATGAAGAGAATTAACAGCATCTAACAACTATATGGCTAAATTCTCTTTTTACTATTATGATAAATTTTTTTTTTCTAGTTTTAGTTTTTAAATATACTCTTTCAAATTAAATTCATTGTATTCCATTGCTAACACGAAAAAAACTTTCTCGTTGAATCCATTTTAATTATTGATGTTTTATGTTTCATTATTAGATTCATCAAATAAATAAAATTTACATGGTTTTTTAACAAAGCATTGGTTTTAATAAAATATTTAGCCTAATTAATACTCTTCTTTTAATAATGTTTCTAAGCTTAAAGTGTTAACTTTATTTTTATTTTTAAGATATGCAATCTTAATTACTTAAAATTATTCTTATTTAGAATTATATACTTTTAGAGTAATAGTATTATTGCAACTTCGCAAGTAAGAAAAGTCTTTAAAATGAGGATGCTAAGCTTGCATTAAATTCAAAAATGTATAAATCTCTTTGCTTTTTATTTAGCATTCATCGCTGACAAATTTGCTGATATGCTAACCAGCTTTCTATTGAGTCATTGTAATTAAAAGTTCTACTTATTAAAACTAAAGTTAATATATTTATTTTAAATTGATTACAATAAATATAGAAATAAATTTTAATATATAAAGTTATTATCATAATTAATATTTTTTTGATCTAACAAAAACTTTTAAAAATATTTTTATATAATTTTATATAAAAATATTAAAATATTTGTAATTTTTTTATAATTTTTATATAATTATAAGCATAAACACATGGTATATTTAAAGAAAAGAGTGAAATTTTATTTTGAATAATATATTTTGATTATATAAATATTATTAATTGAAAAGTTATTTTGTGGATAGAGAGAATCAATCAATCAAATAATTCTGATCTTTGTCTGCACTCATGACAAAACCAATCTTCTAAAGGTACTTAGTCATCAAGCAACTCATCATCACAATACGTGTGACATATTCTAAACCCACAGTGGTCACAAATTATTAGTTTATTTTCATCTTAATTGGTCTCACAAATGTAGCATACTTCATCGAGGCCATCATCATCCAAAAATGAATCAACCTAAATTTATTGAATTTTTTTAATTAAATAAATTGTAATATATGCTTGAATTAATTCAGTCTAAATTTATACTAACTTTACTAATTTTAATATTAAATAGGTTTTTTATAATTCATCTTTTTGATGATTTAACTACGAATAAATTAGAATTAATATAAAATACCTCTTCCCAATAAAATTCATCATCATCATTTATCCTTTGTTTTTTTGGTTCTACAGTTATTACTTCTTAATAATCTAAATCATTATAATTCTTTTTTTATATTTTGCTGAATTCTGCTCTGCACATAGGACACAAATTAGTTACTTCAGACCACTGTAGAATGCAATCAATGCAAAATTCATGCTAACATTAAACAACTCCATATATACTATCTTCTGGTATTCCCAAACAAATTGCACAATTTTTGAGTTGCTATGACATTAGATTTTACTTTTAAGTTAACGATTCGTTCTTTCCTTCTGATTTTCTTTTATTTTTTACCAATTTTTTTAACTTCTTAGACTCTTCTTACTTTGTTTTATTTATGCAAGTCTAATTCCTTTCATCTTTCATTTCATTCTTATTATTAGAATTTCTCATTCTTTTATTTTAATTTAATGATTCCTACCTCTAGAAAATTTGTTTTTGAAAGGATTCATGAAGAATATTAGTAGACCTTGTTAGTCTTCTCTTCGATGAAGGATTTTAAATTATATTATTTAGATCTATTTATTTATTTAAATTTTTGAAGGTACATGATTAATTACTATTCTGATTAAAGTTCTACTACTTTGCACTTGATGAATCTATTATTCGAGCTCTATATTTTCCTTTTCTTTTTTATTCAAAGTTGTTTGGTGTTTCATAAATTTTGTTTTCTTAATTCATATTTTTAAAACCAAAATATTCTTAATTATCATCAAAAACATTTTTATGTGATTTGTCTTTATGATCACTAAAATCAAAATCATTATTATTTAGTTGTTATTTATTTGTTTAATTATATTTAGTCTTATTTACAACCTAGCCATACTCTTGTTCTACACTCATTTCTCTCTTTTTTGGCACATTTTTAATTTCACTTATTTAATTATCTTATATTTAATTTTTTTCAAAACTAAAAGGATTCCTTCTTGTATATTCTATTGATTCATAAAGACTCTTTTATTCTTAGTTTTTACTTTTGCTATTATGATTACTAAAAATTTCTTTTTAAGTAATTGTAAAAGGTCCAAAAATAGGCTTTCTTTCACTCTCATATACTTGATTTTGCTGTTTTTAAGAGTTGTGAGAGTTCAAGCTGTAGCTTGATTTAACTATATTATACTCATCTAAATTATTTCCATATGAATGCTGACTTTTTTGGTCACTTATTTGATTTAAAAATTCATTTTCTTTTTCTTACACATCACTCAAAATATGTTTTTTTTTGTAAAAAGATGGAGAAGAAAAATCTACATTCTCATATACTTTATATTTTGCAGTGAAAATATTCAAATCAGTATTAAACCCTTCAATATCTCTTTAGCTCATGCAATATTATTCACATTTGCTTTCTTCTTAATTTTTATCAAACTTATTATTACTGGGAAGTGGATTAGACTAAAATGAAAATCCTTAATCTTGCTATGATCTTTAGTTTCTTAACTAACGCATTAGCTAAAATAAAATATATTTTTAGTATATTATTTAAATATAAAGTTTCTTCTGAATTGATAATTGAGAAAGTCAGTAAATACGCAGCTATTTAAAGTACTAAAAATTGATGAATATCAAATTAAATTTCTAATTTAAATATTTTTAAATTGAATTAGTGAAACAAAAACTCAAAATTTAATTTTTAATACCGCGAAGTGATAATAATTAATCAATTAAATAATATCTTCTATGTAATAAATTTCTTTGGCTTAACATTTCTATTAAAAATAGATAAATGGTTAATTTAACGATAAATTAATGCTTACATAATAAAAAATTTGAAATAAGAAAATTATAATACTTTTGATCCTTCATTAAAATATTTTCTATAATAAAAAATTTTATTGATTTATTAAAAGAGAGCAAGTGATTGATTCGCTTCAATATAGAGAGATCATTAAACCTAAGTAAAAATCAGTAAAAATTAATTTACACTATTAATTGCTAATGAGAGAATACATCTTTTTATTTTATTTTATTTTTTTTCCCAATTTAATTATTATTAAAAATATTAATAAATAAAAAAGGTAAAATATTTTTTTGCAAAATATATAGTTAAATAGGAACTCTACCTCTACAAGAAATTTAAGGTATTTTTTACCAGACACCACTCTTTAAAATTTGCATAATTTTTTCAAAATTTATTATGTAAAAAAACTTGGTAATTATTTGTTTTTTAAATATTTAATATTTCTTTTCAAAAATGATTAATCCTTAAAAAAAATATTATAAAATATAAATCTATTTGTTTTATAAAATTTAATATTTGAAATTAGATATTCAAATTAAAAAATAGAAAAGCAAGGATTTAAAATAATATTATTTATTCGACTATTCTACTTTAGAGTAAATTTAATTATTAAATTCTTAAGCTTCCATATCCACATAAATTTAAAATCTGGAAGTTCTATTTAAATTTTATTTTATTTAACTATTGATATAATTATAAAATAATATATAGATAGATATGTTGATAGATAGATAGGTCGATTTATATATTAGTAATTAAAATAATAAATAAATAAATAAATAAATAAATAGAATAAATTGTATAAATTAATAAGTAGATAATAAAAAGAAAGATAGAGTAGTATTTATTAATAATATTCAAAAAATAATACATAGGTAAAATTGTATGATAAAAGAATTATAAGTTGTAAAGAAGGTAATAAAATATAATAAAAAAATTAATATGAAATACCCATAAAAGTAAAAAGTAAATACTAATATAATAATATAAAATATATTTCTTGATATTTTTTGCTTTCACAAAATAAGAGTAGTAAATATTAGTAAAATAAATGAAAATATAATTTTATTGCTCTGCGAAGGTGATACAGTTTATTAAGTTGTGCCATTGTTATTATTATTATTATTGCCACCCGTGTTACTAGAGGTACCTGATGAGCATAGTGATGCACTTACAATAGAACAGTTATTATCATAAAATAATGAATTATTTTAAGTAAAAGTACAGGTGATTTGGTTATTAGTAGTATCTATTACTGTAGACAAAGAAGGAGACATAGCATTGGTAGTAGTATCATAAGTCACACATACAGTTTTCTATATTTAACTAGCAGGAACGTTGTAAACTAGTGTGAATTTAGAGCTTGAAGTTGAAGTGGAATCTAAGAATCTTTTACTACTACTTGTCTTAGTTGCACTTACTGAAAATAGCCCAGCTAAACATGTACTGCTATCAGAACAATACGGATTGGATGCTTAGTTAGTAACAGACATAGAGGCAATAGATCCATCAATCTATGAACCTTATTTAGTTAAATCTAACTGGCTAGAATCTTATTAAAAGCTTGGATCAGCTGTTGATAAATTAGCTAAATTGAAAGAAATTTAGAATACAAAGCCTTTCTTTTTCTTTTCAGCAACAAATTAATATTCATTAGTTCCTAAAACTAACTTATTTGCATCTGAATTTTCACTGCTAGACGATGAACTATCGATTTTAGAAAGGAATAAAGCTCCAATATTTTAAATATTCTCAACTAGTTAAATTTTTTGCTATTACTTTTGTGTATCAGTTAAAGTTATACTTGTCTAAGTTTGTTGAATAGCTTACTCTATTCCAGCTGAAATACTTTAAATTTATGATTTAATTTATCCTTTCATTTCAGGTGTGATAGCTGATAAATTGGTAAATTGCGATGTCAAAGTAGTTGCTTATACGGATAAATCAGAGGCAGCATTGTCAGAATAAGCTTGGCAAACTATTTTACCTTTATCTAATCTTGCAAAAGTATTTGTGCTGCAGGCCTTGCAAGTATTTGCATTATTTGGATCAATGTATGTTAAAAAGACTGAACAATCATCTATACAAGATTATCCATCACTTGAAATATATTTATTATTTGATTTACATTAACTTGGAGTAATACAACCCAATGATTTGTCAATTACATTTCCTGATTCACAAGAAGTATAACATTTACTGTTATCAGATGATCTTTTAAGATCTGGGTAAACACAGGAACTAACACAATTTTTTCCATTTGCTGAGACGAATTCTCCAGAAGCACAAGAAGCTACACAGGATTAACTGCTGACTTTTAAGAAAGTTCCTGAAGGACATGAATTTAGGCATGATTTTCCATCAGAGCTAACAGCTAGTGGGCAAATTATGCAAACTGTTAAGGGTCCATCGCTGATTTATGCCTCTCCAGAGTTGCAAGCAGAAACACATTGCTTGAAGTCAGAAGATACTAACTACTTGCAATCTGATATGCTATTTAAGCAAGATTAATTAGTACCGTTTGTACTTAAAATCTAACCTGGAAGACAACTGCTCGAACAACTTTATCCATCAGGCTGAGCTATTTTGCTCTTGCATGAAGATTAAGTTACACATTAGAAGATGTCAAGATCATACATTTCTCCTGAGGCGCAATTAGCAGAACAAGATTTGCCATCAGAAGAAAGTTTCTAGGTACATTTACTACACTTAGGTGGTTAACCATTAGTAGAAGTAGCTGGGTATTATCCTTGAGGACAAGATTGTAGACAGAGCTATCCATCAAAAGAAATAACCCCTGTGCATTAAGGTTTAACAGTTGTACAAACTTTATTTTTTAAATCTGTAAACAATCCCTTTGGGCAAAATAACAAGCACATATTATTATAAACTAATTCATTTTAATCACATGCTGTCACACATTAAAACTAATTAATTTAAGTAAGAGGTCTCTAAAATTATCCAGAAGGACATTTGAGAAGACATTAAGTTTAATCAACTGAAATGCTTCCGTTACAATCGTTTATACTTACTAAACAATAGCTTTAAGTAGCATCCATTAAAGTACACGAATTAATGCATTTATTCTATATGGGATCAAAGAAAGTACCTGATGAGCAAGGTTGACATACATTAAATCCTGTAGAGGCATCTTTAACAGGAGATTATCCAGAAGGACAGTTAGGAGTACACCATTGTATACCTTTAGAATCTGTGGATAAATTACCTGAGCAAATAGAAGGATCAATACAGCTTTTAGAGTTTGAATCAGCAACATAGCTTCCACCACACATAGCTAGACATTAAGTTCCATCTGCACTAACAAAAGGTTAAGAGGATGGGCATACTTAACATTATTAGTAGCTTTAATTTGCAACTTGAGGAAGTGGAATCTAACCTTTTGGACAATCCTTTGAGCAAGATGATTTGTCAGCTGATAATCTCATATTGCACTAATTGGTATTCTGCTAGTTACATGTATTAGAAGCAGTGCATGATATACATGTTTTTGGTGAAGTCATAATATTAGGAGTGAATCCAAATCTACATTAGGCTTCACAAGTATTTAACTATGATGTAAAGTAACCAGAGCATTGCGTTGGGTCACTTAAGCAGGATCCAGGTTATCCTGCAGAAGCAGAAGCCACTGATACTAGTGGATATGGGCATTAGCTATAGCAATTACCAGCGCTATCTTTATATTAGCATGGAATGCAAACTTTAATATTTAAATTTGGATCTGTAACAGTAGAGAAATTAGTAGGACATGAAGCATCGCAAGTGAATGTCTACTTATTTAGAACTCCTTTACATTAAGACACGTTATCTAGGCAAACTTTATTTGCTGTATCAGGAACTTAAGAAGGTTAGCAAATAAGAGGAGGAACACATTCATTATATCCTGCAGAATTTGCAACTTAACTCCAATTTGATGGACAAATTGATATACACATATTGAATGATTGAATAATAAATCCTTTGCACTAAGTAGGAGATGTTAAACAGTTTGCAGTGGAGTAGTCTTTATAATTAGGAGGTGAGCAGTTAGATGATGGAAGGTTTAAAATATTTTAGTTTTAAGCTGGAGAACAATTAGGGATGCCAAGGTTTGAGTCTTATCCAGATATCAAAACGCTAGGACATTAAGGAATACATATTAGTAAGATATTAGATTATAAAAGAATGTATTTACACTAATCAGCATATATACATAACCCTGTTAATTAATCACTGATTAGAGGCATTTCGCAGTTCAGACTACCATCATTATTAACTTAAAGACACTACTTTTCACCAGTTTTAGGATCTATAAATTTTTTAAATCCACTTGGACAACTTGGTAAGCATACTCTACTTCTTTTGATTAAGAAACCATTGCATTTTGTACCAGGTTATAAGCAAGTAAAGTCATCTGTGTTTATAGTATTTGGACTTTAACAGCTAGCTGCTGCGCTGCTGCTATAAGTGAAACTCTTTGGTACTATGCATGTAGAGTTGCCTGAAGCATCTTATGCCTACCATGATGATGGACAGAAAGGAATGCAATATTAAACTGCTGCTGAATCTGTTATAATCTATCCTTTACAGTTAGAACTTTGAATACAGTATCCTTATGCTATATCTAAAATATAATTATTTCCACATTATGAGCTTTAACTATTAGAACTCTATTAACAGATATTGTTTCCATTAGAATCTGTTGTTTTATAAAAACCTGTAGGACAATAGGATAAGCACATTGACTAGCTAGCAATACACACTCCATTACATTAAGAGCAGCTAGTGAGGCAACCACCTGTTGTAAAATCTCTTATTGTTGTGCAACTGCTAATAGCTAATTATGAAAAATTAAAATTAGGAGGAACAACACATTACAGAAGATTTAATGTTGGATTGTATGATATAAGCAAACCGCTTGGGCATTAAGGCATACAAACCAAACCACCTCCATTAGGAACTTGGAAATAAAAACCTTTACAATCTTAAGGATTAACGCACTAGCTATGTAATATATCTCTTAATTATCCTTACTAACATTCTCCATTATTTCCACTATTATTGTTATTACCATTTGGATTTGTACAAATTTTATAACCAGTGGAAGAATCTGTACCTTATTAATATCCATTAGGGCAAGCTGAAACACAGTTAAAACCATTAACCAAAAATCCTGTGCATTTTGATTAAGATGGTAAACAATTACCTGTTGAAAAATCTCTTACTTATGGTTAACCGCAATTACTGAGACCAATTTATTATATGTTTACTGTACTTGGAGGTGTACATGTATTTTAACCGCCTGTATTGGTGCTCTTAACGAAAATATTTGGACAATCTGGAATACATAATTACCCTTGCTAACCTTAACCATTAGAAATTGCCAGTAAATAATCTTTACATTAAGAAATGTTTATGCAATTATTTTATAGATAATTTTATACTTAGGTTGAATTGCACTAAGGCCCAAATCCAGATTACTAACATGTTTGCCTTCCAGAACTATCAATATTATAAGAAAAGCCATCAAAGCATGCATTTGTACATTAATTTCTTTAAGGAACAAAAATTTAAGTGCACTTAGATTAATCTGATAAACAATTTAATGTAGTAACATCCCAAACATTGGGAGGATTGCAGTTATTAAAAATTGGAGCAGAAGTTAGAGAATAAGTAGAAGGTGGTTTACAATAATTAACACCTGTATTAGGATCTTTTGAGGAGGTAAATTAGCTTGGACAAACTGGCCAGCAAACTTTATTTCCTGCAGAATCTACCATTACAAATTAATTGCAATCAGTGTCATTAGAAATACAGTGATTCTAACTAAATTAGAGGAATGAAGGTTATTAACAGTTTTCCATTTAATAAACGTAAGGCTAATAACATTCAGCTTACCCATTTTGATTTGTTTGTTATTAATATCCGTTAGGACAGGAATTGACACAGTTATATTCATTAACAAGTAATTTTGAACAGCTTGATTATGAATTTAAGCATCCACCTGTCGTAAAGTCCTTAACAAGGGGTTAGCCACATTTATTAATCTTGTAGTTAAGTATGGTAGATCCAGATGGTGGGTTGCATGTCTTAACATTATTTACAGTATCTTAACCAACTACCCAAGAAGAAGGGCAGTCCGGTATACAGCTAGGAATTTAAGGAGCGTTGTAAATATATTCTTTACAAGAGTTTATGCTTATGCACTGGTTTAGAAGGAAATTTATTGCTTAACCAGACTAACATGATGGACGTCCATGATTGAAGCAAGCTACAGTTCCATTTTAATCCTACTGTATATAATACCCATCTAAGCAAACAGAACTGCACTAATTCCTATCTTTTATAATAAGCTTAGGAGATGTACAATTACTACTATTTGTTAAGCATTAAAAGGTATCTATATCTCCTACACCAGGTGATTAGCAGTTGAAAAATGGTTAATCTTTTAATAACCAAGTTGAGGGTGGTGTGCAGTATGAAACTCCAGATTATGCATCTTAAGTTTATGTAAAACTTGTTAAACTGCAACTAGGCCAACAAACTTTTTATCCATTAGCATCTTTAATAATAAACTCGCTGCAGCTTGTATCATTATTAATGCAATCATTTTATGAAAATCTTAAAAAGCTGGTTCCTTAACAATTAGTCATTTAGTAAACATAAGGCATGTAGCAAGTGTTGTTATTATTTTAATCTTTTCCTTATTAGTATCCATTTGGGCAGGTAGATACACAATTGAATTAGTTAACCAAATATCCTTTGCATTATGAAGCTTGAGTAAAGCAAGCACCACTTACAAAATCTCTGATCAAAGGATTATTGCAATTACTTAAACCAAAGTTACTTAAACTTTTTCCTGAAGGGACAGTGCATGTCTTATAAGTGTTTGTTGAATCCATTCCTGTAGTAAAACCTGTTGGACACTATGGAATGCAAGTTTGGTAATTATTAGCATCAACAATTACCCAATCCTTGCAGTTAGATGGAGAAATACATTAGTTCTAAGCTAAATTCCATATTTATGCTGATTGACATTATGATATATTTCTGAAATAACAGTTAGGTTTATTATTTTAATCAGTTCCAAATATATATCCTTATGGGCATACAGAGACGCATTAATTTCTATCTTAAACCATAATTTGAGTACAGTTAGATGTAGCAGTTAGACATCCCAGACTAGTAACATCTTGTACTTATGGGGGCACACAATTAAATATTTTAGAGTCTTTCAAAGATACTGTAGCTGCTGGTGTACATGTTAAAAATCCATTTTTAGCATCTTAACCAGATGTGAATCCAGAAGGACAAACAGGCCAACAAAGTTTGAACCCGTTTGAATCTGTCATTACGTAATCTTAACAATCAGTGTCATTAGTTATACACTTGTTTGCATTAAAATGTAAATACTAAGGGGCAGTACAGCTAGCCATTTAATAATTATTGCCTCCATTATTGTTATTGTTATTATTATTACATATTTTCAAACCATTTCCCGAATCTACTCCTGAAGTCATATTTGGAGGGCAGGTATTGAAACATGTCCAAAAGTTATAAACCATATAATTAGTGCAGGATGAAGCAGAACTTAAACAGGTGAGAGTTGTTACGTCTCTTACTTATGGGTTTTGACATTCAAAGAAGGAAGATAAAAATATGCTTACTCCTGATGGTGGAGTGCATAGTTTTTGTCCAGATGCAGAAGTTGAAGAGGAATATGTAGACATACAATATGGGGAACATAATCTACCTCCATATTAGTCTTTAATCAAGTAAAATTAGCAATCACTGTCATTTGTTAAGCATTAATTAGAGCTGATATCCAAGTAGGAAGGTGGTTAACATCTTTATTCTGTATTTCCCTAGTTAGGATCATTACATTATGTGATGTTGTGAGTTTAATCAGTGAATTATTAAAAGTTAGCTGGACAAGTTAAAGCACAAGTTCTCTGCTGAGATATAAATTTGTTGGAGCAATTACTTGGTTAATTAAGACAACCAATTGAAGCTATGTCATAAACTTAAGGCGGAGCGCATTAAAAGAATTTCTGAGATAAAAGAGATGTTCCAGAAGGAGGAGTACATAATTTTTATCCAGAAGCAGAGGTTGATGCAGTATAGGTATTTGGACAGGAAGGCCAGCAAACTCTTGCGCCATTTGAATCTTTTATCAAAACGTATGAGCAATCTGAGTCGTTTAATAGACATTAGTTTGAATTAATATCTAAATACAACCCATTTCCGCATTACGCAATTTTATAGGCATAGTTGTCTTAATATTTACATAATTTTGCTGAAGTACTTGGATCAGCGTATTCAATAAATGACTAAGGACATTAAGGAATGCACATCTACCATTCATAAACTATTCTAAATTTACATGAGGTTGCTGTTATGCATCCTAATGTAGTAGCATCTTTTAGTGAGGGTGAAGGGCAGTTAAAGTAAGGTTATTTGAGTATATTATATCCACTAGGAGCTGTGCAAATTTTACTTCCAGAAGTGGTGGTTGATTGAGTGAAACCAGAAGGGCAAAATAACCAGCATACTTGATTGTTAAATGAGTCTTGTAAGAGATAGTTTTAGCAAGAAGAGGAAGAAGATAGACACCAACCAGAATATAAGTCATACACTGATGGAGATTAGCAATTACCAAGTTAAAATCTCCAACAAAATCCAATGTTTTTTTATTAGTTATATTAAGCATATAGTTATTAAGCAGGGCAAGAGAATACACACATATTATTTTCATAGTTCATCAAGTATTAGCATTGAGTATCAGCTGTGAGACATCCAAATGAAGTGGCATCATAGTAATTTGGAAAACTGCAGTTAAAGAAAGGTTATTTTGCAAAAACAAAACCAATAGGAGCGATGCATGCCTGTGAAGTTCCAGAAGTTTGGATTTACCATCCTGCAAGTGTAGGACATGAAGGCCAACAAACTTTTTATCCAGTAGAATCTATCAGAACAAAATTTTTGCAACTGCTTTAAGATTAAAGACAAGAATTTGAGTTGAGATCATATACTTAAGTTGAAGAGCATGATGGAATTGAGAATAAATAATTATATTATTAATTATAATATAAGCAATATGAAAATGAAGGAGTTTATTAAATGCTGGCACCAACAGGACAAGAAGGTAGACAAGCTCTATTGTCTTCGCTGTAGAAGGAGGTACATTGTGATCTACTGGTATAACAAGAGAGAGTTAGGACATCTCTGACTCCTTATTAGCATTATGTAAAAACGTGATTAACCCAAGAGAATGTAGAGCTAGAAGTACATATGTTTGAATTTGATCCTGTTCCTTATGTAAAGCCATTAGGACAAACAGGGAGGCAACTAGAAAGACCATTAGAATCATTGACCAAAAAACCTTAGCAATCTGTAGCCTTGCTTAAGCAACTAAAATTTGCACCTATCGAGAGAATTTATGTGGTGGGGTCGCAGTATAATAACTTTTTATTACATTAATTTTAGGAATTAACTACACTAGGTATATATCCAAGATCGCAGCTATTTTAGCACTGATTTAGCTCAGGATTGTAAAATCTATTGCTGGCGCATGCTGACACATCAGTGAGGCAAGTGTTGTTATCGTAATCAAGGACTTAGGGAGAGTTACAGGTTAGCGAGTATGCTATTCCTATAAGAGTGAGTAAAATTAGTACTTTTTTAAGTTTCATAGGTTTGTTTTATTTTTTTGATTATTATTTTTTTATACAAAATAGGTTTTAGAATTACTTTTTTATACACGTTAATTAAGGTTGAATGTAGAATTCAATATCTATCATTAATTTACCTAAAATTAGATTTAAAGTAGAAGAATAAATAGAGCATTTATTGGTAGATTTTACAATCCCTTGAAAAGTTTTTAAATTAAAAAACTAGAGATCCTCAAGTTTTATTTCTAATAATTTATATATTTTATTCACCCACAGAACTGAAAAAAAAAACTTTACTGTAACTTGTAAAATAAGATAATTTATTAATAATTAAGCATTACCTTAAGACAAATATAAATAAAAAAAGATCTAAAGAGAAATAATATTATAGAAACGAATACTTAGCTCAATAAAAAGCTGAATTTTTTGTTTGTTAATATGAAATTATTATAGCTTAACAAAATCTGAGTATGTTTTAGTTAGTTTGAAAATTGATCAAATCTTTGAGAAGAGGATCAAAATTTAAGTTTAGAGTTACATAGGGAAAATAAATAAATAATTAATAAAACTAAAAGTTCTTAAAATCCCATAAATTAATCTAATTTTCTTTCCAGCTAGCCAATTTTTATTTTAAATTTTTCTGATTAATTATAGAAGGGAAAGTCTTTACTTTTATTGAATAATTTTATTTAAATGAGTAAACATGGAATATAAGTATTAATTTACTCTAAACTAAAATAAATTAGCTAAAATATTTTTTTAAATAAATAAAAACTTCAGGAATTTTGAGGAAATTACTTTCATTTAAAAATAAAACATAAGTAATTTCATTGAAAAAGTATATTTGCTACCTATAAATTATCTATGATGTACTGATCCTACTTTATTCTGTTTCAAAAAGAATTATAGCAGCTATTATATTAAAAAACTAAGATATTAATTATAGAAGAATAAAAAATGTTATAAAAAATATGATTATTTCTTTGGAGTTCTAATAAAAATTCACACAAATTAAAACTTTTATGAAAAATAAAGTATTTGAGGGTTCTCAAATTTATTTTTTAAATATTTTATAGTATTAAATGATATTTTATTGTAAGCTCTTTAAATTTCTATTAGGGAGAGAACAAAAGTTGCATATGTCGCAAAACCAAAAGAAAATAAACTCTTCAATCGAATTTAGTTATATTTTATTTTCAAGTTATTGATTTTAACAGTTTAATTATATTCAGGTCATAAACATAATTAACTTACTATGTAACAAAATCAATTTTTTTATCATTTAAAAAGCATTCAGTGTTATTTTTAATTAAATTATTGAATTTAAAAAAACCTTGAAATTATAATAGATAGTTTTCTATTTACAATTATCGTTATTGAGCTATTTTTTGATTTTTCTTTTTTGTGTGATCAACTTTTTAAATGTAGAACATTTTGAACAATTTGATTGTGCACAAAACCTGAAAAAATTAATTATAGTGGTTTAAAAGTCAAATAAATTAATCTACATGGATAGCATCTATTAAAAAATTTCTATTGCTAAATTGACACGCTTTGACTTAAATATATGAGATAAAGAGATCAAAAATATTTATTTTACAAATTTTTTCATATTTTTTTGTTTTTTTTGTTGTTGATACTTTATGATTCAGTTATAACTTTTAAAAGTAAAAATCATAACGTAACTTATTTAGAAGTAGAAAAATATAGATATTGTATTTTAATATTTTATTAGATTTCTAAAAGTATTTTTATTTTTCTATATAAATTATCTATTCTATCTAAATTTCATAAACTTTAAAATATTAGCAATGATCTACTACCTCATCTGAAATAGCTTAAACTTTTTTTGTTTTCATTTAAAATATAGAATAAAAATAATAACAAACTACTTTAATATTTATTTTAATAAAATTGTTTAATACTAAATATTTATTCTTATTTAGTCCAATTTAAGAATAAATCAAAGTATTTTTAAGATAAATAAACTAAATGTACTAAAAATTAATAATTTTAAATATAGTATCTTCAATAAGCATAATAAACCACAAAAATTAATGTGTAAAATTAATATATATAGAAAGCATAAGATTATGCGTTAATATTTCAATAAGAAGTTCACAATAATCAATTTAATGCATATAATTAAATCAACCTAATATTTGGTAATAAGGGGATGTTGGATTATCTTTCTGGCTTTCTTTTATATTAGATATAATATAATTCCATTGATAGAAATTAAAAAAGCGTCTTTATTTTAATATTTTAATTGTAATAATGATCTTATTTAACATTTTTTAAATATGATTATTTACAATTTGGCATAAAAATAATAAATAAATTGCTCATTTTTAAAATTTAATTACTACCATTTTATTGTTTATTGAGGTTTTTATGTTTTGGTATCATTCTTTAATTGACTGTAATATTTTAAGAGAGATGTATTTACTATCCGATTGTATGTAAAATTAAAGCAATTTCCTTTCTTATATTGAGTTTCATTTAAAATTTTAATTAGTACCTAATCCACTAAAAAAAATAGAGTCTTGCTTGATTAATAATTGTAACAAAAGTTAATAAAAAAGAATTTTATCAATAATTTCTAAACTAAAAAATTATTTTCTTACACTTTATATAATAATATAATTGATTATTTAAATATTTTAAAATTATTTTGAAACTTTTATCAAATTATTTTGTAACTAAAAAGTATTTTTTAATTTTAAAATAAATTGTTTCTCAATCCATTAAATAGAAATATTAAATTTCCGATAAAAATCCTTCAATCAAAATGGCTAGAGTAAAAAAAAGTGATAATTCTGTATTTTTTCTTAAATAGAATAAATCATTTTAATAGATTCAAATTTATTTGTAAAGTTATAAACATCTTTGAATTGCTAAATTTTGATATTTTGTTTTAAGCGAATTTAATTTGATAAGTTTTTTCTATGTGTTTTATACTAGTGCTTGTTTTAATTAATTAATAATGAGTTTTTAAATAAGAAAATTTACCTCAAATAAATTTCTTTTAAGTAATCATATTTAAATTTTCTAATTTTTAATATATTTTCTCTTCATTAATGTAAAATCAGTCACATAACTAATATATTTACTTTAGGAAATTAGATATCTCTCCTCCAAATATTGTAAAACACAATAAATTTTTAAACTTTAGATGATCAATTGATTTTACTTAAAAATAACTATTCGAAGACGTAAATATTATTTTTCTAAAAAGTGATCTACAATAGTAATTCAATTTTCAAAATCATCACTCCAACTGTCAAAAAAAAAATTTTATCTAATTTTCTTCATATTTCATAATAATAAATGAAATCTAAAATAATACTAAAAAATTGATATGAATATTTCTTTAAAACAGTATTTCTTGCAATAATAGCTTCTAATAAGCATAAATTCAATTTTTTAGTATAATGTAAGCTTTCTATAAAATAGCAATCATTTCTATTATTGATGAATATTAATTAAATTAGAAATAAATAGTTTGGAATTTATCTTAGATATTATAGTCAAGCTAAAATATATGTGTTTATTATTCAAAAACTGAATTCTCTATTAAATATGATCTCAAAATATAACCATCTATTAGTTGTAGATATTACCACTAATAAAAATAATCTATTTTTTTTGAGGGTTCGACTGAATATGTTTTTTTTTTTTTTAAATTTACCTAACACCTAAAGCCGAATGTAATAAATCATATGGTAAAAACAAAATACTCCCTCGTTCCCTGGTTATTTTTTGATAAGAAGATATTTATTATTCAAAATTAATATCATATATTTAACATATTTATTGTTTGACTTAAAATATTTAAGGTTTGCTGCAGGAGTTTCTTATCTATTATGCGTCACTCAAAATAAAAATAATATGAAACGGGTCAATCAAAAGATAATAATATTATATTTTATAAAATTTATTTAAAATCTGAGTAAAATCAAAAGAAATGTTTAAAAAATATGTTATCTAGTAAATTTTAGCTAATAGTTTTTTAGAAATCGCATAATTTTTTGCTAGGAAATAAATAAATGGCTTTTTATATTCTTTTGATATTTTTAGTTATAGACTGATCATAAGATAAACAAAAAAATAAAAAATTTATTAAACAAAAAAGCTCATTATTAGATTTAATTAATTGTATTAAAGAAAAAATATTAGCTCAAACTAAGAATAAATTTTTTTATTCTAGCTTTAATTATAAAATCTAATTTGATACAAAGAAAACTCCAGCTATATTTTAATAAAAATAGCAATTGAAATTAATAAACTTAAATTTTTTGACTTTTGTATGAATTTCAATAAAATAAAGTTTTTTTCAATCTAAATATGATAATTTATTTTGTTTTTTTAATTATCTATGTGTCATTCATTTAACAATACAATTAGTTATTCTTACTTTCAAGCCTAAATTTTAACTGGTGAAATTCTAGACTTTTTTTTTGATATTAATAAGAATTGAACTAAAAAAATATTTTACAAAAAAATCTTTAAAATGAATTTTTATTTCAATATTTTGTAGATTTTATAAATATTTGAAAACAATTTAATTTTTTCTTTTTGTTAGGCGCTTTTAATTATTTTCTATGAGAAGCGCTCATAATTAAAATATTATAGCAATAAATAATCAAGAAATAATAAAAGTGTTTAATTTAAAAGATTTTTTTTGTTAGTTTTACTAAATGAAATTACATCATTAATTAAATTAGCATAATAAAAATAAATGAATATTTTGTAGAATGAGATAAAACTATTTTATCTTTATTTTTTATTTTTCTTTGAAGGCTGAATTATTATTATGAAAATTAGAGTTTGATATCTATATTTTTGCGTCTGCTAGATATAAAAATATTTTTTTAAAATAGATTATAATGTAGAAGGGTTTTAAAAATAAACTTTTATTTGAAAAAAACATGAAAAGCATCTCAAAAAAATGAAAGTGATCAGAAATACATTTTCCCTCCTCTTAGAATGAAAATTTGATAAATTCTATGTAAAATTAAAGGGATAGATATATTCAAAAAAAGAAAGATATGGAGGTAAAAGTTAACATCTATTAAATTTTAATAACAAATTGCGCGTAAAAGATAATTTATTCAAAAGAAAATAGTCATTTAATAATTCAAAAATTTATTGATTCAGAAAAAATAATAAATTATTAAAGCAAAAACAAGTAAATAGTTAAAAATAGCTGCCAATTAATTCATAAACTCAATCAAAATACAATTTAGCAAAACCCAATAAGTGAAAGAAAATGGTTACTCAATTAACAAAAAATGCTATTGATTCTCTAATAAATAGCACTAATCCTGATGAATAGTATGTTATTCAAGTTTTAAAAGCTCCTCAATCTGTTGCTGAAAATCTTTTCAAGTAATTTAATTGATTGATCGATTGAAAAAAACTAATTTTATTCATTTCTTTTTTTTGTTGACAAATAGGATTTGCATTTCTGATGGCTTTTGCAAATTCAAGAAAGGATATTTCGTTAGTGATGCTGCTACCAAATGCCAAGATTGTAATTAATTTTTCTTAATTTTTTGTGAAGAATTGTATATGGAAAAGTACTATCATTTTTAACTCTACTTTAATAATTTAATAGTGAAGGATCTCTGTATTATCAAATGCAAAAAATATATTGATGACTCAAACCACGATAAGGAAAGAATTATTATCTCTAACTACGAATTAATATATTCTAATATCTAAGAGCAAATTGGAAAACCAATCGAATACAAATAATACAAGTCAAGTGTAATAAAATATTTCTAAAGTTCTATATAATTTATTTTATTCTTTGCTACTTGATCAAAAATGCTCTTTAAAGGGAGTTTTCAAGATATGGCAAAAAAATAAAAATATGTTCTTGAAAATTAATAATTTTTAAATTAAATATAAAAGGGATTCTCTAATCCAGAAGGATCAACTGTAATTCCCTCATAATACTTGAGCAGAAACGCTTAAATACTTCAATAAAATTAAGTTTCTTAACCTAAGCAAATGGTAACTCCTCCAGTTAGCAACATAAATAAGCCTACTCCTGCTGTAAATAACACATTTGCTTAAAAACCAGCAGTTACAAACTAAAACATTTAAAGAGTAAACTAGAATCCATAACAAATGAACAAAACTGCACCTGTAAAGCAAAATAATAATAATAACAATAATAACAATGGCAACAACAAAAATAATTCTAGTTTGTAGATTTCTACTGATGGAGATGAGTAAAATTTGGAATACATTAGAAACTTATAGCCAAATGGTTAACCATAAACAATCAAAGTTAGAATCACCAAAAAGGGTGATTTGAAAAGCTTTAAGGAAAAGTAAGGAAAACTCTTTTCAATAGATGTTATTGATAAGTTTGGAGACGAATGTAGTATTTCTTTCTTCAACGAAATAGCTGAATAGTATGATGGCTTATTTAAAGTAGGTTAAGTTATAGTCTTGAAATAATTTTCAGTGAAAGTCAACAATAATCATCAATAGTAAATTAATTTATTTAAGTTTTAGCAATTACTATTACATAATATTTAATAAATAGCAATAAGGGAGATCACACTGTAACTGTCAATAAAGAGAGTAAAATATTGATATGTCAAGAAGATCCATCTATTCCTATGATCAAATTAAATAGATAATTCATTTAAGATATGTAGAATAAATAGAAAGGAGATTTAATCGATTTGATTGTTGTTGTAAAGGCAGACACAGAAGTTAAAACCATGATCTTAAAGAAAGATAATTAATAATAATCTAAAAGAGACATAATATCATTTGATGAATCTCTAATTGAAACAGAAATCACACTCTGGGGAGAAACTGCTAAAGACTATGATGCAAAGTAGGGAGATATCATTGTATTTAAAGATGCCAAAATAGGTGAATTTAAAGATAAAAAGTAAATTAATATCGGATATGGAACATAAATCTTCATGAATCCAGATGAATAACTCTTCCCATAGATCCATGATGTCAAAAAATGGTACCTAAGCTTAAATTCCGACTAATTAAGCACTATTCAAAAGGCATAAGGAAATGATACTGGTCCTAGAGAAGTAACTAGCTTTGAATCTTCTCTAAACATTTTGAAAGAAGAAATTAAAAACCTTTAAACTGACCCAGAAATGAAAATTTGGAAAGAAATTCGTGGTTAAATTATGTACATTAAAGATACTCCTCTTTATTATAATGCTTGTTTTAGTTGCAAAAAGAAAATCGCACGTAATAACGAAGTATGGACTTGCATAAATTGCAATAAAGATTTTAATGAAGTAATATTTTTTCTTATTCATCTTTAAAATTTTAGTTAATAAAATTAATTTTATTAAAATATAATTGAATTTATTTTAAATAATAATTTTATTAGCCTGACTCTAGATATATTCTCTCCCTCAATATAAGTGACTCTACAGATACTATTTGGGTAAGTGCATTCGATGAAGTAGGTCAAAAAATTCTTGGTAAATTTATTTTTTAAAAGTTAAACTAAGTTAATTTATTTTTATCATATTTAATTAACTTATTAATTAAACAGGTGTTAAGGGTGATGTATTTAGATATGCTGATGAAGATACAGAACACGGTACAGAAACAAAAAAGAAATTGCTTATGGCTGCCTAAAATAAGGAATATAGATTCCTGTTACTTACTAAATAAGAAAGAGACTAAAATGGCAACGCCAGAGATAAGACAGTTATTCATGCTATAAAAGACTTTTAACCTGCTTATGAGGCCAAAAAGATCATCAATTCTTTGGAGAAATTTATGGTGATTGAGGAAAACAATCCTTGATTATAATCACAAACTATATTTAAAATGAATGTTACTTAACCTTTACCAAATAAATCAAATAAATTCTAAACAAGTAAATAAATAAATAATTGAGCTCACTTAAAAAGAATAATTTGCATAAATGAAATAAAAACTTTAAAATTGCATCCACTATATAAATGTAAATCAATTCTATATAATATATTATATATTTGTAATATCATCATTTTTAGAAATACTTCACACTCTCTGATTACTCATTTTTCGTATTAAAATAATTTTACAACTATTTCTTAAATAAATTTTTTATTAATTTGGTTTTTAACTTCAGAACAAATATTATAATTTAAGGACTGTAATTTGATATCTGTTTAAGCTAAATTAATTTCATCCAATTAATTTAAATAGAAAATAATTTCTTCTTTATAGTATATTAAAATCTCTCACTTTATAAATTTCATCAAGCAGAATATTTAAATAAAAATTGCAACACTATATAAAATTAGTTTTAAATAATTAAAGTATTTTTTAATAGGTAAATATTTAGAATTAGTTGAAAAAAGGTACATTTAAGTTTGTTAACAAAAAACAAATATGAAAAAAATTAAATAAAATTGAGCTAATATTTATCGTAAGATAAGAAATAAGACTTTTGTCAATATAAATAAAAGAAAATCTAAAAAATATTTTATTAATAATATTAATGTTACGCTAGTTTTCAAAAACCTTAAAATTAAATTCAAATTAATATCATTTAAAGTAGTCATTATTAAAATAATTTTTTAGACTTATTTAAAATAAAATTATAAATAAATACTTTTACTTATCTTTTTAATTGTTAGTTATTATAAAAAATAAATTTAAATTATAGATTATTTAGAAATTATTTTCAGAAAAATTTTGATTTTGTTTGCAGAAAATTAAAAAATAAAATCTGATTTATTATTAAAGTTTTTTAATGCAAATGAAATAATAAAAGAACAAGTAGATTTTAGAATTTTAGGGTCTGTTCTAAAAAAATAATCATGCAATTTTTTCTTCGATTTGTAAAATTCTTTTTATTTTTTCTTATCTTATTTATCAATTTGTTTTGAAAATGAATCGAAAACAATTAAAATTTTAAATAATTAAATTAAATTAATATTTAAACTATTAACAAGTATAAAAGAAATTGTAGTCATCTATAGATTTTAGTGTTCAATAAATATTAAAATATGAATTAAAATTAAGGAGACGAAGATTAAGCTTAATTGCAGAAGCATCAAGAGGGATACGTTGACCATGCAGAGGTATTTTATTTAATTAAATGATTATTATCATTTATATATCTCTTCATTTAAATCAAGTTAAATTAATTTTTTTGTTATTAGCAACATTAAGAATAACAATCAGAAACGATTGATTAGCTGGAAAAGGAATAGGTTTAGATTCCAGACCACTATTCTGAATTGAATAATAATAAATAAGAAGAAGGTATGGAAGATTTTATTCAAAAAAGTGTAGTTGAAGAAGAAGAGGCTAAATAAGATTAATAAAATGAAGTGATAAAGCCATAATTTTAGTAAGTAAATTAAATAGAAAGAAGAACTATTACATTAGAAGACTAAGAACTTTAAGATATTAGTTAAATGGATTAAAGTTTAAGTAGCATGAACAATAATAGCGAAAGTTAGATTTAAGACTAGAATTAGTAAGTAAATATGTAGCAACAATAGCAAAATCAATAATAATAGCTTATAGACGAAGAAGAAGAAAACAACAACCCTTTAAATCCTGCTGAAGTATATGCCAGAATGATCGGTACTATGAATAATGAACCCTTTTTGCATGAAGAAACATTGATTGGAATAATAGAATTACTTCATTTAAATAGTACGGAAATGTTTGATGAAATAGATAGAAACTAGCCAAACTGGAAAGAATAAATTGAATAAGAATTGAAAAAGAGATTGGAGATTTACAACAAAAAAGTTGAGTTGATTTCTAGCATTTATCAATAAAGTATTCCAAATAACTCGATGCACAACATAGAAAAAATTATGTCTATAATAAAAAGTAAGGAAAAAGAAATATACATTTATAAAATAGATAAAAGTCTTCCTCTATGCTGTAAACATCATCACTAAAAAAATAATAACGAAGATAATAATCAATAAGATTAAGAGTAAAAGGAAAATGATTTTGATAGCAGGTAGGATTAATTTAATGGTATTAAATAAAATAATGAGGAATATATTGAATAAAGTAACTAATAAGACTAAGAAAATATCATTTGTTAAGACAAATTATGTGATGATTTTAATCACAATCATATTAAAGGCCAAAACGAAAACGGTGATGACGATTATACAAGAGAAATAAAGTAAGAATAATGTTAGGCTATTGAAAGCAATACAGATGGAAAAAGTGGCTCTAATGAAAATTTAGAAGAACTTTTGCAAAAAGAACAAGGTGAAAATCTAGATGAAGAGCAAGAATATGAAGTTATTGATGATAAAGACGATGATATTTCTGAAGAAAATTTAGAGAAATTGAAAAAAAAACTAGAGAGAAACGAAGCTATTCGTAAGAAATAGGAAGAATAAAAGTAAAGACTAATAGAAGAAAATTAAAGACTAAAAAGAGAGTATGAAGAAATGATTGAAAAAGATTAAAAGTTAAGAAGGGATTACCAAAATTAATTATAAGTCGAAAATCATCTAATGTAAAAACAGGCAACTCTTTAGGTATAATATTAACAATTATAGAACTTATAATAGCTTAACTAGAGTAATTTAAGTGATTCTTAATAGAATCAGAATTCAACATCAAATGAAAATGAGTAATTAGAATAAGATAACTAAAATAATGTTTAAAAAACTGAGATAATTGAAGAACCATCTGAAATATAATCTAGGAATCAGTCAGAAAACTAACCTGAATTGTAGACAAATCAAACTCAAAGTGAAGAATGCCACCATTCTCACCATCATCACAATTAACACAACAATCACCACCATAATCACCATCATAAAGACATAAATGAAGAAAATTAAAACCAGAATCACTAAGTAAATAACGAGTAAGAAGAAAATGTAAATCCTGCTTTTTAACACTCTGAAGACTACAATTAACATATTCTTCCATTTAAGATCCTTGGATAAAGTCTATCAATAAATCACATTCACTCTATTATGTCTATGTAATTTGTTGATTTACAAAGACTGAAATCACTAAATCCTGTTGAAAATTCAATAACTTTTGAAATGAATGACAATTACTTGATAAAAATAAAAAGTTGTGAACATATTAAATACGATAAGTCCTCTCTTTGTTCAAAAATCCCCCACTTTATCTTCAAGGAACATATTTTCCCTTTTCTTTCTTCTGTTGAATTGTTCAGAGTAAGAAGTGTCTCCCCTGAATGGCGTGAACTAGTTCGTGAAGTTTGGCACAAGACTTTCAAAAGAGATATGTAAGAACAGCTTCTTGCAACTGACCTTTGCAAAGAAATAGAAGCATAGTTTAAATTGATGCACATTAGGAACCCTTTCTTTTAGAAATTGAATTTACTAATCAGAGCAATGGTTGATGTCATAAACTGGGAGGAGTTTGAGAAAAAAAGTATAGAAAATAAACTTAGTTAAACTGAAAAGAAAATTGTAGTGTCTCTTTTAAGAATTATTGGGTATAACATCTTAGATTATGAAAATATTAACTAATTTGAAGAGGAAGAATATGACAAACACTAGGTTGATATTGCACTACATTTAAAAGACTTTTTAAATAATTCTATAAATCACAATGGAATGTCATCTCAAAGTTTGAAAAATATATTCAACAATTTCCTGGTTTAAGCAGATATATCTACTCCAATTGTTAGGAATTAAATCGATAAGAACTTTATTATTTTTATTCTTATTGCTAAGCAGTATTACCTATATTCTTTACTTAGAAATTATATTACTTCATCAAGCACCTATATGCAATTTGCCAAGAATAAACTTGACGCTTTGTCTAAGGATTGGCCTACTTCTAAGGGGTTTCTTGAAGGTGCCTACAGAATCCTCCTACTCAGAAATGTTTCCATAAAAAATGTAAATTTTATATATATAAATGATCAATATTTAAGCTTTTAAATAATAGGGTGAAATTGTCAATAATGATTCTGATGATGGAGAATAATTTAAGATTAATAGAAAAAATAAAAAAACTAAAAAATCAAAAAAGATGGATTTGGATAAAAAGAAGGAAGAAGTAAATGAGAATATTCAAGAGTAAATAAATTAATTTGAAAACTAAAACGAATAAGGCCATAGTAAAGTTCAAAACATAGTCTAAAATAACTCTGATTTAAAATAATAAAACTCAGAAGAAAATTCAAATGTTTAGAGCAATACTGAAATGACACAAGAATTAAATCAAAGAGAATAGTCTTAAATCTCTTAGAGCAATACTGAAATGACACAAAAATAAAATCAAAACGAATAGTCTTAAATTTCTGATTAAAAAAAAGACGATCAGTAGAATATAAATAATAAAGATGAGAAGGAAGTAAAAGAAAAAGATGATGAAAATGACGATGATGAGGAAGAGGAAGAGGATGAAGAAGATGGTGATTAAGAATAATCTTAAGCAGAATTAACTTAATTAATGAATTCTATTTTCAATCTCTAGTAAAAAGAAAATCAAGAACCTGATATAGTTATTAAGAGAAAGGCAGGTACTATGAAAATATTTTTGGATTAAGGAACAAAATTAGATATAATTTTAAATACAATCATCACTTATGGTATGTAAACAGCTCACAAATAAGTTGCATAAGAAGCTTGCAATTTAGTTTAAAACTCTAAAGTGACTTTAGAAAGATTAGAAAAAACATTCAATGAAAATTAATTACAGATTGATGAAATGAAGATAAAAAGCTAGCAGCTAGAGCAATCTCTCTTAGAAAAATAAGCTGAGTTGGAGAAGGTTTAGCTTTAAAACTAGTAACTCCACCAAGAATTCTAAAAAGACTCTTAAGAAATTTAATAATTACAAAATACAGTTAGAAGATAGGAGGACGAAATAGAAAATTACGAAAATTCATAAAGCACAGAAACATAAGATAAATAATAAGAAAATAATCAAAACATAGACAATTCTGAATAACATCAAAACTGATCTCATAAAAAACAAAAACAATACTCATATTAACTATTTTCTTTCAATTATTTTATTAATTAAAAGAATGAACTTAATTATGTTTTGTATTGAATAATTTATTTTATCATTTTATTTATTAGAATTGTTACTGTCATCTAACTAAAATTTATCAATTTATCAAATTAAATAAAAAAAAAATTATTTTTGATTATTTGATATTTTTGTATTTTTAAAAAGAATCAGTCAAAAGTAATTCCACTAAAAATTTTGATTTTTAAGATTAAAATATATGATGATTTAAAAAAATAATCTCCATGTATAAAATATTTTTAAAAAGATTGAACATTACTTACTAATTATAATATTTACAAAAAATATATATTAATTTTATTATTTGATTAATTTTAAATAGCTATCTTATTACTCTTTCTTTAGAAAATTTATATAATTATTAATTAATTAGGTAGATAGATAGTTAGTTAGTATTTGTTTATAATATTTAAAACAATGCTTCTTTTTTTTGCAAAATAACATAGCTTGCTTTTTTTTAAAAAAGCTGCTCTTTATTAATTTTGCATAGTTTTTTTTATTAATTATTAATTAAAGTTTATTTTCTTTTCACCTTAAACCAAGACTTGAAGGAGAAAGCTCATTAACTGTATCATTTTTAAATATATTCCAGAATCTGATCGTTTCATCTGCGGCTCCAGTTAAGATATTTTATCCACATGGGCTTTCCGCGAGATAGAGTACTCTTTAAGTGTGACCAGTCAAGGTTGCTAATTTTTTCATATTTGATTAGTTCCAAATTTGTATGTGGTTCAACGAATAACCGTGTGTTGAAATGATTTATCTGCTGTTTTTGGAGAATATTAAATTACAAACTTAAGAGCCTGTATCTATACATTCTATTTATTTTAATTGCTAAGTGTCATATATTCTAATACATCTGTCAGCTGTACCACCACCGAATGCGAGAATATTATGTTAATGTGGGGAAAAACCAATAGCCTTAACAGCTGCTTTACTTGATGAGATTTTAGCTAATTTTCCATTCATTTTCAAAGACCATAAAAATACTTTATTGTCATTTCCACCTGAAGCTAGAGTTTACTCATCAAAAGACCATCTCATTCCACAAATTTCCTATTTTAAAAGATTTAATTTTAGAAAAATAATTATATTTATTTTATTAATTATGTTACTTGTTCATGTCCTTTAAATACTATGGAATTAGAGCTTTTATCACGAATATCTGTTATGATAATGTTTTTATCACGAGAACCTGTAGCAATCAAGTTTCCATTCCAAGCTATTTAACCTACTCTCCCTGTGTGATTCTGCATAACTCTCAAAAACTTATTTTTAGTCAAATCGAATAAATAAACCTTTCCTTATCTGTCTCCTACTGAAATATGATCTGAAATTTAAGACCATCCTACAGAACAAACCATATTATAATAATCTGATTGCTATATTTAATCTTAACCACTTTACATCTTCAATAAATTATGATCAACATATTCTGGTATAGTGAATTATGTTTTAACGCTTTGATTAGCTCCTGAAAGAACATAAACGTAATTTTCAAGTCCGACAGAAACAAGATTGGAAGCACTCCAGTCCAAAAGATTTAAGTAGAAATCATTTTTTAGCGTTGGTGCTTCCAATATTTTGTAAGGACGAGGATTTATTTTGAGCTTAGGTGTTTCATCTCTCATGTACATGTTATTATCAGGCAAGTTAATAAGTGATTAATAAATAGAAGATTTTTTTGAAGAAGATGAGGAAGAAGAAGGTGGCATAAATGAAGAAAGAGAGGAGCTATTGTTTGATTACATATTTGAGGAAGAATTATTTTCACCGTATGAAAACAACTTTTTTAAAGGTTTAAATTGGCTTTATTTAGATGCGCTTTCTTAAGAATTGGCAAAGAGAGAGGTATCATCGGCAGGTGAACAATAGTTGTGGTTTATCACAGTGTTGTTTTCTAAGAAATGGGCATGCAGTAAATTATGGTAGAGCTGTCTATTTTATTCTTCCTTTATGTTATTATTTGAGTTTTACTAATTAGATTATAAGTTTTGCTAATGATTTGCTTAGTCAAGTTCCATTTATGAGTGAATTTAAAAAAGTTTGTATGTATCAGACTCAACTCTTGAAGGTATAAAGCGATCAAAATTACACTTTTTGTAGAACTTTTGTTTCTTATCTAAAGTTATGAAATCATTTTAAGAGTTTTAATTGAGGATATTTGTGCTGATTTCTCTTAAAAATTAATCAGATGTTGTGCTATTATTAGATTCACTCCTGAAAAGATTACTGCTACTTAATGCACTTAAACTTTGAGACATAGGGCTTTCATCCTCAGTTTTAGCCAAATCTATCAGATTAAGATTGCGGACAACATCTTTTAACTCAGATCTAGCTATTCCATTTCCAGTCATTTCTTGGGTTTCTTCCTCTTGCATTTCGGATTTTTCTGAGTGGATCTGGCGCTGTGATATACTAGAAGAAGCAGTCCATCCAGGTGAGAGCTCTATTTAAATAGCTGATTCAGTTTCTCTCTAATTTTGATGGGCTTTTCTCTCAAACATTTTGTCAGCAGTTTTACATGTTTAATTATGATTAGCTTATCTAAAAGAAGGTAACTAGTGTAATTTGGTTTAAGCATTTTAACTAGAGAAAGGTTAAACCACCATTTCGCTTTTATTATTAAAATGAAGAGAAATTAGCCCTTCCTTAACATATTAAGTTGAAGAGCTATTCTCCTTATTTGAGCTTAAGCTCTTTTTTTTATCGCTTTAGGAGTTATTAAAATAATTATGCTTGGCAGACGATTCCTGCGTAAAGTTTTAATTTTTATTCGAGGAAAAAAGTAGATTTTCGTCCATAGCACACAAAGGATATTGCTCGCTTTCAATAGTTTAAACTTAATTACTCATAGGAGTTTCTAAAAATAATATATTTGAGTGCAGATTTAAAAGGCAATTGCTTATATTAGATAAAATATTTAGTTTTCAATGATGGGTTTATAACACAAGTGTTTAGTTATGCGTGCTAATTTTTACTAAAAGAATGGCTAATATAGAGAGCTTTATTCAATTTATAAGTGCAATTTGCTATTGGGTATTTTATTAGGCCTAATTGGGAGTAGTAGAATTTGTTGTATATGAAGGTGCTTGTTAGATAGAGTTTTCTTGTTATTTGTTTGCTTTTTTAATTTATTAATTAATATTTATTGTATTTGTTAGTATTTTCTTTGGTATTATGGGAATATACAATTCAATACTTAATGAGTCAAACATATATATATAATTTAATGTAAGTGCAATTAATTTTTGCGCAATATTTCTTAACAAATAAATTCTTAGAAACAAATTTAATTAACACACCCAAATATTTAATAACCGCTCTTTTTCTGTTTATCATGCATGCTAATCTATTGCTTAATTCTTCATTCTATTAATTTCTTCTTTTCATACAATTACTTTTTAACAATAAATTTATTGGAAGATATAAACTGACTGAAAAAAATCAGCTAGCTTATAAAGCAAATTAATTGTTTATTTATTTTTTCTAATTAAATTTTTATTTTACCAAGGCCACTTACTTTTTAGCCAAGCAAGTTTCATATATCTTCAATAAATGTATCTTTCATAAATATTTAGTCAAATATTTTTATCAAATAAAATAAAACACCATTTTTTTTTTTACAATTTGAAACAAATTAATTGCTAACAAAAAGTAAAAATCATACTAAAATTTGAAACCTTTATTGAATTTAATTAAAATTATTTTTTCTGATGGTTAATATTTAAAATTTCATAGAATTTTTAATGTTTTATAATTAAAAAAATTCATGATTCAGTATAGTTTAATTTTGTAAATTTAAAATATATTCTAAATACCAAATAAAAGCTTAAGTATCTAATTCGATTTTTAGTCTATTATTAAAACCTTAATTAATAATTTTGTTTTGATTAGAAATATTGGTCTCTTTAAACTATTCTAGATAATTATTCAAATCAAATAAAAACAAATTAAATCTAAATGAATACTAAATGGATATTTATTTAAAATTATTTTTCAGAATTTGTACAAAGCAAAAAACTACAATTTTTAAAAAGATTAAAGTACTTAAAGAAATGATAATAAAAATATTTCTTTTGAAAAAGCATTTATTATAATAGAAATTTTATATTTTAGAATTATTTGTTTATTTTTTAGTTCATTTAATTATTTATTTAATTTTTTTATATGATAGATCCATTATTTTATGCTAAGGTAAATTTTGAATATTTGGAAATATTGTTCATAATAAGATTTATTTAATTATCATTTTTATTTATTTTTATCAGTTAGAGTTTTATTTGTTTAATGCCATATTTAAATTTAATTAAATATTTTTATCGTTAAAAAAATTATCTTTAAAAATTAGTAATTTTTTTAGTAAAAAATTAATAAAGAATATGAATATTTTAGTAATAATTTCACTTTTTTAATAGCGATAATAATGTAATCGAATAATCATATTGTAAAGCTTTCATTTTATATCAATAAATTTATATTATTGATTTTCTCTAAAAGTAAAATTCATGAGTTTATCACTCATTTATAAATTAATTACAAACAAATAATATTACTTTTCTTCATTTAAAAAAATGCTAAATAATCACGATTAATATATAAAAACAATTAATAAAGAATAGCTTATTTTATTTATAAATTGTAAAATTAAACATTTAATTATTTTGCTAGAAAAATCTCCATTAAAAAGATAAATTCTATCTAATCTGTCTTTTGAAAAGAGGCTAAACTGCTTCTATTGCTAATTATTTAGATGATTTTGCAAATTTTTAATTTTAGCTTTAATATTAAAGTGCAAATATGTAAATAATTTATAATTGAATTAATATTTAAAAATTTACTCTTATTACACTATAAATTATTTATAGAATATTTTTATTCATTAATAATTGAATATTAAGAAGTAATATAATTTTAAAAATAATTTATTTTCCTCTTTACATTTCTATCCTATAATCAAACTTTTAATATTTTAATTTATTTTACTTTCAAATTTTTATATACAATTTTTAAAAAAGTAGTTTTCAAAACAAAATAATCAAGATATTATTCATAATACATAAATAAATTAACCAAGTTTTATTTGTAATTTATGAGAAATTAAATAAAATAATTTATTAGATTTTAATATAAAAAAACTTAATAAATAAGGAGTAAAAATTTAATTTGGCTTTTTTCGATTGGTTTAAATTATTAAATCGAAGTTTTTAAAATACTTAGCTTTGGTTATTTTATTAAGAAATAAATAAGATATTTTCAACGTAAAATAATTTTTTATGCATAATGACTACATTTATTTCATATCAAATGATTTTTTTTAAAATAGTAAGTAAATAACATAAAATAATAAAAGATAAAAAATAATATGATTTGAAAAAAATCCATCACTCACTCAAAATAATCTTGAAGAGTCATTTGTTGGAAAGTGCAAAGTATTAGTATAATAATCAAATATATAAATCAATTTTGTAAAATTTAAAATTATTCATAAATTCTTTTCTTATTCTAATATATCTTTCTATATTTAAATAATCCTTTATGCCTATAACACAAGTAATTCTGTTTCTAAATGTTCGTCGATATATATTTCTGTGAGTCTATTATTTTCTTGTTTTACTTCTTTCAATCTCTCTCTCGTATTTTATATGTTTTGATCAAGATCTGTAATTTAGCCTATTGATGATTTTATTTATTGTTCTATTTTAGTTATACGACTCTACATTTCTTGAATACTTAAATTGTCTCCTTCATCTTTATTTCTTTTCTTCTTTTTTTCATATCCCGTTTCCTTGTCTACCATTTCAAACTTTTCATCATTTTAATTTTCTACTTTTGTTTTCCACAAACCCTTTTTTGCTGCAAAAAAATACTCTGTTTCACCAAGCTTGAGTGGAATATCTTAAATAGGAATATCTTTCAGATTTATACCAAAATCTGCCTCAATTTATTCCATATCAAGTTCCCCTTCCATTTTTTAAACAAATAAATAAATATCTTCACTAGCTTTTACTTTAAAATTTAAAAAATAATCTGTTGATGCTTTTTTTAAATTACTTACTCTATTTAATAAAAATATAATAATTACAAAATAAATCAAATCTGACCATTCCCACAAAAAATATTCTATCTTTTTATGTTTGAAAATATTTTCTTAGATTTAAATCAATTTATTATATCAATTAATAAAATAAAAATTCTGTATAAATACATATTCTTGAGTAAATTTTCAAAAATTCTTTATATAGCAATGAATGAATGAATTGTTTATCTAGTTTAATTAAATTAATTCATTAATATTGTTAAATTTAAAAAACAATTATTTATTTGATATAAAATCAATTTAGAAATTCAAAAAATCATAAGTAATTATTTTAATAATATAGATTTATGTAATTTTTACAAACATTAGTATTTTTATTGCTTGATCCATTAATATTTATTGAGAATTAATATGTAAATAAATATAAATCAAGTTAATCAAAAAACATTTAAATTAAAATATTAATATGATTTTGTCAATCCTAAATAGAATTTTGTTCGATAAGTATTAAAAATTTTCAAAATCCTTGTAGTTTTTAATTTAACAGATTGAATTTTCTCACTCAAATAATAAATCTTACTAATTGGTTTAGAGTTTTAAATTTAATTTCATATCCAAATTATTTTTATATTGTAAAAATTGAATATAAGTTAATTAGTCTTGAAATTTGATAAATAAAAAATATTTTTAAATTGATTAGATATTAAATATTCAATTTTTACCCTAAAAAGAATATACTATCGATCCTCATTAATTAATTTAACCTCCTTATTCTACTTTTCTCCAAAATGTTTTACTTTAAACAAATATTTTAATAACTAAACACAAAAAAATTTCATCACTCTGTAATAAGAAATTATGGAGATTAAATTATTATTAATTATTTTAATAATAGCATAAAGTAAATTGAAAAACTGCAAACAAAGTTATTCTAAAAATTTTAATATTATTTTCACTTCTTTATTTATCAAATATAATTATTAAATATTTAGCTAATATAATTGTTTCTGAAATTAACTTGATAATATTATCTACTAAATTTAATAATTACAATAAAATTTATAATAAAAAATTAATCTAAAATATTAGAAGAACTTTTAATTATTTTTTATCTTAAAGTATCTATCTATCTAATTTTTGTAATTTAATAATATATTTAATATTGATTTTTTACCAATATAAGTAATCTTAAGAAATAAGATATGATTGTTTTAAATATTGAAGATTAGGTAAAGGGATTTGGAGGAGATTATATTGATTTTACTCATTTTTAAGGTGATTTAAAAATCCTATAAGATGGTAAGTATAACCAAGGCGTCTAAATTAACATCACTGCAAGCAGGTTAATGTAAAGCGTAAACGAGGGTTTGAAATTTCTATGTGATGGGTTGAGGTCTAATGGATTTAAGAGCATAAAACATTTGCAAATTAGTATTTACTCAAATATTAACAATAATATAAACTCATTTTATGATCTTGGCTGCTCCATAAATTAGCTTTAAAATTTAGTTTAACTAAATATTGTTTTATAGTACTATACTCCTTCAAAAGATCGAATTATTGATTTATTACTTTGCATTTTAGGAAACAAAATATTAATAGACTTTACATTAGTAGTAAAATATAATGAAAATTATAGTTATAAGCATATTTATGATCATAAAAATTAAATATTAAAAATCTTTACAAATGATATCATTAGTGAAATTTAAAATCCAATACTTTAATTTCTTGGCAGTGATTCTAATTTAAAATAAATAATGTTTAATTCGTGCTAAACATATTCTTTTGAAAACTGTAAAATTATTAACAAATCCATAGCTCTTTAGAATTTCATTTTAGGCTGCAAATTAAATATAACTTCTAAAAATTTGTATCATCTACACATGATAATAGATGGCAATTCATCATGTATTTGTTAATCTCATTAAGATTTTTACTACTATAAAAACTAAATAATTAAAAAACTTACAAAATTAGTAAAATTAACTATTTGATTTGTATGTTATCTATGTATTTTACAGATTTTATTCTTATAAAAATAATCAAAATTAAAATATCATAATTTATAAAAATGTAATAATGAGGACACCAGCTCAGTGATTAGCTTTATGATGTTAATTTCCGTACAAATATTTTTCTTCTTCTTCAAATTAACAAAATTCTCACTATTCCTCAAATTTCAAAATAAAAAATAAAAAATTGCTACTGAATTATCATTAGAAATTAATGCTGATTTGTTTTACCCATTATCATATTTTTCATCATAGATGAAAAATCTTTAATCATTCTAATTGAGGTAGCGATATTAAAAATAATAAAGCATCAATTAATCGATAATTATTTTAAAATAGAATCAAGAAAACTCTAATCAAAATAAAACCAGGTTATAAAAAATAATATCGATTCAGAAAATGATATCAAACTCATCAAAAAAAAAATAATTGGATTAGAGAATAATTAGAGATATTATAAAAATTCCCCTCATTACAGGAATAAAATAGAAAAAAATAAAAACAAATAAAAATTATTATTATTAAATTTAAGAACAGTAATTATTTTACTAGTTTTTTGAACATATGACTAACTAACTAACTAACTAACTAACTAACTAACTAACTAACTAACTAACTAACTAACTAACTAATTAGCCACCTGTAGTTCTTACTATATTTTTAAATACACATTTTAAATAGAAATATTAAGATTAAATAATGAATGAATTTTACGCTAACTTTTTTTGTTTATAAAAGCAAAATTATAAATACATATAATTTATTTGTTCTTTTTATCCGCTTATAATTAATTAAATTTATATTATTTTTTTTGCTTTTCAATATTAAAAAAAAAATAAATGGTAAAATAGATTAAATTATATAATACATTAGAAGAAGTAATTATTTCTTTTTTTATCAATAATCTTTAAATTTATTTTTATTAATATAAAGTTTTTAAGCTCTTCACTCTAATCTCATTAGTTTCTCCATATTAATTTGAAGTATATTTAATTTATAAATATTATTATTATTAATACTTTCTATATATTTAACTTACAATTTATTTAGAATATTATTTTTCTAATAGTAATTCTCACCTATATTCTTTCTTTCATTCTTTTTTTAATACAAATTTTTTTAAAGTTATTTTAACTTAATTTTCACTTTCAATTTTTAAATTCATTATCCATTTTTTATTATTTGAAATTTTTTTTTCATTTTTTCTTTCTAATACTTTTACTTGATGATAACAGTTTATGTGTATTTTGATAGTGATATTTTTAGTTATATTTATGAATTAAAATAATATATTTAAACTCTTTAAATTTTTTTTGCCTTTTTTATTGTGCTTGTGTTATTTTTTTCCAATCTTTATTAATTCATTTTTTTATTTTATAATTTTGCTTTTATTTTTATTTTTTAATTTATTTCTTATTATTTGATTTTTTTCTTCATTTTTTTCTTCTAACTAACTAATTAGTTATATATTATTTCTTAAATATTTAAAAGTTAGAAATAAATTGGTGATGAAGGTTCATCAGTTTTAGGTTCTGTTTTAGCAAATTGCACTAATCTCTCAAATTTGACAATTAATCTTGTGTAAAATTAAAATTTATTTGTTTTGGACTGTGATATTTTTAGTTATAAAAATAAATTTAAAATAATATAATAAAGCTCTTTTAATTTGCTTATAAGCTATTTATTTATTTGATTTAATTTGATTTAGTTTTTTATTGCACTTGTGTTTTTGTTTTTTTTCAATCTTTATTAACTCATTTTTTATTTTAACAAACTAAATATTTTTTCTTCAATATTTAAAAAGTGATAATTAAATTGGTGCAATCAGTGTATTAGACTTAGGTTCTGCTTTATCAAATTGCAAAAACCTCTCAAATTTGATACTTAATCTTGGGTAAAAAAATTTATTTTTTTTGAATTGCGATATTTTTAGTTATTAAAAATAAATTTAAACAATATATTTAAACTCTTTTAACTTGTTTATTAGCTTTTTATTTGATTTAATTTTAATTTTCTTTTTAATTATACTTTTTTTTCTTCTATCTTTCTTAATTTAACTTACTCACCTCATCATTTCATTTTTGTTCTTCCTTCATTTTTTCCTTCTAAATAGCCAATTAATTAAATGTTTTTTCTTCAATATTTAAAAGTTACAATTAAATTGGTTAAAAAGGTGCATCAGGCTTAGGTGTTGCTTTAGCAAATTGCACTAATCTCTCTAATTTAACACTTGATCTTTAGTAAAAAAGTTTATTTGTTTCGATTGTGATATTTTTAGTTGTAAAAATGAATTTAAACAATATATTTAAACTATTTTAATTTATTTATTAGCTTTTTATTTAATTTATTTTTATTATACTTGTGTTTTTTTTATATTTCTTAATTTAACTCATTTCATTTTTATATTTTCAAATTTTTCATTTATTATTATTCGTTAATTTCTTATTATTTCAAATTTTATATTAATTGTTTCCTTCAAAATAACAAAATAATTATATTTTTTTCTTCAACATTTAAAAAGTAGGAATTAAATTGGTAAATAAGGAGCATCGGACTTAGGTATTGCTTTAGCAAATTGCACTTATCTCTCAGATTTGGCACTTTAACTAGTGTAAAAAACAGTTTATTTATTTACGATTGTCTAATTTTCTAATATATTTAAACTCTTTTAATTTTTTAATTAGCTTTTTATTTGATTTTTTCCTTCAAAATAATAAAATAATAAATAATTTTCTCTTCAATATTTAAAAAGTGATAATTAAATTGGCGAATAAGGTGCATATGGCTTAGTTTCTGCTTTAACAAATTGCTCTAATCTCTCAAAGTTGACACTTAATCTTGGGTAAAAAAAATTATTAGTCTTGGATTATGATATTTTTAGTTATTAATATGAATTTAAACAATATATTTAAATTCTTTTAATTTGTTTATTAGCTTTTCATATGGTTTTTTTCTTTCTTTTTAATTATACTTGTATTATTTTTTTCTTTTATCTTTCTTAATTTAACTCATTTTTTTATTTTCAAATTTTGCTTTTAGTTATTTATTTATTATTAATTAATTAATCCATTTCTTATTTTTTCATATTTTTTATTCATTTTTTCCTTCAAAATAACAAAATAATAATATTTCTTTCATCAATACTTAAAAAGTAGGAATTAAATTGGTAAGAATAGAGAGAATAGAATAGAAATACTCGCACATAAATATGCACTCAGAATAACTCTTAAATTAACTATTTTATAATATTTATTTATATTTTTATTTATTTTTATGCTTATTAAGTATACAAATTATTGAATTTTAGATTATTTATAGTGAGCAAGTATAGTTTAAAATGAATTTAAACTATAAATCCTGCTTTATTCACATAATAAAATATAATATTTATTTAATTTGCCTTCTTTTTGTTCCAGACCACATTAGATATGGATTTCATTTGTTGGTTCAGATTGAGACTTGTTGTGATATTTTTTAATGTAAGTAAAAATGAATTTAAAATAATAAATATATTTAGACTCTTTTAATTTGTTTATAAGCTTTTTATTTAATTTCTTTTTTTTTTCTTATTTATTGAATTTGTGCTTTTTTTTATTTCTTAATTTAATTCATTTTTTATTTTCAAATTTTTCTTTTATTATTATTCTTATTATTTCATATTTTTTATTCATTTTTTCCTTCAAAATAACAAGTTAATTAAAAATTTTTTTTTCAATATTTAAAAAGTGATAATTAAATTGGTGCATTTGGTGCATCTGGCTTAGTATCTGCTTTAGCAAGTTGCACTAATCTCTCAAAGTTGACACTTAATCTTGGGTAAAAAAATTTTTTGTTTTGGATAGTGATATTTTTACTTTTTAAAATGAGTTTAAACAATATATTAAAACTATTTCGATTTTTTTATTAGCTTTTTATTTACCTTTTTTATTGTATTTGTGTTTTTTTTTTTCTTCAATCTTTGCTAATTTAACTCATTTTTTTATTTTTAAATTGTGCTTTTATTATTATTTTAATTTTATTTCTTCATTTTTTTCTTCTAACTAACTAATAAATTATATATTTTTTCTTCAATATTTAAAAAGTTCCAATTAAATTGGTGATGAAGGTACATCATGCTTAGGTACCGCTTTAGCAAATTGCACTAATCTATCTAATTTGACACTTGATATTTAGTAAAAAAGTTTATTTATTTTAGATTTTTTGATATTTTTAGTTTAAAAAAATGAATTTAAACAATATATTTAAACATTTTTAATTTGTTTATTCGCTTTTTATTTGATTATTTTTCTTTTTCTTTCTCTATCTTTCTTAATTTTACTCATTTTTATATTTTAAAATTTTTTTTATTAATTGATTGATTTCTTATTATTTCTTTTTTATTCATTTTTTCTTTCTAAGTAACTTATTAATTAAATATATATTTATCAATATTTAAAAAGTTTCAATTAAATCGGTGTAATTGGAGTATCAGGATTAGGTTCTGCTTTAGCAAATTGCTCTAATCTCTCATATTTGACGCTCAAAATTTGGTAAAAATAATATATTTTTTATCAATTGTGATAATTTTAGTTATAAAAATGAATTTAAACAATATATTTAAACACTTTTAATTTGTTTGTTAGCTTTTTATTTAATTTACTTTTCTTTTTATTTTTTATTCTACTTGTCTTTCTTTATTTTTCTCCTATCTATCTATCTATCTATCTATCTATCTATCTATCTATCTATCTTTCTTTCTATCTTTCTTAATTTAATTTATTGTCTTATTTTCAAATTTTGCTTTTATTATTATTATTGATTAATTCATTTCTTATTATTTCAAATTTTTTCTTCTAGATAACAAATTAAATATTTTTTCTTCAATATTTCAAAAGTCACAATAAAATTGGTGATGTAGGGGCATAACGCTTAGGTATTGCTTTAGCTAATAGCACTAATCTCTCAAATTTGGCACTTTACCTTGAGTAAAAATTGCTTATTTGTTTTAGATTATGATATTTATAGTTAAAAAAATGAATTAAAACAAACAATATATATAAGCTCTTTTAATTTGTTTATTAGCTTTTTTTATGATTTATTTTTCTTTTTATTTTAAATTGTACGTTTATTATTTTTATCTTTCTTAATTTAACTCATTTTTTTATTTTCAAAGTTTGTTTTTATTATTTCATATTTTAATCATTTTTTTCTTCAAAATAACAAAATAATACAATTTTTTTCTTCTATAAAGCTTCAATAAAATTGGTAAATAAGGTGCATGTGGTTTAGGTTCAGCTTTAGCAAATTGCACTAATCTCTCAAATTTGACACTCTGTCTTAGGTAAAAACATTTTATTTGTTTTCAATTTTGATATTTTTAAATATAAAATGAATTTAAAATAATATATTTAAACTATTTTAATTTGTTTTTATTTGATTAATTTTTGTTTTTCTTTTTTATTACTTACGTTTTTTTTAAATCTTTTTTAATTTATCTTGTTTTTATATTTTCAAATTTTGCTTTTATTATTATTAATATCTTTTTATTTCATATTTTTTCTCCATTTTTTTCTTCTACCTAATTAATAAAATATTTTTTCTTCAATATTTAAAAAGTGATAATTTAATTGATGCAAATGGTGGAGCAGACTTAGGATCTACTTTAGCAAATTATACTAATCTATCAAATTTGACACTTTATCTTAGGTAAAAACAGTTTAACTGTTTTCGATTGTGATATTTTTTAATATAAAAATGGATTTAAAAACTTTTTAATTTATTTGGAGCTTTTTATTTAATTTATTTTTCTTTTTTATTAATTTTAAAGATATTTTTAATTTAAAAATTTTATTCTATCTAATTTTTTTTAGTAATTTATTTTAATTTATAATTAAAGTTAAAATGAAATCAATGAATCATAATAACAATTGAATGTAAAAAGTAAATGTCTTAAATCAAAAAGATTAATTGTCTTTAAAATATATTTCGATTTATTTTGATGATAAACAAGTGGTGAAAAAGGGATGAATAAATATTAAATATTTGAAAAATAGAAAATAATATTAATGTGTTATATTAAATAATATAGGTATTCTCAATATTTTTTAAGATGTATATTATTTTTATTTTAAATTATAGCCAAATGCCATTCAAAAATTTAGTGATTTGAGATCACTATTTTTTTGAATGGCTGATGTATTTGAATATAATTTATATAAAAATAAATAATTTTATAATAGAATTTAATTAATAATATTTATAATTTTAATTTATATCAATCAATCTTTATGATTTTTCTATTAAATTTTTAATTAATTTTAGCCTTTTTAAAAAATTTTTTGTATTAAAAAATTTAAATATATTTTATATGAAAAATAACATAAAATAAATTATTACAATAATATCTTTTAAAAAGTTCAATCTTTTGCTTAATTAACTTTTAAATATTTTTCATCAAAACAAAGATTTAATTTTTTTAATTGGTATGAATATCTTAATTGAGTTATAAATATTTTTATGAAAGTATTTGATAGGTGAATTTGGAAATAAATATTTTGGTTGAGTGAATTTAAAAAATACGACATGATTTTATAATTAAAGAATTTCATATTTCTACGAAGATTAAGTATATATGAGTAAGTTAATAATTTTGTTTATATATGTGCTTGAAAAATATGTGAATACCATGAATTTTATTAGTATTATGTATGTTGAAAACTATTTAAATTTTAAATTAAAAAGAAAAGGGAATTTTAATAATGATATCAAGTAGAGTACTCAAATAGTTGTGCGTGTAAATACTCTAATTTAAATTTGATGAGAATAACATAATTTTAAATTTCTGCAAATTTTAACTATATGCAAAAAGTAAAAGCTTGTAAGATTATATCATGAATGAAAAAAAATTGTTTGCCACCTTAAAAAAAATTATAAAAATTGGTTAAGGTGATTGTGAAGAATGTATTTGTATTTAACCAAAAGTAAGCAAAAATTTTGATAAATTAATAGCAAGCATACATTTATTTGAACTTCTAGTTAATTTGTATTCATTCATAAAATTATTCAAAATAGCAATAATTAATTCTATGAGGAAGAATTTGCTTTTGATTGTTTGTTTGCTTGTTTGCTCGCTCAGCTTTTAATATAATTAATAATAATATTTCTTAAAACAAGTAAAATTATCAAATCTATTCTTAAATTGACTAATAAAGTAGTAGTAAGAAATGATCGATAAAGATTTTAAGAGATTCTATCAAATTAAAAACAACCATCCCATCGAAAAAAAGGTCACATACAGATTCATTGGAATAATCTCTTTTGTTTCATATTTGTTTATCTTTGTTGGGATTTTTAAAATGTACTAAAGTAATTTATTTACGGAGATGTGGATTATAGTTGCATTAGTCATTTTGGAAAAACTAGGCTTTTTCATTTATTTTTATACTCATAAGCAATATGATAAGTGGTATTATCATATCGCTTGGGAGATATTCCACTTTGATCCAGATAATATATTCACAAATGAAGTGAAAAATGGTAACTTTATTCCAAACTAAAACCATCTCGTCAACATTAACCAAAATAATAATAACATCAATAATGTTAACAACATTCAAAATAACAACAACAACAATAATATAAACAATAATAACAACAATAATGTTAATGCCTTAATAGCCTAAAATAAAATAATTAATAAGTATAATTTAAAGATTCCTCTTAATTTATTGGTTAGCGTGATATTTCACTATGCGATACTAAGCTACTTGCAAACTTCTGATTAGCCTTACGAAAAGCAAATGACTTATATGATAATCTCTCTTATCTTGCTTTTTACTAATCAAGTTCTGTTATTTTAAAGACTTTACTTTAGAAACTTAATAAATTTGCATTAATATCTTTATATGATAGCTGAGGGACTTGCTTATCAATACACTTAGTTATCTTTACTCGCATTAATTTAAGAAGTAGGCAACAAGTGGTATGTATATATAATTGCTTTCATATTTGCTGCAGTTTCTCTTAGCATGATTTTAGAAAGAAATACCCATTTATATTTTACTGAGTCTCTTATTTATCTCATGATAAATTAAGTTTTTGGACTTAGACTAGAAGCGGAATTTTTATATTCTAAGCACAACGATAGATGCTAAAAAATATTTAGCTACATACTTTATGGTTTCTTTTCTATATTGTTTTGGGTTGCTCTGCTCTTACTAGTTTTAATTTTTGGTAGTGACAAAATGTACTATCTAAATTACTCTATTCCCATAGGAATTTTAGCTGCATGTTTCTTCTTTTTATTTTAAATAATGGTCATCGTTAGATATATATGGAAATCTCCTCTACAAATTACAAAAATTGTAAGTAAACTTGAAGAAATTGAGTAACTAAGGAAAGCTATCAGTCCAATTACTAAAATAGTTAGTCTTTAAGTGAGTTTCAATAATAATGACACCATGGAGTATCAAAATAAATTAGTAGAGGAAATTACTAAGAAGATACTCTTCAAATATAAGGATATAATTTACCATTTTGTTGTTTTTAACTAGCAGAAAGAACCTATTTTGAATTTAGAATTCCTTTACGACTCTTAAAAAATCAGGATAGTAGGTGTCAGACTAAATTTTGAAAATATTGCCCAACTCGAGTTAATTTGCAACGAAATTCAAATTTAAAAATTCAACTATTTTGATTTTGTAGTTAACATGCAAAATTTAGCAAGCATAAAAAACTAGGCAATACAAAAACTAATTAATTATCCTTTGATTTGTATTAACATCTCTAAAATTTCTAATATCATCAGAGGGGATGAGTCTTTCTTAAATTATTGTATATACATGAAATAAGTATTTTACTAGATAAAAGCTACGCAGATTCATATACAAAACCTTCTAATTAACAATCCTTATAGCATTTACTACGATCTCTATGATGATTTAAGATTTCCATTAATATAAAAAATGGGTAATCATAATAATTTGTAAATAAACATTTGATTTAAAAATATATTGATAAAAAATAAAATATTTTTCAAGACATTAACAAATAAGTAATATTAACTTAATTAGTAAGTGATCAATATTAAGTAAGTAAAAAAATAAATATTAAATAGTTAATAACTATGAAATAAATTCAAACTCATTAAAATTTTCATAATTTAGAAGATTTAATAAAAAGATTTAAAATATATATATAATACTTGTAAATAATAAAAATATACAAATAATCAATAATTATTAAACTGTAATTAACCTAAGAAAAGGTTTTGCATTTTTGAATTCGCCTGTATTTATATAAATATATATAATAAATAAATAAATATTCATTTCTTTTATTGTTCTATTTAATGAATCAATTTTTTAGAATAAATGTTATTGACTTATGAACTTATTTTTGAAATTTTATTTCATTCAAATATTATATTTTATATAAGATGATGAATATATTTATTAATTAAAATATTTTTTTAACTTCAAATAAAATTTCTTTTACTAAAAAGTAATCTATTAATGAAAACAAACATGTATACTTACTTACTATCTTTTTGAAATAGAATTTAATTTTGTTTCAATACTTATTTTAAATAAAAATAATGAAATTTAATAAAACTAAACAATTAAAAAATCAGTTCTAATAACTAAATGAGATGTATTTTTGATAATAATCTAATTAAATTTTTTTTTTTTTCTTCTTTAATGAGCTATCTTAGATTATAAATATGCATCTCATCTTTGTTTATAAAAAAATAATCTATATTTCTCAATCAAAAGATTTTTATTATAAAATAAATTAAGTTAGTTAATATTTTAAAATATTCTTACTATTTAAAAATAAAAAATTACCATACCATTTATTTTGATTATGAATTAAATAGTTTATAATGATGATTTAGATATTATGTTATTATTTGTAATTATTACATTTTATTAAAATAAATATTAAAAATTAAATGGAAGGTTAGTTTTTATAGGGATAATAATAATAGAAATTTTTTTAAGTTGTTTGATAATGATTAAGTAAACTTATTTCTCTTTATTGTTACTTTTGATATTATTATAGCAAAGAAGAAATATTTATTTTAAAAAATACTATAATTAATATCATAAAATTTGAAAAGTAAGTCTATAGATTTATTGAAGGAAATAATTATAAGAGGGGGTTTAATGCCAACTTTTTTCGAAATTATAATACATAATAATTGATTTTTAAAAGCAAGGTATTTGTTTTTAGTTCACTTTGATGATATTTTTATTGAAAGATTCAGTAGCGAAATTATAGATTTTTCTAACTAACTCTTTGAAAACATATAATTAAGTTTATACAAATAATAAGAAAGAAGAAGAGCGAATAAATTTATTAATTCATTTATTTATTATTACAATTAACTTTATTATTTTATTTACTATCTTTACTCATCTTTTCTTTAGTTTTACAAATTATTACTGATTAAGAATTTTAAATAATTAATTATTCACCTAGGATTTATTTATAGATTTTTGTAATAAATTTTATCTTGAATACATATATATAAGGGAAAATATTTTATAATAAAGTAGAGGAATATACAAAAAATACATATTAAGTTTGTTTTTAAAAGTATCTTATGCGTTACTTTATATGAGAACGAAATTAGTTTTGTAAGTATAATAAGTTATTTCGTTTTTTGTCAGTGGGGAAAAATTAATTCAGTAATTTGGATAGCAAAGATATAATTTATTGACTTAAAAAGCCTTTTTAAATTTACTTTTTTTCAAGAGTCTTAAAATATCATTCTAGCTGCTATCTAGAATAGGTTACATTTGATACAAGCTTAACATTACCTTGGGAAAAAGTAAATTATTAAATAAAAATTTGGATTTTAAAATATGTGGAGTATTTTAAATTATTAAGATGATATAAAAATTATGGTATCATTTTGGATTTTATTATGATATATTAATGGATTAGAAAAAAGGAGATAATTAATTTTGGTTGTAAGATATAGATAGTATTTGGTTGATATTAATTAATTTTAATTCATTTAGTAGTGCGAACTTCAAAACAAAACCACACTTTTTTTCAATTTATTAAAAGATTTGGAATCAATGGATATTTATTTATTTTACTTTTTAATCAATTAATAAAATATGGTAGTAAATGATTTAATATTGAGTGTTTTTAGCAGTAATGAATAAGTTGGACAGAGTAATTTAATTTAGATTAACAAATATCATCTTAGTAAATAGCTATTACATTTATAAACTCCTTTAAAAATCAATTAATAGTTAATCAACTATTTATTTATTTATTCATTCCTTTCTCTTTTTTAATAAATTTAAAATTTTATAAAATCAATTGTTTTTTAGTAATATAAGAACGAATTACTCTTTATTTATAATAATAATTTCTTGAAATTGTTTTGATAAAATAAATTAACAAAATAAGATTGATATCAAGCAATTTTGATTTAATTAAGTTAAGTAGGCTTAATTCAAAGCACTTCAATTTAAAATAAAACTAGCAATAAAAAGCATCATCTTAAATATTTTTTATTTTATGAATACTCCATTTTAGGACACTAAAATTGACCAATAAAATATTTAGCTCTATTAAGATATTCCCGAAGAGGAATTTACCAAAAATGTCAATCCTGAGGCTCAAAAATTAATTTTAAAAATCAAGAGAAATGCTTTAAAAAGTCTCTCACCTGATAAAAGTCCTAAATCATTTGATAATTTAGCTAACTTTAATACGACCCAAATGAAGCTACCCAAATCACAAGCGTTCATTACTCTCAATAGCAGCAAGTCAACTCTTCTTCCATAAATATCAAACAATTAGAGTACTCTTAATTGCTTAGAAATGAAAAGTAGATAAACATTTGTAGGCGAGAATTACAAGCAGTAGAGTTTTCTTTCTTAGTTTTAGTCAGGCAAAAGCGAATACTCATATGACTACAACTAAAGAAGGAAGAAGTAAAACAAAACTATTTTTTAAGAAGATAAAATGGAATAAGAGCGTATTGTGAAGCTATCTTATTTAAAAAGCAAATATGATTAGTCTTTGAAAAATACATTTTGTCTTAGAAATAAAAGCAGCTAAATACGATCTATGAGAGAGATTTCTTCAAAATAAATGTCACCATAAAGAACAAACACTCACATAAATGATAAGAGCGCTGTTACTTAATCAGATCAATATAACATAAAAAATATTTTAGGAATTTTTGTTTAGAAGAAAAAAGATGATTAAGAATAGAGCAAATTGCTTTTAAGGCATACACAAAGTTAAAAAACAATTCCATCTCCTTTGATTTCTACTTATAAATATGATAAAATATACAAGATGTTTGTAGAGTAATAAATATTGCAAGCTCAAAAAGAAGCATAAAATTAAGAATAAAATCAGACAACTCAGTTTGCTTTCGATACAAATTAAGTTAGAAAGAAAAGAGTGGTTAAATCTGATTTTAGGATCAAAACGCTTGGGAGCTAAAATGAGCTTGTAGACTATATTGATACAAAGAGAACTTTAGATAATGACTATAGCAATTAATTATCTCCGATTCAGCAAATGTCACACATGTCATACGAGCTAGTATAAAAATAGCCTTACATGTCTCTTTAACAACATAACAGCAAGAATTTAAATAAATTTTTTCCAAGCTCATTCAAATCTAAAAAAGATTACCTTTAATTCATCAATAATCCACTTTCTTTGTAAGGATCAAACATTCAAACTAGCGCTTAGAATACATAAAATATATTTTCTAACAATGCCATCAAATAAATATTCAATAATTCACCTTCTAAAGATACTTCTTCTGACGAACTGAATTCAAATTAATCTTAAGATCTAATCAAAAAATCATCTTTTTAATTATCACTCTAATAAAAGCATTCTCAGTAGCATAAACCTTTTGGTAGTTTCACTCAATCCTCTTTCAAAAGAATTGCTACGGATGCAATTGATATGATAAATAATGGAGAAGAAAGAGATAACAACAACTTTTAAAACAGAAGAAAATTAACACAGACAAAATCTAGTAAGCATGATATTTTATCGAAATTTGGCTCTCAGGATTTTGAAGATGATGAAATTTGTAGCCCAGTAATTGATGTTCACATTGCTTTAAATAAGTTAAACGACTTAAAAATAAATGAAGATTCTAAATTAGAACTAGATAATTCAGAATAAAAATTAATTTCCTTAAAAAAAATAAATGATAAAAATGGTGAGTCATCAAAGCCAAAATCAAAAAAATAAGTCGATTTCGAAATAGGTGAAACTAAAAAGTATAAAACAACTAAAGATTTAAATAGTGAAGAAAACTCTAAAACAGAAAACCATTCTTAATAAGTTTAGTCTTTGAAGCAATTAAAATCTCAAGAATTTGGATATGAAAGTGAGGATTCTGAAGATGACGATAGTGGAGATATGGATTAAGATAATAATAAAAAGAGGATTTTAAAGAATTAACCATCAATTTCTTTAAAAGTAAAAGGAGATCAATAAAACTTTGAAAGTGAGGTAGAAGAAGCTTCTGACTCACATGGTTTCGTTCTTAAAAAGACTATTGATTTCGCCCAGCTTAAAGAATTGCGTGATAAAACAATTAACAGACTGAATGGTAATTAAATAGTGAACAGGAGATCATCAAACAGCTTAACTTTAAAAAGAGAAAACAAAAATAAATTTCATCCTTTGGTCTCACCTGCTAAATTCTCAGGAAAACAAATTTTCGATTTCAATTCAGATGGAAATATCAAATCCCATGGAAGCACAGAGAAAGAAATAAAAGAAGAAAGTAAGAAAAAAATAAGCATCAGGTAATATTTCAAAAGTGGGAATGGGAAAAAGAAAGGAAAAGGTAAGAAAAAGATGCAAGAGCAATAAACTTAAGAAGAAAAATAAAAGCAATAAGACTTAAAAATAGCTGAAAAACTGGATGGATTAAAGGATAAGCTTCGAACTTCTGTGAAAGTAGTTATAAGGTAGCAAATCCAAAAGAAAATACAGAGTACTCTTTCAACAAAGATTTTAAATAATCTCTAAATAAACGAAATTGAGGAGTAAAATTAATATAATGAATTTGATGATAAATTAATTGATAACCCTTTTTCACTTGAATCTCCGTTTTCAGATTAATCTATGTTTGGTGGACTTAACTAATAATAAATTAGCAATTAAGCTAAAATTCTTTCTCCTACATCATCCAAAGATACATCTTCTTTAAACCTTAAACAAAATTCTTCAATAAGTGAAAAATTTAACCCAAGAAAACCATCTTTGCAAATTCAAGTAAGTTAAAATAACTCCAAAAAAAGTTCTATCCATAATAGTGTCTCTCCCAAAAGCGAAGGTCCAAATAACTAACAAAAGTAAGTAGGACTCTCAAAATATTCAAATAATAACAACAATTAGTCAAATTAAAATTCACAAAAAAATAATTAACTCGTCTCTCCGAATAAAAAACTTTAAAATCCAACCTATGATGAACAACAAAAAGAAGTTTAGCAATATTCTTCTGCTATTATGTCCTTTTTTAATGCTTGTGTTGAGAATATGAAGAATAACACAACTTTAATCTCTCACGATTTCCAACTTAAAAACCTTAAAAATTTCAATCAACAATTCAGCTAGGATTTAGTTGAATAATTTGCATAAGAAATGAGAAATCAAAAAATGTCAAACCAAGAAGTAGAGAGATTTAAATATATTTATGAGATCAACACCAAAATGCACGTTTTCTATAAAGTAACAAGATTATCATTAATTAGCATTAAATTTATATTTCTCATAATTTTTAAGGATTAAACAAATCCTTTTTTAATTATTATTTTCTTTTGGAATTTAAAAATATTTAAAATTTTATCATATTTAGTAGGCATAGATCGAATAATATTCGGTTATGCCAAATAAAATTTTTTTTATAAAATAATTAGTGAAAAATTTGGTATTTGAAAAAATTTTTCAACCCTACTGATGATAAATATTATTAATTTTATTTATTAAACAAATAATAAATTAAGTTAATTTTATTTAGATTATTTTTAATAGATTAAGATTATTTATTTTTTTAATATAGTATTTGTGATTTTTTAAATTAAAATTAAAATTTTTATGATTTTTAAATAGAATTTTAAAAAAAATAGGGAATAGTATAGCTTCTAGGAGGAATTAACAAATTGCAAGAACTTATTTAATAAATTATTAAAAAAATATCTTCTCATCTAACAATATTATCAGTTAATCATGTATTTTCTGCTGAGTAAATGTTTAGAAGAATTATTCCAGGCATCTGTGCTTTGTTGTGTGAAGATCATAAGCTATTTTACTAAACCTTAAAGATATTTATGGCAACAAATAAGGAAGATTAATTTTCATATATAGATTTCTATTTTATTAAAAAGTACATTTATAGTTTTCTAACCAAACAAAAGAAAAATGAAATCAGTCAGCAACTTTGCCTACTGATTATGTAAAAGATAGAATCTGTAAGAAGATTTGTTTTTCCAATAAATGTTTTATAAGACTAAAAGCTGAGAGATACAGTCGCCTAAAAACTTTTTGAATGTGAAAAATTTATGGAATTTTTCTGTCCTCAGTTCGAACTAAAGCATATAAAGAATATAATTCATCATATATATGAATACTTTTACTATGATGGAGAAGACTAACAAATACTAGAATTCAAATCTATCAGAAAAGCTATTGAACCTTTTGTTAAAGGTAAAGTTTCTAGAAAAATATTTGACTACATAGAACAATTTACATAAAAGGCTTTGTAAGAAGATCCTTTTACACTAAATGTAATTTTGCGCGATCTTCACTATAAATTTACAAAAGTTAGACTTCGTTTTGGATACAACTAAGGCATTTTCGGAATTGTTAAATTTAATGAAATACCATAATTAATAGAAGCCCTTAAAGAAGAAATAAGCAATTCTGTTGAATATGGTTTGCTTGCTGAGCTTAGCGAAGTAGAATAACAAAAGGTTAAGGATACTTCATTTATGCATAAATACTTGAGGTTTTTGCTCTCTGAGTATGACATATTTTCTGTTTATGATGCCTCTGTAGCTATGTCCTATCTTGGAGTTACAGTTAAGTTCTTTAAGTTTTGGCTATGCTGCTTACATAGCGTCATGCTCACTAGATATAATCTTCAACCTTCCAAAGTGTAAATCTTTATGAGGTTTGTTGAAGTTTGCTGTCCAGCAATTTGAAGAAATTGTAAAACCAACTATTCAATATTTCACTATTTATTTATTTTGCAAACAATATTTTTAGCAATTTATTAAAAATCATTTCAAAAAATATTTACATTATAGTAAATTTATAACCTATAATTAATATCAACAAATAAAATTTTAACATAAACTTTATTAAAAGAAAAAAGTAAAGAAACTCTTTATTTTAAATAAAATATCTTAAAATTTACTTACATATTTTAATAAAATAATTTATTTGCAAATCCATCCTGTCTCTTTGTTTTACATTTTTAAGTAATATGATTCATGAATATTTTAAAAATCTAAATGAAAAAGAATTTTATTTATTTTATTAATTATTTGAGCTTGCTTATTGAAACAAAATAATTCATTTTTAAAAATACTTTTATTTTTATTATTTAAAAATTAAATTATATATGTATCAATAAAATATACTTTAATAAAATATTTTCAATTAAAAAATAAAATAAATTTACTTTACAAAAATAAATAAATAAATACCTCAAATTCTAATTAATTCTGAAAAATCTTCCTAATGATTTATAAATAAATAAATTTTAAAAAATTTAAATGATATTTCATAAAAAAAAATTAGTTATATGAATAGATTTTACAATTTGCAGTTTATATAATTAATTATCTATCTTTTAATAAAAATAGTATTAAAATCAATATTTTTAAAACCTTTAATTTTTCAATAATAATAAGTAATAAATAAAATATAATCAATTTTATAATATTAATTAATTGGATAAAGAAAAATTTGTAATTTAATTTTTGTTTCAGTAAAAGGAGGATTTTAAATAAAATAATTCTACTTGACTTTATATTAAATAATTTATGAAAAAATTAGAGAGCTGAAAGAAAAAAGAAAGATAGATAGATATTATTGATATTATTATTATAAGATGATGATGAATATAAAAACGTGCACTCGATAAAGAGCTACAATCTTTATGTCATCAAATATTTAATTAAATAAGCAAGCAAGCTATCAAACATACACATATACATAAACATAATTAATTTAAAAAGAAAGTAGCAGATGCAAAGAAAAAATGCATAAATTTCAGTAATTTAAATAAATATTTGAATTTTTAAAATTTAGGAAATGATTAAATAAATTTTTGTATAATCTTATAGAGTGAATTAAAGTCAGAGAAGGAAATTTTTTATTTATATTAATACTTTGTCTGATTAACTCTTCAGAAATTATTATATTAAATAAACAAAACAAAAAATTAACTCCCAACTTTGGTTAAGGAAAACAACACAATAAATAAATTACTTAGCAACTCAACTAAATTTCAAATGGATAACAAGAAGACTAGCGTTAAGGTAGATTGCAGCAAACATTTTTACATATTCTTATTATAAGTTTTAAGCTCTCAATAATGACTTTCTTCATTGATTAATTAATGCTTTTTTTAAAAAAGGTTCACAACCCTCCTGGCGGTGCTTCCAATTTCACAATCGGAGGTGGATATGAGTAAGAAGCTCCTAAGAAGACTGTCACTCACAACTCAAACTAAGAATCAACTGAAGTTAATGATCCTTCTAAGACCTCTGTCAAGGTACTTTTTGCTTACTTAATATCAATAAAATTATAGAAGCAGATTATGAAAAATCGCATAGTTTATTAATCAATTTTTATTTATTTTTACAATTATACTAGCATATAAAATGGCCATATTATTAATAATACAAAATTTAAAAATGTCTTTTTTTAAGTTTCTTTCAATCAACTAAATAATTAGGTTCATTAATAGCCTGGCGGTAATTCCAACTTCACTTTGGGTGGAGGTTACGATTAACCTGTAAAGACATCTGTTAGAGTACACCAATAAGCTACTTCAAACATTTTCGGAGGATATGAAGAATAACCAAAACCTTAAAAGCAATTGAACTAACATCAATAGACAAGCAATATTTTTGGAGGTAATGAATAACAACCTGTTCAATAAAGAGGTGGCAGAGCTTAAGTTGCTGGATAAAACTAAAATAACTCTCATAACAATATCTTTGGTGGTTATGAAGAACCTGTCAAGAAGCCTGTTTAACAATAATAGCAATAGTAAGCAAGCTAATAGACCCAATAGTAGGATGCTAAGACATCAGTAAAGGTTCACAATCCTCCTGTAAGATTTAATAAGCATTAATTCATTTTTAAAATTTGTTAAATAAAAAAAAGGGTGGCAAATCTAACTTCACTTTGGGTTGAAAAGAATGAAGAAAACATTAAAAAAGAGTTAGTAAATAGAGAGTTAATTTGCAATAATATCCTACTGAATTCAATAAGATTTATTTATCTATTTTTCAATGTATCTAAGCATTAAAATGAAAAAGATATCTAAATAATTTGTTTAAACAAAAGGAATATACATAAATGGTTCTTTTGAATGTGTTCCTCCTTTAAATAAAGGCAAATTTAGTTGTAAATCATGCTTTTTCTGCAAATCAACAACATTTCGTTGCAAATCAAGTTTCAGGTGGAGAATTGCATTAAATTGTCAAATCTCTATTCCAAACGTGTATTATGAACAAATTGACTCCCTCTATTCTCTAATTTTTTTCTCCTATACCAAATTAAAAATATATTAAAACAAATCATGCAAAAATTCATTTATGAATTGCTTATTAATTAATTAAATAAATGTCATAAAATAAAATGATTAATAAATAAATAAATAAACAAGTAAATTTAATTAATTTATTTGTCACCTTAGCTAGTAAAAATAAATTAATAATTCACAATTAATTTAGAGGAATGCTCATATCAAATAAAACATCAAACCTAAATTAAAATTTAATAGACACTTATACACAAACAAACACATAACTGGTTGATAATATTTATATTAAAATAATTTAATTATTTATTTTGATTGTATTCTAATATAACAATGATTACTTACTTACTTATTTATTTGTTTGATTTATTTATTTTTATTATTTGCATCATTTATTTCTTTGTTATTCTTAAAAAGTTTCATTCTTTAATCTTATCAAAATTAATTTAAATTTTCCTTTATCACTAATTTCTTTACTAATAGTCACTAATACTTTTTTACATAAGTACAATTATCCTTCAAAACATTTAAGTTAAAAAATAATCTTTTTGAAAAAAATTTATTTTATTTATTTATTTAAGTTCTATACATTATCATTTACATTCAAAAAATTTATAAATTTAATGTATTTTGCTGCTCTTCTACTCTTATTTCCTATTTTATGTTTTGTATTTTATTTAATTTTTTAAATTAAATTTTAATTTACTAATATGATCTCAATATCTCCTTAGATATTTTTTCTAATTTAGATTCTTCTAAATCCATAAGTTGGTTTGATTCATCATTTATTTATTACGTCTATTTTGTTTATTTATAAATGTATTTAAATTAATAATTATATGTGATTTTTCTATTTGCTTTTGCTATTTCAAATTAAAAAATTAAAATAAAGTTGTTTTTTATATAATTAAATAATCAATGTAGTAAATATTTACTATTTAAAAATTTTAATATTAATATTAATTAATAAACAAAATTAAATAATCATTCTTCTAAAAATATGTTTATTGTATTAGAATTGTAAATTATATGAAAAATTAAAACAATTTTACGCTATGTAATGCAATAAGTTCTTTTTGTAAAATAATGTTAAGTTCTTAGCAAATGATTTTTTAGTGAGTATGAATGTCAATAACATAATCCTAAGATATTATATTTTTTACCAATTTATTTGATTTATAATCAAGTTTTTATGGCTTTTTATCTTGGTATTAAATATTAAACATATTATTAGTATATCTAGCTGATTAAGAATATTCTAGTTATCTCTATCGAATTACAGATGACTGATTATATTGTTGGAGATGAGGATTATAAGATACGGATTTTGATCTATTAATCATCTTCAACACATCTTCATGTTCCCTTAAGAATGAAATCATTTTTATTCTTTTTTCTTGTTCTACTTTTGCTTGAAACGTTGTCATATTGGCTTGTTGGATAGAAGGGGTTTGGGTTAGGTTATAAGCATTAAAATCAGAGTTTTATTTATAACGAGGTTTTTATATGAGCTATTTAGCAGTTGTTTATTGTGAAGGTTCTGTTTACTAATTTTGTTGAGAATCTTAAAAGTTAGAGGAGGGTTATTAACTTTTTTTCTTTCTAATGTCTACTTAAGAAGAATTTACCCTGTTAAATTAATCTTTTTTGCCAAAAGCTAATATATTTATGTTGTTTGGCTAGCCAATTATTTAATCTTATTTACTCTATTGATCATTATTAGACGACAGATTATCATCTTTTGGATTTTATTTTTTATTGAAAAAGCTTGTAGGAGTAGAAATTTAATTCTAAAAAAGATTTTGTTTCTTAGTGTCGTGAAATGTTGACATCATGAAACTTTCGTTATTTTGAGATGAGTAGACTGATTTGTCTAGCTTTATGGATTCATTATATCTTTAAATCGTATTCATTTCTTTGATAATTTACTGCTTTTCTTTTTCGTGATCTGCTTGTATTTTTGCTTTCACTTTTGCCATTTCTCTTTTTTCATTTTAAATTTTCAGAAGTTTTTCGTTATCATCTGAGATCTTTTAAAGTATCTTAAAGCGCTATATTTCATGTTACTTTTCTACTCGTTTAGCATTATTTAGAGTTTCCTCAATTCTTATTTAATGATCGTAGCATTTTAGTTGCTTATCATAGTATCTTTCGGTCCTATTTTGCTAGGCTCTCTCCATAAGCTAATAAATAGTTTGTTCTTAAACTTGATTTTTTTATTGTAAATCAATTAATGATTTCTGGAATTATTCTTTCACTTTATTAATCTTATCTTATCTGAGTCTGGCATTTTCCTTTCTTTGGTTTTCTTCTCTCATATACATCTCCTAGATACTTCTTTCCTTTTCATGGAAAATTTACTGCTGTTCTTGCTTTTTCTCTTCTTCTTACTGCATTTTCATAAACTAATTAAATCACATCAAAAATATTTTAAATAAAAATCATCCAAGACTTATTTAAAAATTTAGATTAAATTAAAAGTTAGCATTTTATTTATTACCTTTTATTGAGTAATTTATTAACTTTTGCTTTCTGAAGCAGCTCTTCTTTTTTAGAATTTTTGATGTAATTATTCCTGAAATAGCTTTTTTTTATTTTCGTTTACAACTTCCTTCCTTTAATAGTTCTATGAATTAATTTTTTAGTTAGAATTTTAATCAGTAGAAGTTTTAATTAATTACTTATAATATTTATTAGATCGAGGCTTACTGACCTTCTCTGATTTGAACTATTTTTTATTCAAGTTTCTCTCTTACTTCTTAATTTTTCTACTTTTTGGTTTCAAACTCTTTTTGTTTTCCGAGCATTTTCAATTGCAATTAAGATTACTTTTCTTAAAACTTTTATTGCAGTCTTTTCTGTTCTTCTTATCTTTGCTATTCCATTTCTATATTTTTTTGCTCCCTCAAACTTTTTTACTCTTCATTTATAAGCTATCTTTTCCTTTATTCTTCAATCCTTTTTTCTCCTAAAAGTCTAATTTTCTCCTTCTTGTGCTCATTTCTCTTATTTTAAAGGTTTTATTTTATTATAGATGATAAAAAATAACTTGTTATTTATTTTACTCTTCTTATTTCTTCGATTTAAATCTAATTCTTTATTAAGAAATCAATCTGTTTTCTTTGTTTTTCTTGAAGCTTTTCTAATTTCTTTTTTTCTTTTTCTAAGTATTCCTCTCTGCTAAAACTATAGGATTAAAAAGTGCTGTTCATCTGCTTTTTTAAATAATTTCTATAAATATATTTTAGTTTTAAAATCATTTTACCTACGAAATGTTTTGGTCTTTTTTTTCATTTTCTCTCAAAAGTTTTTGTCTCAACTATGTTTAAAATAAAAAATCAATTGAAATCTTCTACTATGAATAAAAAAGTAGTAGTTACCTCTCTTACTTATTCTATTCTGTGTAGTCTTCTGATTTCATAGTGTTGCATTTTCACTTCTACAAATTCATCCAACCTATTAAGAGGAATATCCTCCAATTTTTTCTTCGTTTCTAACTCAATTTGTTCTTTATTGATTTTCTTAAGGTCTTCTTATTCATATCCAAGTAGCTTAATTGCTTTTAATGTAGTAGGACTAATAATAATTATAAATATATATAAATAACCGAATTTCCTAAATAAACTTACCTATTAATATCCTAATCAGTGTTTGCTTCTTGATTAAAATTAAATGCATTTATTAAAAGCTTCTCTGTCATTTTGCTTGGTTTATTCGTTTTTCAGTATAAACAATTTAACTTTCTTTAAATTAATTATTTTTACTCACTAAAAATTATTAATTTTTTATAAAGTGCAAACAATTTGTATTTTTAATAACAACAACAACAAAAAAATACAAAATAACTTAATGTTTCATTTTAACATCTTAATAATATTTTTATTTTTTATAAGCCTTAATCTATTTATTGTCATAGTGATTTATTTCCTAATTTAAATCGATATTAAAATTTAAAAAAATAATTTTTGTCATTATTGTAAGAAATTTTTTTACAATTAACGTTAATAAAAAATTTCAAAATAAAGCAAAATTTTTTGTTTTAATGTGATTAAATTACCATAATATTTTATGAGTTAATAATATTAAACTAATTTTCATACATAAATTTATAAATAAATAAAATAGCTTAAAATCATAAATTGTTAGAGTAATATATATCATAGCTATTAAAATTTTATTAATAAGAGCAATGAGAATAAAAGTGAATTATAAAATATCTTTTGCAATTGATATTATTTCTTTAAATTATCTTCTAAGCTTTTTATTTAAGAGTCAGTCATCTCTTTATTAGTTATTTTTGAACATTTTATTTTTCATTTTCAATAATTTTTTAATAAATGTTTAAAAAAATAAACTTTTTTGAATAACTTGAAAAAATGTAAAATGCAATGCCAAAATAAATTACTAGAAATAATATTTTATAAATGTAAATAGTAAACAATTCTATTAAATTAATAAATATTAGTTAGAATTTCGTTTATTTGAAATTATAAAAGATATTATTTATTTTAGGTCTTTACAAATATTTATTTATCAATTAAGTTATTGGATTTGAAGATATATTTTTTTTAATTAGCTTGAAAGATGATGATATATTTTATGATAATCAATGATATGAATCTTTTAAAGTGGTAAATATGCGAAGTGAATTTACCGAAATTATTCAATTATTAATTGATGATTATTTTATTTTTAATTAATTAATTAATGAAAAAATTATGAGGATTTGTTTGATAATAGCAAGCAAAAATTTGCGAGATGTCATACAGACAGACAGATTCTTCTTGGTTATTTATAAATAAAATTAATTAACAAGGCTAAGACAATAAATAAAAATATATAATCAAGAGAAACCAAAATCAAGCAAGCAATAAATAAATAAAAAGCAAATAAATAAATAGCAATTAATATTGTCAAATAAATTAAAGCAAAATCAATAAATAATTTTTTGGAAAAATAAATGGCTGAGGAATACGATCCCGAACACAGACTTTCATAAATGAAGAAGGCCATCTAAGAAAAGGCCTAATTTATTTAAAAAAATTTTGAAAATTAGGCAAGAGAAGCTTATGAATAAGAATATAACAAGTAAATCGAAACTGAAAAAACTAGAATTACCGAAAGAATGACTTCTGATAGAAGCAAGTTCATTTAAGAAAAGAAAATGTAAATAAATTCTATTACAGGAATAATTATTTGTCTCGTCATGAGTTCATTAAATATTTGAGATAGGCTTTATTTATTTATAATTAAAGCAATAGACTTTATAAAAAACATATTTTAGTTTGAAGATAATTCATTTTGTGCAGATTGATTGCGATTGAATACCTCAATATAAAAAAGAATTTATTTATTTTAAGTGATCAATTTAGCACTCTTTTTAGAATAAAATAGCATTCAATTTTAGGAGTTTAATACAAAAATGTTTTTGTTTTATGAATTTATGATAAGCACATGAGTTTTTTTATAAAATTAAAGTGAAAAGTCACGTCTTGTTAATGAATTGAGACTCTCAAAGATGAGCAAAAGATACGGTTTTCTTGAGGATTTAAAGGGAGATATTAGAAAAGAGCTTTAAAATAGACTCTGCAATAAGGAAGACTAGAAAAAGCTTTTGAAAAATCTTATCCTCCAAGTAAGAATTTAGAATTGAAATCTGAAAAAAAAAATAATTTTTGTGAAGCACACCAAGCAAACAAATAAATAAAAAAGCAAAGCTAAAAAATATATAAAAGAAAAATAAATAAGATTCTTTCAGCTTTATCCAATATTTTTTGAGCAAGCAAGATATAAATTTGGCAAGTAATAGATTAAAGGAATTATGTATTTATTTACTTCATTCCTATAAGAATAAACAACTTTGTATTCTATATTAAAGAAAAAAGCAAAGTGATTTTTACAAATTTAGTAAACATATCACATTTTTTAAAGATATCCTGATCATTTATTAAAGAACAAAATAAACTTTGTGTTTATTTATTTGTTTGTTTGGTTTGTTTGGATCAGAATTGTTTACCAATAATTTTCTTACAGTTTACAAATGGAAATAAATCATTAATAAATAGGCTATGATTAAGTTGATGGAACCTGAAACTACTCTTAGATGCTTGAGAAATGATGTCGCTGTCATAGAAGGTTTGATTAAGGAATGCTAAACAGAATTTAACTAGCTTGTTCAAAAAGAATGTAAAAAGACTATAGATTCAAAAATTAAAATTGACAGAGACAATTTCTTAGATGAACAGTAAAACTATTTATTTATTTATTTACTTATTTTGTAATTCTAATATTAAATTTCTTTAAATCTTTAAAAGTTTATTGGGTGGTATTGTTTTAACTTGCTTAAATGGAAATATAGTCGTTTCTAACACTATTGATTCCAGAATCGACTTTGCTTTCTAAGAAATGCTTCCTGAAATCAGAGAAGGTTTGTACCCTGACCCAGTTAGAGCTGCACATGATTCTAAAAGAAAATAAGAATAGCTCGCTGCTCAAATGGCCGCTGCTAATAAAACTCATTGAGCTCTTCATTTAAAATCTATACATTTCTATATACTATTAAAATTGTTAAACTTAACATTTATACTCATACCTTTTTGTTTGTTTTGCGGTTTTACCTGATTAAAATATTTTTTAAATCAACTAAATCCTGCGTTAGACGGAAGATTTCCTTAATTTAATATCTAAATTCTTACATCTAAGTATTGAAACTTTAAAATAATGATTATAAAATAGCATTTTAAATTAGTGAAATTAAACAAATATAAAATTAATTGGATATATTTTTGTTTATTTTTGTTATCCAAATTTATTATTTTAATTTGTCAATATAATATTAATAAGTAAGTTTAATGAAATTTTAGATTATTCAAAATTTGCTTTTTTTAATTTATTGGATGAATATTCAAATTTCAAATTAAAATTACATTAAATTAATTTTACTTGAAGCTCATGAATTCATTATTATTTATAATAAGGTTAAAAATTATTTATTAATAGAAAATAACATTTTAGAAGATATTTGTTTGTTTGTTTGTTTTAATATTTTTTAATTATTTTAACATTAATGAGGGGGAAAATATTTTATCATTTATTTTTTAAATTAATTAAAAAATTTTTTTGTTTAATGAGGAATGCTTAAATGAAATAAATTAGTTTCTGCTCATATATCATGAAGTGGATGTAGCTCAATCGGAAGAGCGTAAGATTGTGGCTCTTGAGGTAGAGGGATCGAAACCCTCCATCCACACTTTTTTTATTTTTAAATTATTTAAATTCATTGCATTTGATTAATAAAATTAAATTAATACTAATTTTTCTTTCAGCTAGCGTTTGTTTTACCTTCGATGATTTTTTTGATTTATACATGAATGTAAGTTGTAATTGATAAAAGCTTAAATGAAATGAGTATGAGTTTTCATATATATCATGAAGTGGATGTAGCTCAATCGGAAGAGCGTAAGATTGTGGCTCTTGAGGTAGAGGGATCGAAACCCTCCATCCACACTTTTTTTATTTTTAATTTGAATTGTGCTTTATTTTATATAGAAAAGTGTAAAATAGTTTTTCTCTAAAAGAATTATTTTAAAGTCAGCTTCCTAAATTATTTTATGACAAATAGGTAAATAAAATCTGAATTTATTTATAAATTTTTTATTAAATTCAGCTCATTACTTTGTTAATTGAATATTTATATCAACTTAAAAAAATACTTAAATGAAATGAGTATGAATTTTCATATATATTGTGAAGTGGATGTAGCTCAATCGGAAGAGCGTAAGATTGTGGCTCTTGAGGTAGAGGGATCGAAACCCTCCATCCACACTTTTTTATTTTTATGTTATCTATTAAAAAGTGTAGACTAACTAGACGGATTCCTATTTTTAAGAAAATTAAAGCATCTAATTAAAAATATTAAATAAACTAGATTTAATGTAATAAGAATTGAGTACTAATGTTTTTGTTAAGAAGATGTAAAGTTTAAATTTTAATGAAGCTACCTATTATTAATAAGCATAATCTATAACAGTAAAAATAAGCTATATTAGCTTTATTTTGCTTTTTTTAGTCTAAGTATAATTTTAATCCAGAATTTAATCATATGTATACTTAATTTCTTGTTTCTTTTTTTAATAAACAAAAATGAAATCAGTAAGTTGTTTCATATATTTCATGAAGTGGATGTAGCTCAATCGGAAGAGCGTAAGATTGTGGCTCTTGAGGTAGAGGGATCGAAACCCTCCATCCACACTTTTTTATTTTATATTTTTTAAAGTTTTAATTGTTGCAAAAAATTTTTAAGTTGCTACTTACTTTTTCTAAATACATCATTTGTAACTCAAATTATTTTATAAAAATTATTTTCATAAAAATTTTTTTAGGATTAGTAGCAATTAGAAATGTTCTCACTAAAAAGTGGTTTCATATATTTCATGAAGTGGATGTAGCTCAATCGGAAGAGCGTAAGATTGTGGCTCTTGAGGTAGAGGGATCGAAACCCTCCATCCACACTTTTTTTATTTTATATTTTTTAATTTATCCTTAAATTTTTATTTTTTACCTTAAATTTATTAAAGTAGATATTTATTTTTAAGAAAATTAAATATTTTAGAGATACTTGTAATAAATATTTTTTCCCATCCAATTTTTTTATAAAAGCAGTTTGTTTTTAGATTTATTCTCACTAAATTATGATTATATTAATAAAATAGCTTAATTTTCTTCTGATATAAACATTTATTTTTGTTATAAGTAATTAGCTTCATACATTTCATGAAGTGGATGTAGCTCAATCGGAAGAGCGTAAGATTGTGGCTCTTGAGGTAGAGGGATCGAAACCCTCCATCCACACTTTTTTATTTTTATAATTTGATTAAATTATCACAAATCAAAATAAATTTTTTAAAGCACAAAACAAAAAAAAAGAATAATATTATCTCAAATTATTTTTAATTTAAGCAATAAGTAAAAACTAATTTTTACAGGAACTCATTAAAAGTTTAAGTTCTAAAACCAAAATATTTAAATTTACTTTCTTTACTTAATCAGCTTCATAAGAATATTTTTAACCATTTAATTTTAATATTTTAAGACAAATTATTTAATAAAATATCTTCAATTACTTAAATAACTTAGAATAACTATCATCGATCAATTACCTTAATTATTTTATCTTCGATTTTAAATATTTTAATGGAGTTAGATGAAATAAAATACTAATAAATTTTTCTTAATATTCCTGATAAATTTTACAAAAAAATTTTAATTAAAAAGAAAAATGTAAAATTAATTAGGGATTAAAAAGCATTATATTAAAAAGTTTATTATTTTTATTCTTTTTAATTAGCAATCTTGAGAATTTTTAATCATTTAAAATAAATATTTGATAAATAAATTATATACATTCTCTTAAAATGCTTTTTTATCATGTAAAATTTTAAGTTAAATAAACACTTTTAAGTAAATTAAATAAATTCTAAATAAAATTGTTACAAATAAAAACATTAAATAAAATAGTATTAGAAAATAATGAATATAAAATATTCTCTTAAAGTTTTATACCTATTGATTATAAGCCAGGATATGCATTCATTACATAAATTTTAATCATTTTTAACCTTATAATATCTGCAAATTAATTGATGAATATTAGAATAAAAACCTTATTAAAAAGAAAAGCTTTTAAGATTTTATATTAAAAAAAACCAAAAAAATTAAACTTTAATCATTAAATACATACTGTGATACTCATTGAGAGTAATATCCTCTAATGATGAAAGATGATTTTCCTTTAAAGGCATGATAAACTCAAATAAATTGTTTCTAAAAAGATCTACGAGTATTATAAAGACTAATAAATATAGTTAATATGTCATCCAAATATTTTCTTTCAGAAATTAACTGTAAGGTTATTTAGAAAACTTCAAAAAATTCTTTTAAGAAGGAATGTTCTTTTGATTTGAATAAATTCAAGTGCATATTAAATAATTAATCATAGAAAACGTAATACAATTCTGGGTATTATAATTTGTAGCGAAGTAATATACAAAAATAAAAAAATAAGGGTATATATTATTTGATACCCTTCCTGAAGACTCTAAATTAGCTAATTGATAAAATTTATAAATATAGCAGATGAGTTAAGCTAAAAGAAATAAAAAAATTATAATATACTTATATATTGCTTAACAATATCTTGGAAAATTACATAAATAAATACAATTTTTATGTAAATTTTGAAATAGAAATTAAATGGAATTTAACTCACATTACATGAAAAAATGTGCTATTTACTAAATGCTATGAAATAAGTTAGAACATTGAAGATATTGATCAAGAAAAATTAAATCATCCATACAAATAATTGATCTAAGTTATAAAAAATATAGGCTCAAGAATACCTATATATTCAAAAGAATAATAATTATTATTAAGTAAAATAGTCAAATATTTTTCCTAACTGTTTCTATTTTTTGTAAATAGTAATCATAATATTCAAAAAATTATATAAATGAGGTCTTTCAGTTAGATAAAAAGATTTATTCTAAGGTAGAGATGATCGATCAAGTTCAATAACTAACAAGTACTTAGTGGTATCAAAAAGTTTAATTTACATAAATAATATTTATTGTTTTTATAATGTGTATCCTCAATAATTAAGGCTATATTTAGAAGGTTTTAAAGATTATGTCAGGGTAACATTTTTTGACTCTAAATTTCTGGGAGGGGTTAGAAGGGTTATTGAGGCTTAAGTTTACGTGGTGAGTAATGTTGGGTTATGATAACAGTTATTGCAATAGGTAATATTTTCTCTTCTTGTATACAAAATATTCAAAATATAAAATAGGTAATATGATAAGAGTAATTAAAAATCAACTAAATTTTATCTTTACAATATAATATATTTTATTTCATATTTCTTATTTTAATTATATTATTTAAAAAATAATAACAATAAAATACCAAAATATTCTTTTAAATAATTAAAGCTATTAATATAGTTCTATTTTTAGATAAAATTAAATCAAATAGAAAGTTGGGAATTTTAGTAAAAAATTGATTTAACTTTCAGGTAACAAAAAATAAAAATAATAATCAACTGAAAATCGTTAATAATTCTTTTTTTTTATAAAATTATCCTTTGAATATTTTTTTATTTAGTTTATTGGTTATTTTATTCTAATATTTTATTTTTAAGAAAGTTTCACAAATAAATAAACTTGAAATTACTTTCGTTTTTGCTAGAATCAATAATTTCGACTACAATATTTGCCTATATTTTCCAAAGCAATTATTTCACAACACCCGTCTAGCTCAGTCGGTAGAGCGCCAGCCTTTTAAGCTGGTGGTCGAGGGTTCGAGCCCCTCGGTGGGTGATTTTTTTCCTACTTTTTATTCCATTTTTAGGATATAATTTTTTTGTTTGTTGAAATCGGTAATTTCAAATGATTATCAATAAATTATTAAAATATTTTTGATTTAAAATTTTATTTTTTTAATTCATTTAAATGATTTCAAAATATTAATAAATGCAACAATTTCTGATTATCAATCAATCAGAAATAATTTAAATTTTAAAATTTGATCAGAATTTAGAATTACTTTATTAAATTGTTTTAAATTAAACTTTGAATTATATGTCAAAAAATAATTTATTTAAAAATAATTAATTGATAAAAAATCTAAGATTTTTAAACGAATTTCTATCAGACATTTGACTTCTGTATTAAATAAAAGATAGTAGAATTATTAACTCAATTAGTATTCCTAAAGCTTGATCTTAGTTGTGTCTTTTGGATGTTAAAAATTAATTCAGTTTTTAAAATTTTGTTTATTTTCTACTTGAGACGAAGCAAGTTATTTTACTAATTTGCCCACTGATTAACTTCTATCATTCCAACTAAATTCGGTATTATTCAAAAATAACAAATAAAAGTTAAAAACTTTTTTTATTTTATTTTTTACATGCTTCAGACTTGATTGCTTGCTTAGAGGGTTTAAAAACTTAATAGGATTTCTCTACATTTTTTAATAAAGAATTAATTTCACATTAATTTAATAAAAATAAGAATAATGAGTTAACAAATCATACAGTCAGAATAAAAAGAAACTGAAGTTTTTAGCAAGAATGCCAATGAAGAAAGCGACCATTCTTCTCAAACATATGAGCTCTGTGGCAAACGTTACAATTCTAATCATACCGAAAGCGAGAGCTACCATGCTTACGGTGAAGTAATACAAAAAAAGAGAAAAACTGACTCACCTAAGCAAATTAAATTTGAAAAGAATATAGTGATTGATGAAATAGAAAACTTAACTCAAAAATATGAAAAATTAGAAGTTATTGGAGAGGGAGGATTTGGTGTAGTCTACAAAGTGCTTGATAGAGAAACAAAACTCATTAAAGCTATGAAAAGGCTGAAGAAAAAGTAAACCTTTTTTATACAAAACTTAATTTGATTCATATTTTTTTTAATCTCTTTCTATGTCTTGCTTAACAAGCAAATCATATATTATAAACGACTAATTAATTTGTTAATTAATTAACTAAATATTACTTAAGAAATATCTAAATTCAAGTATTAATTAAATCATCTAAGCAAGAATTTTACTTATTTATTTATTTCTTTTTACTATTTATAATAATGTTCTACTTTTGTTTACACAATTTATATCATACTTAAATTTAGTAGTAAACTGATACAAACCGATAATGAGTTGGAATTGTTGAAAAGACTTGATCATCCTAATATTATTCGCATTTTTGATTTTTATCAAGACGAAGAAGATTTTTATATTATTACTGAGTACATCGAAGGAGGCTGTCTATTTGATGAAATTCAAAAATTAAGCAAGGTATATATATGCACATACTTACTTACTACTTAATTATTAATATAAATATATTTACATTTAGATTAAGTATATTTCACATTTAAAGCTACTTTTATGAAAAATATTATTTTTATTTAAGCGTTATTTTAACTTTTCAATTATTAAATTCGATTTTAATATTTCTCTTAAAAAGCTGAAGTAATAATTTAATGAATATCACGCATGCCAAATCATGCAGTAAATTTTAATGGCTGTCAACTACGCGCATTCAATTAATATTGTGCACAGAGATCTCAAGGCAGAGAATGTACTAATTCAATATAATGAATAAGAGAGCAGGTACCATGTAAAAGTTATTGATTGGGGATTAAGTGTTTTGGTAGAGCATAACTAAAAGCTACATATCGATTGTGGTACAAGTTATTTTAAAGCACCTGAAGTCATTAATAGGTGTTACGATGAAAAATGTGATTTGTGGTCATGCGGTGCTTTAATGTATGAACTCCTATCAGGTAATTTCATTTACATTTTTCTATATTTCTTATAATAGTTAATTATAAATAATTACTTACTTAAAATAATAGGATGTCCCCCATTTGATGCAGAGACTGATGATGAAATCGAAGAGAAGATATTATAAGGAGGATATAGTCTTCCAACAGAATACTTTGGTGGAGTTTCTGTTGAAGCTATTGATCTTTTAAAAAAACTTTTAACTTATATTCCTAGCTTTAGAATTTCTGCAAAATAAGCACTTGAGCATAGCTGGTTTAAGAAGGTAATAAATATTCAACTCTAATCAATAATTGTAATTAAAAAACTCTCATTAAATAGGTCAATAACAAAGATTTATCATAAAGGAGTTTGATGAAAGGCTTAAATAGAATGAGATAGTTCAAAGCAGATAAATTTATGCTTAAATACATCATGACATTCTTTGCCATTCATACCATGAGTCCAGAAGAAAATAACCAGCTTACTAATTTATTTAATTAAATTGATAAAGATTAGGATGGTAAAATCAGTCATGAAGAAATGGCTTAGGCTTTAAAAAGTGTAATAATTTTTATTTTTAAATATTTTCTTTTAATTTTATTTAAAATCAAAATTTAAAATAACTTTTCCACAAATATACATTTTTTTAAATAAATGAATGTTTTAGATAAATAAATAAAGCTTTGTTAATTTTCAATTTAAAATGTAAAAATTTGTTTTTAAATGAAATAAATTTGAGAAAAATTAAATTGATTGAACAATTTAAAAAACTTCAAAATCTCTTGCTTGCTTGCTTTAATTTAATTTCATTCTTAATGATAACATTTTAATCAAAAAAATTAGGTTTACAATACTTATAAAGATAATGAAGGAGTAGAGTAAACTTCTCAAGAACAATTATCAGATGATGAAATTTCTGAAATTATCAATCATATTGACTTCAATTAAAATGGAGAAATTGAGTACACTGAATTCCTTGTCGCTGCAATGAGAAAATACACCCTCTAAAATGAAGAATTTTTGTATAAAGTTTTTGATGTAAAAAGCTTTGATTTATTAAATCAGTGTGAGTAAAAATAAATATGAATATTAATATAGATTTTTGACAAAGACGGAGATGGATTTATCAGTTTGTAAGAAGTAAAAGACAAACTCCAAAACAACTTATAAGAATTCGAATTCGATGTAATTTATTCTAAAAACTTAATTAAAATATAAAGCAAATATTATTTTAAAAACAAACAGTCTGAGGTTTGGAATTAAATTATTAAAGAAGTCGATGAAGATGGAGATAAAGAAATTAGTTTTGATGAATTTAAATCTATTATCAATACTTATTTTATTAAAAATGACTACTCAAATTCCTAAGCATATTGATTTATATAATTAATTTTAACAAAAAATATATATATAAAATAATAACTTACTATCTTAATTTCCCTTATTTACTAATCATTAGTTGTATATGTATTTATTTATACTTATTCTATGTTCTAATTTTTAAGCTTTTCTTTCTAAAATTAAATCATCTATATTTTATTGTAAAAATTACTTTAATTATTTTTTTATTAATAAATTTTTATAATTTTGTAATTTATTAATATAAATATAGACAAATGCCTTCCTAAAGTCTAGTGAAGTGACATTACTACTTTTTAGAAGAAAGGCCTTTATTTTTTAATAATTTTTTTATAAGATGAAAATAAATATTAAAAATAGATTTTGATTAATAATATTTATTAATTTTAAATCAACTGAGAAGACTTTCAATTTTTTATTGAATTTTTTTAATTTTAGATTTTTAAAAAAGTTTTTAATTTTTTGCTACAAAACTAAAAAAATTTTAATTTAAATTGAATTTAATAATTATTTGTGTGTGTGTATCATAGAAATATTAAATCAAAAACAACAATAATAATTAAAAATAAATATTTTACTGTTAAAATAAATATCATAAAAATTTTATTGTTTAAATAAAAATCAAAATAATTTTATTGTTCAATCAAAAACTCTATCTAAACAATTAGTAATATCCTTACAATTACAGTGACTAATAGCTACATAAATCATATGGATGATCGCTAATATTGATGATAAAATTAAAAAGCTTATAGGCCAACCCTTTAATATATAAAAAAGTTTTTTGCTATCAAATTATTTTTCTCCAGCATACTCTGCAATTTATTAAGATACATATTAAGCGATTTATTTATTATTAGCTTTACCACAATTATCATTTTCAAAAGTAGATTTATTTTGATCATAAAACGATAAATAAAAATCATCTGTTATTATATATAAAAGGAAACTATTAAAGAATTATTTTTTTATTTGTTTTTTTAAAATTATTTTACCTATTTAAGATCCCTCTCCATTATAACAAACAATAATTTAACAAGTTGACTGCGCAAAAGAAAATCCTAAAGCAACTAATGATGCTAGTAATATACATAATAACCCAAAGCAACTTATCAAATTAAAACATTTTTTAGATGACTCAGACCAGAAAATAAATAAGCTATTAAGTGCAACATAAATAAAGCTAAAGACTGCTGCTATTATATAACTTCTTGAGCATCCATTACTTGACATTAAAGCACTAATGACTCCTAAACTAAATGCAATTACCAAACTCAAGCTATAAAAAAATAGCAAAAGTTTACATTTATATCCATCTTTTTCTTTTTTAGCCTTTTATAAAATAAATTTATTTGTTATTAAAAATCTATGAAGAATATTTTGAATATTAATTTACTAAAGCAAGCATTTTTTTAGCTGATTTTTTGTTTAATTAATTATGAAAATTCTACTTTGATTATTATAGAAAATCAACAAATTAAATTTATGATGAAAAAATAACTAACTATACAAGCTAGAGAACAAATATAATTTTTAAATTTTATTTCAAATAATTATTTACTCATTAATTAGTATCTGGTATAATAATGAAAACATAATTACAATAAATGCATAATTTATTGAAAAAATAAAATTTATACTTATATCCTCTAAACATAAGAGAGAAAAAAATGCAAATAATTTCCTCAAAATTTAAACTATAGGTTTTGCAAAAATAGCCTTCATTATTAGGAGTTATAAATTGAACTGGAGTTTACCAAAATTAAACTATTATACTGTATATTCTCATTAATTAAGGACTTTTTTCAGTGGTATTTCAAAAATTTTTATTAAGGATTAAGGACTATATTTTTACAAAAATTATGATTTGAGTTTGTCCTTAATTAATGAGATACTACGTTAAATAATAATTATTTCTAAAAGAGAAATGGAATTTGGCAAAAAAAAAAAATTTCCTTTAAAAAAGAAGGATTTTAGTGATTTTAATATTTAATTTTTTTGTGATAATATAAAAACTTAAATTTTAATTGAATTTAATAATTATTTATATCTATGTATGTTTCATACAAATATTAAATCCATAACAAAAATAATAATTAAAAATAAATATTTTCCTATTTAGATATATAATAAGAATATTTTTGTTCAATCCGAATCACACAAGAGACATTCACATATATCCTTGCAATTATAGTGAGTAATAACAATTTAAATCATATGGATGATTATTAATATTGATTATAAAATTAAAAAGCTAATAGGCCAACCTTTTAATATATAAAAAAGTTTTTTGCTATCAAATTATTTTTCTCCAGCATACTCTGCAATTTATTAAGATATGTATTAAGCGATTTATTTATTGTTAGCTAAACCACAATAATCATTTTCAAAAGTAGATTTATTCTTATCATTAAAATATTTGTAAAAAGAATCTATTTTTATTTTTTAAAGATTGTTTTTTATGAATTAATTTTTTATGTATTATTAAAAAAAATATTTTACCAATTTAAGTTCCCTGGCCATTATAACAAACAATAATTTAGCAAGTCGATTATTAAAAAGAAAATCCTACAACAACTATTGATGCTATTAATATATTTAATAATATGATGCTACTTATCATATTAAAAAATTTTTTGATTGATTAAGACCTGAAAATAAATAAGCTATTAAGAGTAACATAAATAAAGCTACAGATTGCTGTTGAAATATAACTTCTTGAACACCCATTACTTGACATAAAAGCACTAATCACGCCTAAACCAAATGCAATTACCAAGCTCAAGCTATAAAAAAATAGTAAAAGTTTATATTTATATCCGTCTTTTTCTTTTTTAGCCTTTTTATAAATAAATTGATTTGTTATTAAAGATCTATGAAGAATATTTTCAATAATAATTTACTAAAGCAAGCATTTTTTTAGTTTATTTTTTGTTTTAATTCATTATCGGAACTCAAGACTACTTTCTTTTGTTATTAAAGTAAACAAAAAATTAAATTTTAGATGAATAAATACCTAAAAGTAAATTCAAGCTTGAGAACAAATATAATTTAAAGATTTTAATTTCAAATAATTATTTGGTCATTATTAGATGCTATAAAAATTAAGATATAATTACAATAGACTCATTATTTATTGAAATATTTACCTCTATGCTTATATCCTGGAAGTAAAAATTTTCGATTATTAATATTGTTAAAAGCAGGGCAAAAATTTGTATTTATTTTTATGAGAAAAATTGTCTTTTTTGTCGTATTCCATAATTAAAGTTTATTACCTTTATTTATTTATCTATCTATCACCCTGCTAAATTTCTTTTTTTAGTATTTTATTAATATTTGTAAAATAATAAAGTTTTTCATTGATTAAACAATAAATTAAATATAGACAAAATACAATAAATAATTTATTTTTATTTTAAAATATTATTTAATAAATTCAGAAATAATAAATATAAGCTTCATCTCTAGCTTTAGGTTTACAGCCTTTGCAAGTGAAAAGATTTTAAAAAATTTTAATCATATGCATAAGACTTAATATCAATTATAAAACTAAAAAGCCAATAGGCCAACCTTTTATGATATAAAAATTATTTCTGCTATCATAACCATTGCCTAAATAATTTGAAATTTTGATAGATACATATTACCCAATAACCTTATTACTCGCTAAATCACATTATTAATCTTCAAGAGAAGATTTTTCTCCTGAATGGAAATCACGATAGAATGAATCTTTTTTTAATAATAAAAAGTAAATAACTTTTTCATTAAATTTTTATCTTATTTATTACCTATTATTGAAGCTGCACCTTAATAGCAGGCTATTACATCACAAGTAGATTGATAAACAGAGAATCCAAGACCTACAACCGTTATGAGTAATACAGTAAATATCAAGAATAGGTTAACATAGCTAAAAACTTTACTCCATGCTTTATCCCATAATATTAGTACAAAATTCAATACTAAATATAAGAAACTAATAACTGCCACTGCAGGAAACACTCTTGAACATCCATTACTAGACATATATGCAGAGATAACTCCTAAACCAAATGCAATAACAATATTCAAGATTAAGAAAAACAAAGACATCTTATGTCTGCATCCATCTCCCTTAGCCTATTTTATTTTTCATCAAATTATTTTTATTTTATAGAAGATTTTATTTGAATTTATTTACCTTTACCCACATTTTATACTTTTTTTACTATTAATATTTTAGTTTGATTTTTTTTTTTTTTAAATATAAAATTACTTCAATCAGCTTACATGAATTTAAATAATATTCGTAGTTGATGATGATTATTAATTACTTTTCATCTTACTTTTATAAAGTTAAGACTAATAAATTCTTAGTTATTTTAGATATAGAAACAAATTTTAAAATTATATAATGTGGTTTCTTCTTAATTAGAGCTACCAGCAAATTCTGGTGATAATTGTAGCGGTAAAAATTTTTTTTTTCAAGAGTTAAGCAAAGTTTAAATTTTTTTCAAGTTAAATAAGGTTATTGATAGGGTAGATGAAAAATATCATATTATTATTTTTCTCTCATTTTTGGTTTCCAATGTTTGCGCGCGATAGTCCAATACTACATATGTAAATTAAACTTTTTCATATTATTTGAAGAGTTTGCTAATTCTTTCTTTTAAATTAGTTTAAAATTTCATAGATCTAAAACTATATTTTCCTTTAAATTTATTTAAAATGTAAATTTTAAAGATGGTAATTTATTTATTTACTTTAATAACATATAACAATCTAAAAACTTGGATAGAATATAGTTAATAATGAATAAAAAAAATAAATTTTTATTAAACATGTGGAAAAATTAATCTTCTTAAAATATAAATAGCTCTTAATTCTGTTTGTGAAAATTTTTAAGAAGCAAAAAGAGGTATCTTTCTTTGAGATTAAATTTATAAATAAATCAAATAATGATTCGAGATTTTAGATAGAAATTTTACTTTTCCTTCTAATTAAAAGATCTTAAGAAATATTAATTGGATGGTAAATTAACAATTTTGATCAAGACTAAAAAAGAAATTTTTTCTATATTACTAGATAGTCTAATTATTCTAAAAAATGTAATGATAAGTTAATAAATAGACAGGTAAAAGTCTAGCAATTATCATACATACTCTTTTATGAACCTAATTATAGATATAGTTTCCATTTATTATCTAACATTGGCTAGCTATAAATAGAAATTAATAAACAATAATTTAATAAATATAATTCATATTATAACTAAATAAAGAAATATATTTTTTAGTATTCAAGAAAAAATATTTCATAGATATTTGTATAAATTTAAATTTTAAGTTTATTTTCCTCCAGATGGATTGATTTATTTTAAAAATTATATTTTAAATAAAAAAATTTAACTAAATAAAGATCTATTTTCATCTATTCTATCATAATTTACTTTTATTTTGCTTTTACATTTGATGGGGGAGAAATCAAAACGAAAGTATACAAAATCATTCTGCAATTGCAGCTTCAAACATTTACTATCATTCCCTCAACTAAAAAATACTAAAATCTCCAATTATAATATAAAAATTCTATTTAAATATTGACTAAAATCTAGGAAGAAAGTTTCTATCTATATTGAAATATAATCTCTCTCCTTTTTGGATCAAAATGTGAAGAAAGACAAAAAATATAGTTAATTTAAATTCATAGTCAACCTATTAAGGATAAAACATGAAAATTCAAAAAATTAATTAATTAATTAATGGTTTTAAAAAAATTTAGAAACAGTAATATTTATAAATCATAATCTTTTTGTTATTGATCTAGTCTAAATCAGAGATGTTTTTTCTATAATTAGTATGTAATTAGTCTATAAATTATTAATTTATAAAAAAAAAAATTAAATTATCAACCAAAAAATTTCATTAATTAAAATATGCTACTATAATTTTTCAAAATTTTATTATAATTTAAATGAAGGAAGACCAACAATCATTTTTTAAATATTTGTAAAATAATAAAGTTTTTCATTGATTAAACAATAAATTAAATATAGACAAAATACAGTAAATGATTTATTTTATTTTAAAATATTATTTAATTAATTCAGAAATAATAGATATAAGCTCCATCTCTAGCTTGAGGTTTACAGTCTTAGCAAGTGAAAAGATTTAAAAAAATTTTAATCATATGCATAAGACTTAATATCAATTATAAAACTAAAAAGCCAATAGGCCAACCTTTTATGATATAAAAATTATTTCTGCTATCATAACCATTGCCTAAATAATTTGAAATTTTGATAGATACATATTATCCAGTAACTTTATCACTCACTAAATCACATTATTAATCTTCAAGAGAAGATTTTTCACCTGAATGGAAATCACGATAGAATGAATCTTTTTTTAATAATAAAAAGTAAATAACTTTTTCATTAAATTTTTATCTTATTTATTACCTATTATTGAAGCTGCACCTTAATAGCAGGCTATTACGTCACAAGTAGATTGATAAACAGAGAATCCAAGACCTACAGCCGTTATGAGTAATACAGTAAATATCAAGAAAAGGTTAACATAGCTAAAACAATTACTCCATGTTTTATCCCATAATATTAGTACAACATTCAATACTAAATATAAGAAACTAATAACTGCCACGGCAGGAAACACTCTTGAACATCCATTACTAGACATATATGCAGAGATAACTCCTAAACCAAATGCAATAACAATATTCAAGATTAAGAAAAACAAAGACATCTTATGTCTGCATCCATCTCCCTTAGCCTATTTTATTTTTCATCAAATTATTTTTATTTTATAGAAGATTTTATTTGAATTTATTTACCTTTACCCACATTTTATACTTTTTTTACTATTAATATTTTAGTTTGATTTTTTTTTTTTAAAAATATAAAATTACTTCAATCAGCTTACATGAATTTAAATAATATTCGTAGCTGATGATGATTATTAATTACTTTTCATCTTACTTTTATAAAGTTAAGACTAATAAATTCTTAGTTATTTTAGATATAGAAACAAATTTTAAAATTATATAATGTGGTTTCTTCTTAATTAGAGCTACCAGCAAATTCTGGTGATAATTGTAGCGGTAAAAAATAAAAAAAAATATTATTATTTTGAGCGGTAATTTATAGAACCTAAATATGTAAGAAATTACTGTATATTTAAATTAAACTTTTTCAATATTATTTGTAGAGTTTGCTATTCTTTCTTTTAAATTAGTGTAAAATTACATAGTTATAAAACTATATTTAAATTTATTTAAAATGTAAAGTTTAAAGATGGTAATTTATTTATTTATTTGTAGCTTACTTAGCTTTCATACCATTTTTAAATTGGTGTAGAAAAATTAAGCGAATTTCCTATTGTCTCATAGACTCAGTCTATTTACCTTTTGCATTAGTTTTTTACTTTATGTTATTTATTTAGATTAATTTAGATCTCTTTTTTCAAATTTATACCAAAAAAGATATAAAGTCATTCATTTTGAGAAGATTTTAATAAATATATTGATAAACTCACAATTTTTCATTTATTTATTATTTTTGAATAGAAATTTTTAGTGAAAAAATTTTTTATGGAATTATTAAGAAATGAACTTAGCAATATTTTGACAGTTAATTAGAGTATTAAAATTATAACGTTTAGTCTTAAAATTTAAAGAAAGATTTCCACTTGTATAAAACACTTCAAATATTTAATGCAAGACATCTAAAAATATTTAGAAAATATTAAAATATGTAGGTAGATAATATATTAGATATATCAATATTTGTTTCAATTTATCTTTATAGTAAGTATTTGATTAAACAATAAATTAAATGTAGATAAAAATACAGTAACTAATTTAGGTTTATCTACTTTATTTCAAAGTAATTCAGAAGTAAGAAATATAAGCTTCTTCTCTAGATTTAGGTTTACAGCCTTTGCAAGTGAAAAGATTTAAAAAAGTTGCAATCATATGCATAAGGCTTAGTAGCAATTATAAAATTAAAAAACCAATAGGCCAACCTTTTATTATATAAAAATCGTTGCTTGAATCATAACCTTTTTCTAAATAATTTGAAATTTTGCCAGATACAGCTTTCCCAATAAGCTTATTACTCAATTAATCACAAAATTAATCTTCAAAAGAAGA